GAAAAAGACAGGAAAAAAAAAAAAAAAAGAATAAACACGTCAAGGTGAATGGCTGTTACACTTAACTCCCTCCCAAAATGGCACCAATCATGATTCTAACACAATGTAAGTCACAGTTATTATCTGTCCATCATTTTCTTTTCCATACCTCCTCACATGTAGCCCATCTTTTATTTCAAAAAAGAAAATCCACAGCATCAAAGCCTGAATTTATATGATGGGTAAAAAAAGAATCTCTAACAGCCCTTTCCTCTTTCTCATGAGAATCCATTTTAGAATATTTAAAACGATACTTTTTTTGGTCTTCTTAAGATAGGATTTCACATGCAGCTGGCCTTGAACTCACTTTGGGGCCCAGCCTCACCTCCATCTTACTGGGACCCCCTAGCCTCAGTCTCCTGAATGCTGGGATTTCAAGTGCTGAATCTGGAATTTCAGGAATGTGCCACCACACCTGGCCCTTCAAGCAATACTCTAACTTCTATTGTGGCTCAAACTCACACCCATCTATAAAATTATCACTAAATTTAAAAAAAACAGACAGTAGAGCAGAACATTTTTTTTTTTTAGCTTGGTGACACTGATGAGAAATTTGCCTTAAGATGCTAACTTTCATCCACAAAGAGATAAACGGAGGAACTCAATCGTATGATCTGCAGAGGCAGATGGTTCCTCTCTAGACTGGATCTCAAACACAGTTCCCAACCAGCAGGATGGATCTCACCCTAGAATCTGTGTAAAATGCAAAGGACTGGACCTAAACTTCACAATCTGAAACTGTAGCCTGACAACCTGGGTTTTAACAGCCCAGGTCCATGGGCTTCATTCTAGTGCATTTAAATTTGAAGGCCAACAATCTAATCTCAACACACAATTCTGAAACTAATTAGCCAAACAGCCAGGGCTTCCCAGGGGTTAACAATTCTGGATCCCCACCCCTTATCAACATGGTCAGTAGTGTAGACTTTGAAAAATGTGGTTAGAGGTTCCACTGCTCTCAAAACTCCAGTTCACCCTTGAATGGCAAGAACTCATCAGTTCCATCAAGCTGTCAGAAATCACACACTGGAAAGTGGAACCAGGGCAGCAATCAGCCAAGACAGGGCCACTGTGGAAAGAGACCAGGGTTCACAGCCTGGGGGCAGCACACTCTGGACTTCGGGGTGGGGGAGGGGACAGGTATGAGAGGCCACTGCTATCTGGGGGAGCTTCTCCACACCTTCACTGCCTGCCTTCCCTCAGGGGTGACCAATAGCTGGCTTAGCTCTGCCTTCCCTTCCTCTCCTCCAGGCAGGGGAGACAGCTTTGCCTGAAACTCTCCTTCCTCTGCTAAATGTTGGAAGATCTCAGAATTGAAAATTTCCAAAGAAATAAGAGCTGGCTACAAAAGGCATCAGAAAGTAAGTGTGATTATTTCTTAGTGTTTTTACAAATGGTGCCTGGTAATTTTCCTACTCACTAATGGAATAATTTGTAAAATTGTCTGGAGGTGTGCATGGAGGTTACTGATCTCCTCCTTTTCCCCTCTGCCAATTGTAAACACTACTGAGCAGTGTGTGTCCTTCTGCATCTTTTCCCAAGGTCGTACACAGGGGCTTTTCTTCATTTTAAATCAGAAATAGGATCAAACTACATATGATGCACTGCAGTCAGCTTTTATTTCACATATAAGTTTTATTTAACATACCATGGGCAACCCTCACAAAACAATCTACACAAATCATGTGCTAATCGCACAATACATATGCACAGACAGACAGGACTGGGGTTGTGAGCAGTGGCAGACAGCCCACCAGCACACACACGGACTGGGTTCAAACTCCAGGCCTGGGGGGGAAAATCCTCACCCACACCCTTCTGTGCCAATGTTCTTATTTTTGTTCAACAGGACTGCAGCTGTGGGATCCAGTGTGAACTGCTGGTCGTGCGGCCATGCAGGTTGTTAGCTTTCAGGTGTCCACGTCTTCCCCAAGGTTTGCACAGTGCACACATCCACCCAGAGTCAGGGATCCACACCCCACACAAACACACACCTAACAGGGAACATTACCAAGCTTTGCAAGATGTGCCCCTTGTACAAAAACCAAGACGCCTCTGTTTTTAATTTCTATCTCTTTATTAGGTTGAGGACCTTCTCACATGCACTTCCTCTATTGTTCTCTGTTTCACATATCATGGAATCATCTCGCCTCCCCAGTCCAGCAGATACAAAAAGCACAGGAGTACCGTGCTCCAGCAACAGCGCCTGGGGTGAGGGTAGCCAAGGTCTCAGCACAGAGACACCCTGGGCCCTCGGAAACATTCGCTGCTCGGTGAATGGTATGCATATAGAACTTTATTTGTTAAAACTGCAGCTAGAAAAAGAAAAACCAATGTTTCATTTCTTGTTCTACATTTCTGAGAACAGCAACAGTTTGGCCAAAATTAAATTGTTGGTTAAGAGAAAAACAAAACCATGGTCTTGGCACCAACTCTGTAAACTCCACTGTGAAATGGGAGTCAAATGAGCCTAGTGCCAGTTCACAGCTCTGGGTAACCCACTCATAAAGGCCCCCAGGACTAAAGCATTTTGGACTCAGTGTTGTCCACCAGCTGCCATGCAAGTCGCACCTGCCACTCAGCCAGGGTCGCCTGGACGGTCAGCCAACGAGTAAGGCCAACCGTAAGCATTCATTTCTTTTTTTTATTTTTCCCTCCCTTCCTCCAAGACTTTACCTGTCAAAATTGTAGCTTATTAGTGGGGGAGGGGGGATTTGGCAGAGTTCAAATTCTTTAACTTTTAATTTGAGGGAAAACATCTGGTTATACCCACCATTTATCCCATTATTTGTAATAGTTCTGTTTGGCTTATGTTTTAACTAGTCCCTTATTCAATATAAAAGCAACAGGATTAAAAAGTTCTGGGGGGGAAAGTACTATAATTAAAAAGGCACCAGTTGGGTCCGTTGAGCTATAATTCTAGCCTATATATATTTTTCTTCTGGTCTTCAAAGGTTTTTTTTTTTTGGTACCAAACAAAACTGTTTTTGAATTATTTAACTCTTGGTTAGTACTTCCTGTATTAGCCAAACACCACTCAAAATCCCCAGGAACACGCTATGACTCAAAATTTCTGGAGTAATAATGTCACAAGTCACAAACTGGAGACACTGGATCAAGAATCAGGCCATGGAACACATGTACACACACAACTTGGTAAATTGACAAGTAACTTGCCCAAGTGCATAGGCCTTCTCCAGCCTTCTGAAGTTACAAAATCTTACTAATGAAAAAAAATGTGGGATCTTTGATCAAGCTGTGAAGTTATGATAATAAGAATCAGACAAGAGACAACAAAGCACAGTTTATAACACATCGTGAAGAGGCATAACAATAAATATTAAGATAATGAACTTAGGACCGAAGATTGGAGGGTTTGCAACATAAATTTTCTTTTAAGTTAATTATATAATTTTTAACACATGCACAAAACATATATATATATATATATATATATGGCATATACATAGTTACAAAGTACAATGATAATTACGTATTTTTAGGCATGCAGATTTTTTCTGAACATTTGATTAAGAATTTTTTTATATTCTTCCCCACCCAGCATCACCCTGAACTGTCTGTGGGAACTGATATGGGGAGGACATCAAAGTTCAGGGAGGAGAAATCCACATAATTTAGGGATAGAGAAGAAAGAACCTGGAGTAGAAAATAACAGACACACTTCGGGAACAGTCTCTGCAAAAAAAACTGAACAAGCAGTTGGAGAAGATGAATTCAAAACACACCTGTAGCCTATGTCCTCCGCAATACGAATGCCAGTAACAGTATTCTGAAGGGTCAGGATTTTGAAAGTCAACTTTCCCCTTAGAAGGAAAAGTGCAACATCCACACCGAAAATACAGACTGGTAATTTCTGAGTATTTTGTAGATAAATGGAAGTGGATACAAAGAGAGGGGCAACAGTCTATGTGAGTGTGCTTCCCAGTATGACCTAGTCTAAGACTAGAGATTTCACAAAAGGGATAGAAGCTTTCCGCGACTGCTTTCTCAACTAAATTAGCTGTGCTAATTTTGGAGAAATAGTGCGTTGTTGTTTTCCACTATCCTAATGCTCAATAAAAAATAAAATAACATAAAAAAAACTAGGGGACAGTACTGCCTGCTTATAATCCCAGCAGTCAGGAGACTGAGCCAAGAGGGTTACACAGAGTTTGGAGGCCAGCCTGCACTACATAGTGAGTTCATAGTGAGCACTACATAGCAAGATCTTGCCTCAAAATAATAATAAAAGAGCTGAGTGTGGTGGCCCATGCGTATGACCCCAACCCTCTAGGAGGCAGGAAGGCAGCAATTTCAAGCCCAGCCTGGGCAACTTCAGTGTCTTGGTGAGACCCTACTCCAAAAAGAAAAAAAATTTAAAGTGCTGGGAATGCAGGTCAATATGAAAGCCCTGGGTTCAATCCCCAGTCCAGAGAGGGTCTTCCTCCTGTCTCACAGCCAGCCCACCATTCGGACTCAGACTTTCCCGAAATGTGCCAAATGAGTGCTCAACTGAGGCTACAATCTTTTTTTTTTTTTTTTTTTTTTTTTTTTTTTTTTTTTATTTAAGAGGAAAAAGAGAAAAACACAAAACAAGACAAAGCAGTGTAAGGTTACACATAATACAGGCTACAATCTTTAGAGACTCAGCGGGTGACACTCATCCGGGAGGCACTTAATGAAATGGATAAGAAGCAGATCGGAGACTAACATCTCAGAGAAGACTTCCGCCTCCCTCTGCACACAAAGATAGCCGAATATCCCCACTTCAGGATTTTTAAATCTTTTCATCCTCTCCAATGATGAAGGCAAAACGTTTCATTGAAAGAGAAAAAAAGCCGAAGAGAAAGGGTTGCCCAAGGCATTCAGCAGAGGGTAGATCGACAAACGCACCCTCCCCAGCCTCTTCAGCACGCAGAGGGAAAGTCTATTTGGGAAAGTAAAAGATTCCACAAACGCACATGCCCGCAGCCCCACTCCCGGGACGTCGCCGCCTCCCTACTTCGAGAAGGCTGGGTGGCACGTGCACGCTGACAAGGCCACTCCGGGAACGCGCGGGCGCAAAATCGCCGCTCAGGGCACCAGGGTGCTTGCAGTTTACGTGTATTTGGGGGTCCACTTCTCCAGCACGGCCCCCGCACCCTGCTGTCTTTAATTGTGTCCTTGACAGCCACGCTCCAGCTCACTTCCCTCTCCACTTTGGAAATAACCTAGGGTTCGCGTTCACCACCAGCGTCAGCGATTCTGACCCAACTTCCTTTCCCCAAATCACCCTGGCTCTTTCGCCCGCAGCAGCAGGAACGCAAGTTTCCCAGGTGCCCCTTGAAGCCCCAACTTCTGGCAACGCCGCCCTCCCCGCGCCTTCTCCAGCTGGCATCGCGCAGAGAGCCCGGCATGCAGTCGCCCCGGCCAGGCCCTTACCTGGGTGCGCGACCCGGGGCGCCCCCTCCCGCCTTGCGATGAACCCCGCAAGCCCGTCGCCTGGACGCTTTGCGCGCACCGCGCTCGGCCGGGAGGCGGCGGGGAGGGGGCGTGTTCCCGGGCCTCGCAATGTGGGCGCTACGTCCCAGCGGGACAGGGCCAGCGGGGACAACCGGCGCTGGGTCCTGGATCCAGACTCGCGGCCACGCAGGGCTGCGCGGCACGCGACGCGCGGCAGCCGCGCGCGCGCCCTGGCTGGAATCGCAGCCACAGCGCCGAAATCGGCGCGCAAACTTTCCCGGCGACGACCGCTCCCGCCCGCGCCGGCCGACTCCTCGCTGACTCTGCCCGCGCCGCCCCGCGGGGCTTCACGCCCACCGGGAACATGGCGCCCTCGGCCGCGCACCTCGGAGGCCCCCGCAGGCCCCGGCTCGGGCCCCTCAGCCCCCCGCGGGCGCGGAACCACAGCTCGTGCAGCCAGGGGAGGCGAGGCCCGCGGGCAGCCGACGCTACTCGCGTCGCCAGGGGCAGCCTGGGAGGAGAGGGCTGCGTGGGGACGGCGGTCCGAGCCCCGACGGAGCAGCGGCCCCGTGCGCGGCGGGAGACTCGTGCGCAAAGTGGCGCTGGAGTGGCGGCGCCAGCGCTGGAATGAAGCCGCTCCGCCCTCGCCAACTCTGGGCGCGGGGCCCGCCCGGCAGGGTCGAGGGGACGCTCTGCGCCCGGCGCTGCTCCGCAGAGCCCGGTTCCCGGCCGGAAGCCCGGCGGGAGCCCCCGGCCAGCCCCGCTGCCCGCGACCAGGAATGCGCTCCGGGCGCCGGCGGGGAGCGAGCCCGTGCCAGGCGCGGCGCCCGGGGCGAGCGCGGCGTGAGACACACATGTGTGCAGGGACAGGTGCACTCGTGCCCGTGTGTCTTTATTTTCCTGCAGAAAGCCCGCCTAGAACACGAGCCCAGGACGCCCGAGGAGTTGTTTTCTACATTGACACCGCGCACGAAATGCAAAAGGGAGGCAGAAAAACCACCCACATTTTCCTTCTGGAGAGGAGGGAAAAGACGAGCGAAATTCATGCAGCTTGCGCGCAGCTGGAGAGAGAGGGAAACCCGAGCGAGGCGTGCGCCTTACCGGGGGATGCATTTACTGTCTCATTGCAGAGTGTCTGCCAGGGTGCAGCCCGCGTCCACCCGCCCCCCCCCCCGCGCGCGCCCGGACGCCGCTCAGCTCCTCAGCCGCTACCGCCGCCGCCGGCTCCGGGCTCGGAACTAGAGCCGAGGGCGAGCGCGCGCGCACGGCCCCGAGCGCCGGGGGCGCAGGAAACGCGTCATCATTCGGGGACCGCGCGCCGCGGTGGGCTCGGCGCCGCTTGGTCGCTGGGTCGGCTGCGCCGCTGCTCTGGGGTCTTCCAGGCCTCATGGCCCGCCGCTGTGGAAAGCGGCTGGGGGCGCGGACGAGCGCGGCTCCGCAAGGCGCCTCTGAGGAAGAGGGGTTCGAGTCCCGATCCACTCGAGCTCCCGGGGCGCGGGCCGGACCTCGCTGGGACTGAGGAAGCGGCCGGTGAACCGGTGGCAGCGGGGCTGTGCTGTGCTGAGTTAAAAGTGGCCTGCATCCCGCCTGCCCTTTGTCGCGCTCTTTGCCCCTTCGGTTTACCGGCTTCAGGAGCGACGCGAGGTGAAGGTTACAAGGGAACAAGGAGTCTAATGACGCGCGTCCCGTGGGATCAAGCTAAATACAGGCGGGAAGACCGGACCGCTGAAGACCTTTGTGTTAACTCAATCTCAGTGTTCGGTGGGAGTGTGATTTTTTTCAGTTTTTTGTCTTTTCTGTTTTTTAATCTTTTTATTTTTTTTTTTTGACACTGGGGCTCAACTGTGCAGTTCAGGCTGGCCTTGAGCTCACCTTGCAGAACTTGGAACGATCCTCCTGCCTGAGCCTCCCGAATGCTGGGATTATAAATGTCGCCACTGCGACCGGCTCAGGGATTGTGGGTGGGTTTTTTTTTGTTTTGTTTTGTTTTGTTTTGTTTCCTGCTTAGTTCTTCCATCTAGTTTTTCCTGTAAGAAATACATTATTTTTGTGATTTCAGGGGGGAAAATTAAGAACTTTTCTTGTCAATACAGAGCAGTCAGTGTAGACCCTTCTTAAGAAACAGTACATCTTCAGTTAATTGAACTTAGTGTTTTTCTTGAAGCGAAGTGTTCCTGCAACTCATATGTGAGTTGATTTGTAAATTGAAACTATCTTGAAAGAGTCTTTGAGACAGACTAAGACTGGACATTCTGTGAGAACACTCACTTCTCATCAAGACTGATGAGCCCCTTGGGGTGACCTGCATCTATAGTCCCACCTCCTCCTGAAGCTGACACAGAAGGATCACAAGTTCAAGGCAGTTTATCGAGATCCTCTCTTTAAAAGGGTTGGGAATATAGCTCAGGACTCCTTGGGTTCAATCCTCAGTACCAGAGAGGAAATACTGATGCACTCAGTTGATTATGGCCTCAGAGATCTTTATAATCTCAGAGTACAACTTTGTGATATAGTCCCTTTTGCAGAGAATAAATGTTAAAAGTCAAACGCAATCAGTGTGCCAGTTACCTCCACTTGACCAAGTCCTAAAAGTTGCAGGGCACAAACTGTTTCTAATAAAATACTTGGCATTCACTACACTTTCTTAAATTCACCAACCTAATAATGACCAATGGTGGCGGCCAACCACCTCAAGGGATGGTTAAAAAAACAAATGTTTATTGATTTCAGTAAAAGCTTGATAATCTCATTTAACTGATCCTAGATTTTCTGTCAAATCACAACCATATTTCTGTAGCTCAAGTGCCAGAGTTACATAAGCTCACTAAGAGAGGAAAAACTCACTGCAGTTAGTCATTTTCTCCTCATACTTCCTAGTTCATAGGGCCTGGTGGATTCCTGTCAAGCATCTCAAAATCATTACTTTTTCCCCCAATCTGGATTCCAAAATTTTCCATCATGTAATCTCTCCAAAGTAGCCCTACTACCTATCAGTACCTACCAGTGAGATTCTTCTCAAGATTATAAGGTAAGCTCCACAAGAGCAATTCTGTGTAAAAAATTTCTGTGTTCAAAAGACACCTGGTTGTTTGATAAAAGTTATTTTTACACTGCCTCTTTGGCTAGTTCCTTAAGCATTCTCCTGTTAGGCTGTCAACATCATCTTGGGATGCGAGGGTATAAAGCTGCAGCTTGGTTTAGTAACACTCTTCAAAATGCAATTAAATCTTAAGACATTCTGAGCAGGGGGGTGCAAGTGTCAATACCTGCACGTTTCTGATTGAGTTAGCGCTGTCTGGAGGCTTTCTGAGACCTTTCCCCTGGTGAGGAAGAACAGCAATCCCAGAGTTCTTTGCTATGACTGTCCTGGCTTCAAACTGACCCAGACTGGACACTTCCTGTAGCCACACGTATGACTTCAAAACCATTACTGTTTCTTTGGAAAAATCTACTAACCACTCTATGACTAGTCATATTTTTTGAACAACTTCCCCAGTAGATGTAAAAGTTGATTTTATCAATAATCTATGTAACTTTTCTTAAAGTGAGACTCCACCCTTAAACTTAAGAAAATAGTTCGGTTCCTCTCTCTCCCCTCCTCCTGCCCTTCCTGCTCCCCCCTTCCCTCCCCCTCCCTGTTTCTCTCTCCTGGAGCCAGGGCTTTGTCAGCTTTTTTTTTCCAATGCAGGGTCTTGCTGAGTTAGGTAACTGTCAGGCTGCCTGCAATTCTCCTGCCTCACCCTCCCAGAGTGCTGGGATTATGGATGAGCACCGCCATGCCCTGTGTTTCTAAATTTATACCCAGTCCTTAGCGGCCTCAGACTATGCCAGTCCCAGAAACAGTTGCAGACAGGCAAAAAATTAATTTATTTTTAACAATGTGTAACAGTTTGGGGATTGACTGCACCCAGAACAGGAAAACATACTGATGGTTTATTTTAAAGTATCTAGAACGCTAAATGAAGTTTGACAGTAGTTAAGCAGTTTCCCAAGCCTTTGAATATGGTCTTGTTTCCTGCTGAGCGGATCCTAATTGAAAATAACATTGTGAACAAAATGTAGCAGCATAAGGCTCTATTCCCAGCACTTGAAAAACTGAGACAGAGAGAACAAAAATGTGAGTCTTGGGGCTGGGGATTTAGCTCAGTGGCGTAAGCACCTGCCTTTCAAGCAGGTGGTTGTGAGTTCGATCCCCAGTACTGATAAAAATGAAAAAGACAAAAAAAAGTCTTGCATGGGCAATTTAGTGACATTTTGTCTCATAATTTTAAAAAGGAGTGATGTTAAAGAAAAAGCCATGGGGACACACAACACACATGCACACAAATACTTTTGTATGAATAAAGAATGGACTATTTGAAAAAGTAAACAAAAGAGATCATTTCCAAATCACTTGAAAAAAAAGTCTATCTGTAAGGACAACACCATCCAAAACATCCTACTGTTCCACAATGAGATCTGTAATTACCAAATTAAAGGCTGCTGGTGCCAAAGAGTCCAGTGCTGAGATTCCTCCCTGCCCTGTCCCTCCCAACCTTAGGCTCCTGACTTCCTATCTGCCTGCACCTGCCTGTAACTGGGGTCCAGTTTCTGAGTTTTCCTAACTGAGCAAGCCCAACTATACTATATCCATATTGAAGAGCAAAAAGATATCCCACCAAACCTTTCATTTGACTTTCATTTATAGTTCTGTCATATTCTGTGCCATATTAAAATATGTTCTGGGCTTCTTTGATACAATACACCAAGAGTTCTTGTTTTTCTCTGCTTTCAAAATGCTTGTATCCTCCCCCTGGAGCAAGGTGGAAGTGAAAACCACGTTTTCTAAAAGTTGCCTATTACTCAGAATCAGTGATAAAAACAATATGATCAGCTTCTATTCTCATTTGACATTAGGTTTTTGGAAATGTCCCCATTTCTTTTCTAAGGATAAGTTGTGAGAGAGTTAGTCTAGTATAATTCATATGTTAATTTTTTGTTCTATTTTGAAGGAAAACACTTGACATTTTACAAGAATACATTTTAGCTTCTTTCTGTCCCTAAAGGTAAGGCCTCATCTCATTCCTATTTGGGGGCAAGTGACATATTAGGTTTTTCTTTTTTGTATCGGGGTTTGAACTCATGACCTTGAGCTTGCCAGGCAGGTGCTTGTGCCGCTGAGCTAAATGCATAGCTGATACATGTAGATTTAACTGTCCCTTTTTTTAAAAAAGGAAATTGATCAGATAGATTCAGGGAATGATTATCATCATACCCAACACAGGACGTGCTTGAGATTAACTTTTATTTTCCTGTGGTATATGAAACATACTGCAGATGGTTCTCCAATGTCTCTGAAACAACATACTATGTAGAAGAATACCAGTAATTATTTTTCTCACTTGGATTTATTTTTAATCCAAATCATAGTTAATGTAGAGTGAATAGTTTAAAAATCAGAATGTTTTTCTTTTCATTGATTTAAGAAGACATGTTTGGATAACAATATCATGATTTAAAAATCTGTTTAAAACATTCTTATTGTGACCCAGGTATGGTGGCACATACCAGGATTTCCTGGCATTCTGGGAAACTGAGGCAGGCAGATTTGAAAGATCTAGCTCAGCCTGAGTAACTTAGTGAGACTATGTGTCCAAACTAAAACTTATGCTATGTGGGTCCAGGGATCAAACTCACAACCTTGTGCTTGCCAGGCAGGCACTTATACCACTGAGCCCTCAGCTCTGACAAACTAAACCTTAAAAAAGGGTGAGGGATGCAACTTAGTGTGAAGGCCTTGGGTTCAATCCCCTCCCAAATGTTGGATTAGAACTTGTCTACAGTAACCCGACTCTGCAGCTCCTTCCCCCTCTGCAGTACTGATGGAGAGGCTGGCTGATCCTGAAATCTTATGGCTGAATTGTGTTTTTAGATTTAAAGCATCAGGAGGACTTCCTTTGATCATGTGAGGATTTCAGACCAGAAGATGAAAGATGTGCTGTGTTTGATTAACAGTGTACCTTTGCCACAGAAATCATCAACTCAATCTCCAGAGAGACAGGTAATGGGTATGACACAAATATTCAATCTTCTGTTTTCAGACAACTGCTGTAATAGAGTAGCAGTCGGAAGGCAGTTTTAGGGCAAACTTTATGCTTGAAAGAACCAAAAATACAGGAAAGGAAAATAAAATAGAAAACATACTTTAAATAAAATTAGAAATATAAATCATCTTAGAAATGTTGCAAATAAAATAATGGGGATAAAATTTCCTTTTGTGTTGGACTTTAAAGTTCTGAGTCACTTTAATTGAAATAATTTTCATAGCATAAAAGAAATGTTGGGCCAGGCATGGTGGCACATACCTGTAATTTCAGCACTTGTGAGGCAGAGGCAGGAGGATCACTGAGTTCACAGCCAGCTTGGACTACATAATGAGATCAAGGCCAGCGTGAACTACTAGTGAAAACCCTCCTCTCCACCACAAACACACAGAAGAAATGTTGGATTTTTGCTTACTTAGAAACACATTTTGAGAGAATCATCTGATGCTGAACTTATTTTCTAGGGACCTCTGATGTTCACAGCAGCTAAATGATAAACATTAATGAATCACCTTATCTGCTAGAGTTATACATAATTTTATCTTTTAAACATGATGACAATCTTAATTTGTAAATTTCAACTATTATTCAGTTACAGAATTTATCCTTCCTTTTTTATTTAAAATTTTTTTAAAAAACAGTATCCTGCTGTATAGTTCAGGCTGGCCTCAAACTCACAACAATCTCCTTGCCTCAGCCTCCTGAGTGCTAGGATTATAGGCACGTGTCCCCGTGTCTGGATGTCATGTATTCTGTTGGAAGATTTATATATGGCGTGTATGAGTTTTTCCATCTCTGAACTTTGTTAGTTTTCAGTCTCGTGTGTATTTAATCCTGTGAAATTCATATTTTGTTTTTGTTTCTGTGTACTTTGCTAGGTATCGTCAGTTCCTGTTGCTTCAAGTGGGACAAAAGTTCTCCTTGGTACTTCATTATTGCTGAGTGAAATGGATGCAGGTAAGGAGTGTAAAAGTGTGTTTCTAAATTATCTTTATCACAATAACATTTTCAGAAAAGTAGAGGTGTTAGGAGTGCATTACAGCAGTCTGCTGGTTCTGGTTCTCATGCTGTTACCTAACAGTGTGCCTTCAGTTATTTACGTTTGGAAGGTCAGGTTTCTTTACTAAAGCCCTTTTGGTGGTCAACAATTTTTACTTCAGGTTCTAAATAAGCTACTTGATGATCTGATCTCTGTGTGATCCTTTTCCATAGCCATGCTTAGTTGATCTTTTGAGATTTCAAGCTAGAGCATAAGCTTGGCAGAGATAATAAGTATGTCTGTTCTGGTCACTCTTAAGTTCTTGGGGGCTGACACAGCTTGGAACATGGTAGATGGGTCAGTAACTATTTCATGGAGTACTCAGTGAGTGAACTAAGCCAAAAATGAAGTCACTGAAGGAAAGATTGTAGTGCTGTTTGATTTCAAATTTGATTATCACGTGCCTAACTGAGTCACCTCGTGGGACTTGATAAAAGCTCTGGGGCAGTTTTGAGTGTGAATATAGAGTTACATCTAATGCATAAACTTTGCCTGAGAGGACTTGGGCTTGAGTGCTTTGTGCAGTGTTTAGTGGATGTCTTTCTACTCTAGAGTCTGACGATGAGTATTTCGACGCTGAAGACGGTGCCTCCCAGGTGCCTAGAGGTGCGCCAGGCTCCGAACCCCGAAAGGCTGCGGAGGTTCCGAACGAGGCCCTCGTTAATCTTCTGCTCAAGTTTGAAGTTAAAGAAGTATGTGTACTTTTTGTCTATGAATGTATTCTTGTCATCATTAAACTGTTTCATGGTAGACCACACATCAGGTTAGGAAAATGTACCCCCACACACCATGTCAAAACAATGAAAGTCTTTTTTTTTTCTTTTTTTTTAAATAGGGATGACTTGTGGTTTGATCTATTTTGGAAGAGCTCAGAGCTTTTAATTAGGATTTGTGTTTTTTCAGACAATTTCTGACTTTTTTTTTGTGGTACTGGAGATTTAATCCAGGAATCATAGAGCTACTTCCCTGGCTCTTTTTTGTTTGTATTTTGAGACAAGGTCTTGATAAGTTGCCCAGGCTGTTTCTGACCTTGGATTCCCCTTTGTAGCTGGGATTACCAGCATGTGTCACAAAGTTCAGCTTATTTTTTTAACTTTCATTTGTGAGTTAAATAATAGTTGCTCATTGTCATATTTATAGTTTGGAAAAATGTAAACATCCTAAATTTCCAGCATGCTTTTTCTGCCCTTTAAAAGTCATCTAGTAAGCTGAGTGTGGTGGCACACAAATGTAATCCCAGCACGCAGGAGCCTGAGGCAAGAGAATCCCGCAAGTCCAAGGGCAGCCTGGGCTACAAAGTGAGCTCAAGGCCAGACTGTACTGCTTAGCGAGACCCTGTCTCAAAATGGTCCAAAAAATAAGTCATGTAGTAAAAGGAAACCTGGAAATATGGTCATGGTATATAGTTACTTGATGAAAATGGAATGTACACTAGCAAGGACATAATCTGTTTAAAATTTCATATACATGTTTTCTTTGATAAGTACAGATTGTTCATCTCGGGGTGCGGTGTTTACAGCTACAGATCTGAGAAATGTCACTGATTTGACTTGTGCATGCGGACCAAGCATTGCTGGTATTTGTTTGAAGTGAGATGCGTTAGCCTTTTTAGCCTGCTGTTTCCTCTTCCTCTTTGACCCCCAGTAGCAGCAGACCTCTCAGCTTTGTTTTCTATTGCACTCACATACTTGCTCTCCCCCACTGCTGCTCTTTGTCCTGTCCTCTTCATCTCCGGGCTGTATCTTTGCAGCAGCTTCCTGACCGCTGCTCTGTTATCCATAAGGCAGCCAAAGCGACCCTTTTAACACGGAGGCCGCGTCCTGGCGCTGCTCTGTTCGTGCCCTCCCCTGGCTCAGTGATGACTTGTGCTTTCCTGTGGCCTGCAAGGCCTTGCAGGGATCACCCGCCTGCCTGTTTGGGCCACTGTTTTCTGCTTGCTTCCTCTGTTGCGGTTGTGTTTCTTGCATTCCTCCAGTGAGTGCAGTGCCGTCCTCCACCAGACATCGGTGTTGATGTTGGAAATGGGTGGGGAGCGCAGTCCTTGCCCCGCGAAGTCCACTAAATGTGTTTTTTCTCACATATGTGCACCAGAACTTTCTCTGCTTGCCATTTTTTTGGTTGGGGACACTTTCCTAGCATGGCTTGATTCTTGTGTGCTTCAAGCGCTTGTATGTGTCTCCTCACTGGGAAGACCTGACTACCTCAAGAGAGCAGTGTTCCTTTTCCTTCTCTCTCTGGCATGTGGGGCACATGAGGGCAAGAACTATGTCTGCCTGCTTAACCTTGGTCTTTTTAGCTCCTGGGACAGCCTGATACATGCATGGTACATGATATGCAATAAATACTTCATTGACTATTGAATGAACTGAGGTGAAAACAGAACTATTGAAGGAAAAAGAATAATGCTGTTTGGAATACTTTTCCCAGTAGAACTTTTTAAAAAGGTTTCTATAGTGAAATCTATCAGTTTTTTTCTTTATGACCCAGTTTTAGTGTATGCCTAGAAAATTCTCACAAAATACTTACCCATGTTTATATATATATAAAATCTATGTATGTATATATATATATATATATATATATATATATATATAACCTATGTTTATATATATATATATATATATATATGTATATATTAAATGTATATATTTTCCCCCTATTACTTTTGTGGGTCCCAGGAATCGAACGCAGGACCTTATGCTTGTCAAGGCAGGCCCTGTGCCACTGAGCTATATTCCTGGCCCCATGTTTTATGTATTTATGATTTCATTGCTTTTGTTTAAATAATGCGTAGGAAGCTTATTTTGTATATAAAGTGTGTGCTGAACTTTACTTACTGTATTATCTTGTTGTTATCTTCTGTTTTTGGTTGCTTTTGGCTTGATTTTTCTTAAGTACATAATCATACCACCTGCTAATATTAGTGTGCCTTTTCCATAGTTTTTCTATTTTACTGGCTACCATTGCTGTTTATCAAGTTACCCTCACGCTTAGCTGCTTAAGACAGCTATTTTTGTTTGCTCATGCATTGTGGGTTAGGAGTACCAAAAAGCCCAGCTGGACTACTCTGGGTTTGCCTGTTGTCTTTGATCAGGTGTTACCTGGGGCTTCAGTCACTGGAAGCCTTGGGGTGCAGGTCCTTTGGTTCCCTTGGAGGCTGGCGGAGGCTGGCGGAGGCTGAGGGCTGGCTGCTATCTGGGCTTGACTCTCCAGGTTCCCATGGTGATTGTCAGCTTTCCCAGGCCCTTTGTGTTACCAGAGTCCTCTGCGCTCTATTGATTGAGGCATTCATAGGCTGTCCAGGTTCAGGAGGAAGCAGCACAGACCTCTGTCTTTTGGAGAGTGTATTAAAGAATTTGGGGGGAAAATAAATAAATAAATAAAAAGAGGGAGTTTATATCTTTTAAAAGATACCATGCTTTGCTTTTTATTATCTAAATGTATCAGCTGCCATTCCACAATTAACTTAAGTAATATGATAACAAGCACTCTCGTCATAACTTTTTCTCTTGTTTTTGTTTTGTAGACATGGTCTTGCTTTGTAGTGCAGGCTGGCCTTGAGCTATTGGCAATCCTCTTGCCTCAGCCTCCTGAGTGCTGGGATTACAGGCATATGCCCGCTGCCTGACTTTCTTGTCATAAATTTTTACTTGAATAGCTTCTGTTATCACCAAATGTGATTTTAGTTTGAGAAAATATTAAGGAAGACTTCATAAATTCTAAATTTTTCTAAACTTAAGTCAACAAAAGATGTTAAATTTCACCATAATCTTTTATACAGGAATTTATACTCTTGATAATGATAATTTATAACATTAAATAACTTTATGGTGGGAAAGGGGTCTGAGCAAAGTTTTAACTGTATTCATGGTGATGTGTATGGAGAAAGACTTTGTTTTTTATTTGAACTATGACTTAAACTTTTGTCAACTTTTCACTTGGCTATGCTAATTCTTTTAGGTAATTTTGGAATTTACTAAACAACAGAAAGAAGAAGATACAATTCTAGTATTTAATGTTACTCAGTTAGGAACAGAGGCCACAGTGAGAACTTTCAACCTAACTGTGGTGTCTTATTTAAAGAAGATCAGCTTGGATTACCATGAAATTCAAGGTAATATTCCTAAAAATGGAAGTGATAAAAGCAGCACTTTTAAGCATCTAAAACACTTTTATTTCTATGATAGTATATATTATAAACAAGAGTAAACATTGTTCAAAACACTTTACAAATAACAATTCATTTAAATCTTATAATAACATAGTGTTACTGTTGGTAGTTTTATGTAACTAAGGTATAGATTTCTTATAAAATTTACCCTTGGTCTAACAAGGAGTAGCAGAGCCATGAATGAAATCTTGGCAGTCCGGCAGGCTAGCAGTCTGGGGTTGCTGTTCTCAGCTACTCTGATCTGTTACCTCTGCCTTTGTGTAACTCTCCTTAGCAAACACAGAGACAGACAAAAAGGGTCAGAGAAGAATTCAGTAGCTTCCTTCATGTCATGTATTTATGGCTAGAAGACTGGAGAGTTTGTCTCTGAACCTACAATGTTGAGGGCCCCCTTTGTTTTTTTCTTTCTGAGACAGGGTCTTACTATGTAAGGCAACTGGTCTTGAATTTTGCTAATTTAGCCCCAGCTGACCTCAAACTCATGGTGATCCTCCAACACTGCTTCCTGAGGGCTGGGATTACAACAGCTGTGCCTGGCAGGTCCCAGGCTTTCTGTGCAGTAGTGGTCACATGTCATAAGCTCCAGTTAAAAATAAAAATGGGAGAGTACGAAGTTCACTCTCTTAGAAGCTCGACAACTTTCTTCATCTCAGTATTTATCTTGTGACCTCAGATATTTGAGGCATGAAGGAATAAAATGTATGATAATTAAAATTCTTTAGTGCTTCAGTCAAATATAGAGGCCTGGGTTTTATAATTTGAGAGTATTTGTAACTGAAATCAGCCTCAATTTAGAAAAGAAATATTTTACGTTACTATTTTTTTGTACAGAAAGAAAGAATTTACAGAAAGAAAGAGGGAAATGTAGATGATAAATTTTCTAGGCTGTTTTGTTGTCATGGAGGATTAGGACTTGGGAGAAAGATGCCCTGTGCGGTGGGGAAGCAGGAGTAGAAGTCCAGTGGTAAGGTGGGCGGTGGGCGGCTGCTCCCTTCCCAGGGCCTGCGTGCGAGCTGCTCCTGGCCCAGGTGCAGGGGTGGAGGCTGCTTGTGTTTAAACTTTCCAGGAAGCATTGCAGTTTGCTTCTCTTGAAATTCTCTTCTCCCAGTCTACACAAAGTTCTCTCTCTATAAAGTTCTTTCATAGAATTTTAGACACAACAGAATCCCATCCAACTTGTTCGTTACATTGTTGAAAAATATGTCTGTAGTTTAAGTCAGGAAGGATAGAGGTGAGCTGGAATTGATATTTCTTGATGCTGGCACCTGTAGTCTGTTCTGCTGCCTTACTAATGAACATGTGGCCTTAAAAATATCTAAAGAAGCTTTGATTAGTTTTGAACAGATGTGAATTCAACTGAAAATAAATACATGTTTTAAAGTAAATTAGATGCCTAAGGCAAGAACTTGGAGTGGCTTATTTCTCCATGAGTGATGGTTTTAGTATTTAATAACCATGAAAATATGCACAGGTATTCTTTTGAAGCTTAATTAGCAGCTTTTATAAAGAAGTGTCTAGCAAGTTCTAGAAGCAACTTGTTTGAAAATGGTTTTTTTTTTCTGTAGGATCAAGAAAAAAGCCCCTTCACTTGATTAGCTTTTCTGACAAACCTGGGTCAGATCTTTTAAAAGTAGAGTACATTAAGGTAAGGACCATGGCAGTGCTGGAGAACCTGTGGAGAGATGAGAGCTCAGACTGCACCCCAAAACCCACTTCTTTATGGCAGAATGCCAATTAAGTGCAATTAAACCTGAATACTGAGATTTTTGTTTAGGAAAGAACAACTTCTACATTAGCATCTTTTGTCTTTGATTTGCCAGCACTAGTCTGGACTGTGCCCCTGGGAAGTGGACAGGGCAGTGTGTTACTAATCATTCTGGGTGGTAGGTTAGTTTTTAACTGTTTCTTTTCGCACTTAAACACCTTGTTTCTCTTTCACTAAGTGAAGAGCTATTAGAAGGCTGCTGACCTCTTATTCTCAAATGCAGAAGCCTGGGCGGAAGGAGGCACTGTTTCTCTCTTTAGGGGCATAATTATATGTCCACACTTGTCTGTATAGTAGGTGACAGTTTGGCTAAGCCACATTCAAAGAAAAAAACACATTGGATCAGGTGCTGCAGAGAACTCCCAGGCCTGGAAAGAGACCAAGAAATGCACCAGGAAAGTGCTGAAGTAATTGATAAAATTAGGTTCATTTAAGATTTAATAGGTTTGTTTTAATCACTTATTATTTATTGAATGTCTATATGTGTTTCTAAATGGATTACACTACCAGGTGCTTAGAGACACAGATGACAAACATTATGTTTTGCAGGCAAATTATAAACTAGAAGGGAGAGGTACAAAAATAAATAATTAAAATGTGTTGATTGGTTGACAATATGATTATTATATAGCAGTGTAATATGAATATAATAAAGCAAAACAAAAGCATTGTGGGAGCAGACAAGCAGACAAGCGATGGCAGAAAACTCACAGGAGGTCATTTTTTTTTTTTTTTTTTTTGTCTTTTTCTTTTTTTTTATCGGTCCCGGGGATCGAACTCACGATTGCTTTTTTGCAAGGCAGTCGCTTAAGCCACTGAGCTAAATCCCTGGCCCTGGGAGGTCATCTTTTGTGTTTGGAGTTACACTGTTTGTTTCAGGGATCAGAAATACAGTGAATAATAAGGCTGGGAGATTGCTTGAAGCAGTACAAAGACTTCATTAAATCAGAGCACCCTGGTGATTGGATTTCTAAGAAGATGAGGTTTCTTTTACTGGAGATGTAAACAGACTTACCAGAGAAGTGGACAAGGGATTTCAGCATTAGGTGTCCAATGTACTAGATGACCTAGATGACCTTTGCACCTTCTACCTCCCAAGGTGTATCATTCTCACACCCTGCTGTAGGTTCCCTGAAGTGAGTACTTGTTCTCCCGGGCTCCCAGAGGAGAACACACAGCATGTTACAGTCAGTAAAATGCATGACTTTACAGTGGATTAATTACTTTGGTCTTAATTCCTTTGTTCATTTTTTATTTAGGCTGATAAGAGTGGACCTAGTTTTCAAACCACTTTTGAAAAAACTGAACAGACATTTAAGGTAAGAAATTCTATTAAAGCATATATCCTATTGAAAATAATTATTAATGGAAATCTTTAGTATTTTGGGGGGGATAGGATCTGTGTAACTTGATGATATAATCAAGAACCAATAAAAGTTATAAATTAACCTTGTAAATACTCTGATTTTTAGTAAAGCTGTTACTTATTTTAAATTTTAAAAGCCAAAGAATAATGATGATATAAAATTTCAAAACAAAGTAATAGGTTAACAGTGGTTATGTATTGTGTATTGTTCCCTTCAAAGTGATATTCATGTTACAAGATATAGGCATAAAAATGAAAGAGCAAACTTTTTTTGGACAAACTAATAGTTTAGTAGTATAGTTATCTATTGAGTGTATATAAAGAGTATATGTACATAGCTGGGCGTGGTGGCTCATGCCTGTAATCCCAGCACTTGGGAGGCTGAGGCAGGAGGATCGCTGTGAGTTCGAGACCAGCCTGGTCTACAAAGTGAGCTCAATGCCAGCCTAAACTGCATAGTGAGATCCTGCTTCAAAAAAGACAAAAAAAAAAAAAAAAGAGTCTATGTACATATAGTCTTTCCCCTCTTTGTTTTCTCCTTTCACCTATTCCAGTTGTTCTTTCCTTTTGAGCAGATTCTTTTCCTATCACTTTCCTCAGTATCTATTGTATATTTCGGATCTTTCTTACTCTTTCAGTGGTTTTTTTTGTTTTTGTTTTTTGGTATCAGGGATCGAACTCATGAACTTGCACTTGCCAAGCAGGCAGTTACACCACTGAGCTAAATCCCTGACCCCCTTTCAATGTTTTACATAAGAGAGACAGTACAATACTTAACACATGTAAGTCTGATTTATTTCACTTATGAGTTTGGTCTCAAGTTGCATCCATTTACTTATAAAAACCTCAAGTTTGTCCTTCTTTATAGCTGAGTGGTACACCATTTTATAAAAATACCAGATCTTTTTTATCCATTCCTCAGTTAATGGACACTTAGGTTGTTTCCCAGATCAATCCAATTATAAATTGTGCTGCTGTAAACATTGGTGCACATTTACCACTTTGACATGATGTTTTCAGTTCTTCTGGAAACTGCAAAATTACCCAGTCGAGGAATAGCTAGATTGAATGAGCCCTCCAGTCCTAGTTTTTTGAGTAATCTCTACACTGATCTTCACTGTGGCTGCATTGGTCTACACTCCCACCAACAATGGAGAAGGGTTCCTTTTTCCCTACCGACATTTGTTATTGGTTGATTTCTTGGTAACAGCCATTCTTTGTGGAGTGAAATGTAATCTCAATGTTGTTTTAATTTGCATCTCTCGAATGACCAGTGATGTTGAAGATTTCTTTGTGTATTTATTTGCCATTTGTATTTCAACATCTGAGAAGGGCATGCTCATCACAGATGCCTATTTTTGAATTAAGTCTTTGAATTTGAGGGGCCTGATATTTTCAGCTCTTTATATGTTCTAGTAAGTCCTTTGTCTGAGGGACAGGAGGCTAAAATTTTTTCTCTATGGGTTTTCTTTTCACACTGTGATTTCTTTTGAAGTGTAAAAACTTTTTAATAAGATAAGAATCCCAGTTGCTGATTCTTTGAAGTACTTCGATGCAGATTGCATTTTTGTTCATGAATTCTTTGCCTACCTTGTGTCTTTAAGATTTCTATTTACCTTATCTTCCAGTAGATTTAGTGTTTCTGTTTTAGTATTTGGATCTTTAATCCATTTTGACTTTACTTTAGTGCACGGTAATAGACACGGATCTAATTTTAGTCTCTGGCATGTGGAAAGCCAGTTTTTCCAGCACTGCTTAGTAAAGAGGCAGTGAACATGTTCCAGTGAACGTTTGCCCCCTTTGTCAAAAATAAGGTAGCTGAGTGTCATTGTATTTCTGTCTGCATCTTCTGATCCATTCCATTGATCTTAAGGTCTGTTTTTTTGCCACTACTATGCTGATTTTATCACAGTAGCTTTATAGTATAATTTAAGTCAGGAATTGTGATGCACTCTGTCTTGCCTTTGTTGCCCAGGATTGCCTTTGCTATTCTAGGTCTCTTCTGTTTCCAAATGAATTTTAGGGATGTTTTCTCTAGATCTGTGAAGTATGCTAATGGTATTTTGATAGGAATTGCATTAAATCCGTATAATAGTTTTGGAAGTATGGCCATTTTCACAGTGTTGATTCCTTCTATCCAAGAAGAAGGGATGGCTTCCTATTTTCTGATACCATGTTAGGTCTCCTTTTTCAGAGTATTGTAGATTTCAATATATAGATCCTTCATATCCTTTGTTAGATTAATTCCTAAATATTTCATATTTTGGGTGAAGGGTATTATTTCCATAATTTCTCTGTCAGTGAGTTTTTTGTTTGTGTGCAGGAATGCTATTGATTTTTGAGCATCGACTTTGTATCCAGGCACACTGCCGAATCTGATGAAGTGTAGTAGTCTTTTGATGTAGTTTTTGGGGTCTTCTATGTAGAATGTCATGTCATCTGAAAATAATGATAGTTTAACAACTTCTTTTCCTATCCTTATTTCTTTTATTTCTCTCGCTTGTCTAATTACTCTGTATAATGTCTCCAGAGCTATATTGAGTAGGAGTGGTGATAGTGGACATCCTTGTCTTATTCTTGAAGCATCTGTGACAAACCAGCAGCCAATATCATACTAAATGGACAAAAATTAACCCTGTTACTTTGGCTGGCTGTGTCATATTACAATTTTTTTTTTTTGAGGCAGGGTCTCTCTCTGCAGTTCAGGCTGGCCTTGAGCTTACTTTGTAGGCTAGGCTGGTCTCGGACTTGCAACGATCCTCCTGCCTCAGCCACCCAACTGCTGGGATCCCGACTGTACACTTGCAAGGCAGACATTTATGCCGCCGAGCTAAATCCCCAGCCCTTGCAGTGTTGTTTCTAAAGAAGGGAATGCTTTAAATAAGGGAACAGTGATCTATAAACAGCTGAGAGGATTGTAAGCTTCAAGTAATACAGGGCTGAGAAAGTGTGTAGGACACAGGGAGGGAGGTAAGTGCTCCTAAAGAAGTGGCAGCTGGTGCTTGTGGGTTGCACCAAAAAAGAGGGTTGAGAGGGTCTGGTTTAATAGGTGAACTTTCCTCTTTGATGTGTGCATGTGTTTTTCTGTTGTTATATTTTTTATTTTGAGACAGTGTCTGGCCTTGTATTCCTTCTTCCTCAGTCTCTCTGAGTGCTGGAATTATAAGCATACTGTTTGTGTACATTTCTTTCCATGCAGAAATGAGAAAACGAAAGATTCTTTTCCATAAGGAACTTTTGTTTTAACTTGCTGTTAGAAAACCACTTTCTTTGAGGCAATTTGTGTTGTTGTCTTAGCTTTCTGGAGTCATTTTTCTAAAAGTGTAGTACTTTTATGACATTTACTTTCTTCTGTGTTTATGACAGGACCATTTTTGTAGTTTTAATGATTTAGTAACAGAACTCTCCCAATTGTTAATCTCACAGATGCCACATTTGGAATCCTCTGTGGATTTAGTAGTATGTAGTGCTTGTGGAGTTTCAGGTTCTGACTTAAACTTGTTATATGATCATGATGAGTAGTGAATGGGAAATGTACAAAGATGCATGTTGGGAATACAGGTGGCCACGTGCAGCAGAATATGTGCTCCCTGGGCAGCTGCTTGGGAAATGGAGTGATTAGGGACCTGTGCCCTAATCTGCGCTGAGCACTGAGTGAGAACATCTAATTTGCTCTCTCTGCACCCCTGCCTTGAGGGTCATGACTTAGCTCGCTGCTGTCTTCCCAGTGATGGAAGCTGCGACGCCGTGATGCAAGCCTGGCTCCCTGTCAGGCCCCTTGTGCATACAGCAGCTTGGCATTTGCCAGTGAAAAGTAACTTTGTTTTAAAACTTTTTAGGTGGCCTTTTCCTCTTTGAACTTGTTGCTGCAAACCCAAGCTCTTCTCTCTTCTATTAACTACCTGACAACCATCCTTCCCTCAGATGGCCTTGGAGGCCATCCTGACCCAGGGACAGGCCAGCTTCCAGATAGGTGTTACAAGCCAAGAGCCCAGATTTCGGATAGGAAAGTGCTCAGTTCAGAGTCTGACCTTCCTACTTAAACTATGTGGCTGTAGGTGCATTGTTTAGCTATTCAGAATTTTATTGTCCTTATTTACTTTGTTTTACAGAACGTCACCAACTTACTGACATTCAGACTGAACTATAAGATGCGTTTTGTTGGCTTACGAACAAATCTGGAATAGAATTTGTTCATAAGTCGGGGACTGACTCTTCTTTTTAAATTGCAAAAGGAACGTCTACTAAAAAGCCTAGTTTTGTAAGGCAAAAGAAGTATTTGAAATTAAGTTTGTAATTTAACTTGTGTATGTGTATATTTCTGTTTAACAGAATTGTGGTTCAGTTAATATAGAAAAGTCTTGAATAGAATTTATATTATCTGAATTGTATTGTGAAATAACTCTTATTTTCTTTTTAGTGATTGTATCCTTTAAAGACAGTGATGTTATTGGCTTCAGATTGTTTGCCAAGTTAAATGCTTTCTGTGTCACCATTTGCAATAAGAAGAGCAGTATTGCTGAAATCAGGATACAAGGTAACAAGTTCTGGGGATATAGCCCAGTGGCCTAATGCCTGCCTGGCAAGCATGAGGTCCTGAGTTTGGGTCATGGATCCAAAAAACCCCAAAAAGATAGAAGGTAACATACTTGAGAAAACTGAGGCAGGAGGAGCTAGAGTTCAAGCCCAGCCTAGGTAACTTAGTGACTTAGCCAAGACGTCATCTCAAAAAAATACGAAATGAAAAAGGCTGCGAATGTAGCCTGTTGGTGGCACTGGGTTCAATTCCATGCATCACCAAACAAAACAGAACAAAAAACAAGGTAAAAAATACAGCGTTAAAATTCATTAAAAGATGAGCTTTTTTTTCTTTTTTCATTTATTCCCTTTCAATGTTAAAGAATACACGAACGAGGCCTTCGGCAGGGGTAGAGCCAGCAGGATACTGTTGAATCGGGTGCTTTTTTCTTGGGGCACAGTTGTTCAAGGGCGTCGCCGCGCTCCTTCATGGCGTGCGCTGGTGCTGTGGGCCTGGCGCAGGCTTGTGTAGGGTGGAAGAGTGCATGTCCACGCAGAAATGCTGACGGGTGGCAGGAGTGGCAGTCCGGCTTGCACACGCAGTCTGCGAACATCCTGCTCTTCACCAGCCTTTTTCATCATGGGTGTAGTTATCTGTCTGTATGTAGTGATGGAATGGAGGTTAGTACTGCTCTGTGCATTTGTGCTTTCTGCACAGCAGCCCTTCAATGAGAGAAAGCCTGTGAGCCATCAGTGTCTATAGAGAAAGCTGCTGAAATGCATCTCGCTCTGTCTCTGGTCTTAATAGTTATAAGAATGTATTGTCATTTGCTGAAGGTAAAGATATGCTCAGTCTGTTTCATGAAATCCTTTAAGAATTTAAGAACCTGAAAGGTAGGGATTTCTTTTTGTCCTTTCTAATCTGGTAGTACATCAACTAGAATGAACTGGATTTGTGACACTTCCATAGTCTCCATGTAGATACCTGGGTTTAAGATATAAGGGATATACTAAATCCCGAGATCATCTCTCATGTACTTTTGTCAGAGGATTGAAAATTCAGGTAATTAATGTTTATTAACTTAGAAGTTGAGTGTTTATAAAAGTATAAAATATCTAATATTATAGCTTGTTGATCAGTTGGGAATTGAGATGTTGCTAAATTTTTAAAAATTGCACCATACAATAGAAATAAATATCTTATTCATTCTAGATCTATAGAAGTTATATTAATTTTTTTTTTCAGGCCTCGACTCTTCTCTTTCTCTTCAGTCAAGGAAGCAGTCACTTTTTGCCAGACTGGAAAATATTATTGTTACAGACGTTGATCCTAAGACAGTTCATAAAAAAGTAAGTTGGACTAAATAAATGATTACTATTTTTTTGGTGATTGCATATAAAATCCAATTTTAAAGTAATGTATTTGAAATTAAGTATACTTCATGAAAATGTTTGGTTTTTTTTATAAAGATTATAAATATAAACCATATTCTAAGTGGTAATTTACTTTGTCATTACTTTGGTAGAAAGAATATGTTCACATTTCTGTTTTTCAGGCTGTGTCAATAATGGGAAATGAAGTTTTTCATTTTAACTTGGATTTGTACCCAGATGCGACTGAAGGGGATTCATACACTGACATGTCCAAAGTGGATGGCGTGGTGTTGCTGAATGTTGGCTGCATTCAGATTGTCTATCTTCATAAGTTCCTTGTGTCCCTTTTGGTAAAATCGCTATTTTCATATGAGTTTTTCAGCTGAGGAAACAATGCTGATAGTTATGATTGCAAGTGTTCCAAATCTTGCATTGTAGGTGATATTGTTTGATTAGATGTGGTAGTTATGTATGAAGGTTCAAGTAAATTGTCTTAACAGTTAAAATCTGAGTGATTTAATGATTTTTGTGTTGAATTGAAGTTACTTTTGTTAGAGTAAATATTGAAGCCGCATTCTTCCATGCAGAAATCATGAGAATGGATTTCCGTCCTTCCTTTTCCTTAGCTGTGTAACCCTGTGTAACCCCTGTGTAAGCCAGGCAGCTCGTGACCTTGGATGAGTTAGTAGTTGCTCCCATCTAACATGGTCACAGCAGGCTTAACAGAAAGTTACCTGTCCTAAAAGGTGTCAGCATCATGGAGACAAAAGGTGGTGTCCCTCTTGAGAGCCTGCTTTCTGTTTCAATTTCTCCGTACTTCCTTTGTGTCCACAGAACTTCCTGAACAATTTCCAGACAGCCAAAGAGGCCCTGAGCGCAGCCACCGCGCAGGCTGCAGAAAAGGCCGCCACCAGTGTGAAAGACCTTGCCCAGCGGAGTTTGCGCTTCTCTGTCAGCATTAATTTGAAAGCACCCGTTATTGTCATCCCACAGTCTTCTGTTTCCAGCAACGCTGTTGTGGTGGACCTTGGTTTGATCAGAGTTCAGAACCAGTTCAGTCTTGTGTCTGGGGAAGGGTCTGTAAATCCTCCTGTGATCGATAGAATGGATGTGCAGCTCACGGACCTGAAGCTGTCCAGGTGTGTTTTCCAGTGTTTCCGGGCTTAAGTATTAGGTTCACTTTTCCTATGATATTTCATGATCATTCAAGTTCATACTCAACAGGTTGCTGTTTCACAGAATCAGTGGTTTTTTTCCTTTTTAAAACTGGAAAAATAAAGACTGTACACATAAATGTTTCATCTACATTCACCAGTCTGTTATACATTTGCTGTCATTTACTTACAGCATCTTTACAATGTAAAACATTTTTGCTGAATCATTTAATAATAGACATCTTGACCTTTTGCCCCTAAATATTTCACCATGTGTGTCCTATAAACAAGAAAATTCATTCTCTTGATGTTAACTACAATGTATTTATGAGATTCTGAAAATATAGTATCACCGTAATATCACCTAACGTGCAGTCTGCATTAAGGTCATATCAGTTGTTGCAGTGATGTTGTTTGTAGTAATTTCCCCTCCCCTTCCAGAATCACACATAACTGTTTCCATTCTTACTGAGAAGAACTTCTTTCCTGATAAATGCTTTCTCTAGAATAGTTCTTGCACCTTTTTCTGTCTCTTACAATGATGCTGGTTTGAGAGGTATAATCTGGCTGTTCCATGAAACAACTCTTTTTTTGAGTGATTCCTCATGGGTTTTGATTAAGCCGAAGCATTTTTGGCCTGAATGCTCTCTAAGTAATACCCTCAGTGCTCACACTGTGTGAGACATGAAGACACACAAAAAATTAAAACTCAGGACCTATTCCATCCAAGGTGATTTAACTATCCATATTTTAAAAAGTAATACTCATAAGACAGTTGCAGAAAATACTGTTGGAGAGTAAATTTGTGAGACATGTGATTTGAGAATGTTTCTGTTACTGTTGTCTTTTTTGGTCTCCATACCAACAAACGCACAGTCACACATCACTTAGCAGTGAGGCTGCCTTCTGAGAAACGAGTTGTGGGCGATTTCATCATTGTGTGAATGTCACAGTGCTCCTTGGATGAGCCTTGCTGGTGTAGGTCAGTTGTTTTGATGTGGTCTTTTGTAATCTGGATCAACAGTCAGCAAGAGATGATGAGGCTGTTGTCAGTGTGACGGGGCAAGCTGTTGTAGTTACATTTGTTTGGTAAATATAGTTTAACGTAATAAAAGTATAATAAATCCATAAGCCAGTGACAGTAGTTTATGATCAAGACTTTGTACTCTGTGTGGTCTGATGTGCTGTGATTCTGTGTGATTGGCTGTACAGTAGGCTTGCTCACAGCAGCATCTCCACGCCCACACATCGTGCCTTGCACTACCACCCAGGACAGTCGTGACGTCTCTAGGCAGCAGTCATTTGTCCTCTCCATTCTGATCTTGTGGAAACATTCCTGGTCCACTGTAGCAGTATGTTTGAATACCTCTGTTTGGTGATTTTAACTCGGCTAGTCCTCAAGAAACAGTTTGATGATTTCTTGCACATCTTCAACGGTGTAAATTTCTTTTTAAAAGAAAAATGTTTTCTTAATAGTGTACAGTGTATGACATTTTAATTTATCCCTGATAGTGGATTATCAATTAATTATAACTCGGTTTTGAAGTGAAAAATTCAAGTAATGCTGCTTCAAATCAGTATTTTAAAAAGGCAAATGACCGCTTGCCTTTGCTGTTTTAAAGACATGTTGTGTTTTCCTCATACATGTCCACATCTGATGTTTCTGTTTTTCTTTAGGACAGTGATCCAACCAGGCACCTCCCAGCCTGATATTCAGCTGTTGCACCCAATTAACTTTGAGTTTTTTGTAAATCAAAATCTACCTGCAAATTGGTATCATAAGGTACCTGTTGTGGAAATTAAAGGACATCTTGATACAATGAATGTAAGTGCACAAGTGAAAAAACAAAACAAAACAAAAAAAACCCTTGGTCATTGAAGTCTTACATTCTGAATACTTTATTAATATAGAACTCCCTGAAAAGTAGAGTATTTTACTGAATGATGTAAGAATTTCAGTAAGATACAGTTCAAAAAGGTATTACCCCTTTCAATAAAAATCTCTAAATAAGTAATATTTAACTTTTACATTTTCTGTACATATGGAAGGAAATCTGTGCACAAATTTTCCTGGTTTCATGTCTGCTGTATATCATATATCACTTAATTTTTAAGGTCATCTATGTAGTACCTCTAAGATAATTATAGCATTGGGAGAAGTGCCTGGTAACTGAAAACAGCCATTTTGTTTCACTCAATTTAAACAAACAGACAAAATTGGATGTATTTGCAGAATGTCTTTTAAAAAAATCAACTCTCTAATTATACCTTTCAGGAAAAAAATAATATAAATTAAGTCAGTGGAGTGAATGTTGATTTATGTTACTATCTTTGAAAATAAAATGTTAACATGAAATAGTGAAACACGTGCGTAGTAATTGTATATATTTTTGGTAAGGTAGGGTTATTCTGTGCTTCATGCTTTGTTTCTGAGAATGTTCTGTAATAAACTGCTGCATTTTAAATGAAATATATCTACCTTTTGAACCTAATATTTCACAGGTTTGTCTAAATCAAGAAGATCTTAATGTTTTGTTTAGAATACTGTCGGAAAATCTTGGTGAAACTCCTGAAGAGTTAGATAAAGTGAAACCAAGAGTACCAGAGACAGGTAAGAGATGCACAGTAGGTGGCTAATATTTCACGGTTATTTTGCAGTTTGATAGACAATAAGAAGACATCGTTCTCTTCTCTGTATGGTGGGTTGGGATTTGAATCCAGAGTCTAGGAGTTAAGGTGCACATACTACCCCTGTGCTGCACCTGCAGCCCAGCACAGACAGGACACGTGAGGTAAGCAGGTACACATTCATGATTTGGATTTGTATTACCAGCAAATAAACAAAGTGCCACCCAGTGGAAATGTGTTAACTGGACATGCTGCTGCCTGCTGATGGCCCAGCATTTAGGAGCCTGAGGCAGGAGAGTTGTCCTGAGTTCCAGCCTGTGCTACGTGGTGAGTTCAAGGCTAGTGTGAACTACACAGATCCTGTCTTAAAAATAAAAGCAAAAACATAAAATAACACATCGTGGTTAAAGATGCTTGACTCTTATTAGTTAAGCAAGCAGGTATTATGAAGTCCTGGAGTAATTATTAAATTTGCAATTAAGTTGCCACTAAGCTGTGGTAGCACATTCCATATGATTTTTAAATTAGGCTTAGTAGTCAGATGTCTGTAAGAATTAAAATAGTTGATAAATTATCACTCCTTCCAAAGATCCCAGAACATGCTGCAATAAATATGTAAGCAAATTTAAATGATCAGATACGGCCTTTTTGACTTAACCACTACATACTTTCCATGCTGCTGTATATACACGCGCACACGCACACTTATGTATATAAATAATGTGTTATGCACACACACATATTGATATAATCTTCAGTGTTTTTCAAATTAGCACCTGTGTTTGTGAACCTTGCTATGTTTTTCCTAAATTATCAGTATCTTTTGTGTGTACTTTTTATATCTGTTTATATGCTCCCTATAGGCTGTCTTCATTTTTGTCTTTTTTTCATGGCACCGAAGGGCACAAGTACTAGGGCTGTACACAGCGCTACATTCCCAGCCCTTTCCTAGATTTCGAGGTAGGGTCTTGTTGTGTTGCTGAGCTGCCCAGGCTGAGTTTGATTTACAGCGCCTCCCAGAGTGCTGAGATTACAGGCCTTTGCCAGCATGCCTGCGGCTTTCATTCTGTTTAATGGCGGCCTGGTATTAGAGCCTGTGGAAGTACGTGCCATAATTTATTTAGCAAGTCTCTCCTGACAGAAATTTCAAGCTTCCAAAGTTTCATTTGTATCACGTTGCACTGAATTTGCACTTGTGTGTCATAAGAAAATATCAGTTAAGGCCTGTGCAATCTTTATTAATTTAAATTTATTAGTAACATAAAAATCTAACAAATTGATGTAATCATTTGGCAGATCTTGCTGATTGCTCACTAAAGAACTTGTATTAGGTTTGTACTCCTACTGGGTAGCTTTTGCGTGCCTTTATAACACCAGATAGTACCAGATTTAAAACGTTTTGCCCCTTTTTAAAGTGAAACATAGGATTTCAGGGTTTTTCTGACTATATTGTAACATCCATGAACACATCTTGTGTGCGAGGCAGAGTTTTTATAGTGTGTGCTCCTGTGTCATCCCTGTGAGTGAGGTGCAGCATGGCTCGCGAGGCCTAGATAGTGCCCCCATCTGCCCAGAGGTCACTGTGCTCCGACCGGTCCCACTGTGGAGGGTCTCGTATCTCCCCGAGTTTTATGTAAAGCTGTAGGGAGCCACTCTTCGGGAGCATGTCTTCAGCTCTGCTTGGAGGATGCCTCCGCCCTCAGGCCTTTCTTCCCCACGCTGGAACCAGGCTGTGCCTTGTTTGGTGTCATCTGTGCACCTTAGAGTCTGTTAACCTTTGTCCACTCCATGTGAGTAGGTATGGCTGCCTGGCTGGCTAGTGGGCAGACTGTGTGTGTGTGTGTGTGTGTGGGTGTGGGTGTAGGTGTGTGGGTGTGCGTGCGTGTCTGTGTGTCTCTCAATCCACCCTTCCTGAGGATTGAACTCAAAGCGATGCATCCCCAGCCTTTTTAGTATTTTATTTATTTTTTTGAGACATAGTTTTGCTGAGTTGTTAATAGTCCCATGCTGGGCTTGAACTTGCCTTTCTTCTGCCTCAGCTTCCCAGAGTGCCAGTCTTTTGTTTTTTATAGGTATGTGCCACCATGCCTAGTCTTTTGTTTTTAGTTGAAATGTATATGTCTCTTGTACTAAACTGTGGGTTTTCTGAGGGCCAGAAGGGTTATTGGTTTATGGATTTTTAGTTCCTTCATTAGGTCCAGAGCACTTCTACATGTCCTCCTGAGTGTGTAAGAAATGTGTGCATAGAAGTGAATGAATTTCTTTTTAACATCTGTAGGTGAAATCAAAGATGCCCCTGAAGTTTCTACATCACAGAGATTACAAGCTTCAAAAGATGCTTCAAGAGCTGAAAGAGAAGAAATTAGATCTGTAAACATTGTTAATGTACTGCTGAATTTTGAAATTAAAGAGGTAGGTGATTTTCATGTTTTTGTAGAGAGGTAAGTTAATGGATTTGTAGAATTACCTGTATTAAAATAAGCTTCTGGTAATTAATATGGGTGAAAAAAATCTTAGGTAGGCTATTTACATGTAATGATGTTTAAAATTTGAGAGTTTAAGGATGAGTTATGTTTGGGGGATATAAGATTACATAGAGAAAGCTGTAGAATTTTCTATAACTTCCTTTTAATGATTATGAGACAGCCAGAATGTGTCTTGCTTTGCGTTTTTTATTATCTAAGCATAACAAGACAGGGAACTAGTGATGCAAAATCCTTTACAAATGTTAGAAATTCTAAAGAGAATAAAACCAGTAAGTGTACACTAAGCGTTATGGTACTCATGCAGAATGGTACTCGGTCAGTGTACTTCCATTTACAGATTGTTGAGGAAAGGTCAGGTAGATTTTCCTCTCCCTCACGCACACACTCAGCACGTATTCATTGCACGTGCTAGGTATTTAGATGCCTAGACCTTGAGCTCGGAAGTGTTTGTTCCCCCTTAAAGATGTGCTCAGTTAGGGTTCTGTTAAGGTTGTGGCACGGGTGGTAGGGAAGGTGCATCTGAGCAAACCGAGAGGGTCCGCAAGTGTATTAAACTGAGTTTTCCTGCAGGAAGTGTAACTTTGAGTTGAGCTTTTAAAAGAGCAGCAGTAAATAACCTGAGAAAAGGAGATTAAGAAAGGGGGGGGCAGGATGGACTGGAGTGGGCATGAAATTGTGAGAAAGCATAGAGCGTACAGGGAACCACGGACCTTTCCCAAAATACCTGGTTGTTGCGTAGTTCTCTAAATGTCATGCTCTTCCTCTGAGCTAAAGATGAATGAATGGGCTCTGTGTTCACTTCGCAACTAGATTCTGGATTGTTAAACCTCCAGTATGTTTTCTGTGTAATATCAGTTACATAAGCTTTATTTTTATTTTTATTTGTTTGTGTTTTTGAGAAAGTGTCTCCCTTTGCAGTTCAGTCTGGCCTTGAGCTTACTTTGTAGCCCAGGCTGGTCTCAAAGTTGCTATATGATTCTCCTGTCTCAGCCTCCCGAGTGCTGGGATTACAAGCGTGTGCCACCATGCTTAGCTTAGTTACTGAAGATTTTTAAGCTTGATAATTAAAAGACTGATCGGAGTCAATTTTTTGACAAGTGTGTAATTAACATATGTAGATGGAAAACCTGTCAGTCCTTTCTAATATGATTTGCTGTAGATACTATGGTAGTTCCCTTCCCTGAGGACAGTGGTCAGGGTGGAGAAAACCACTAGAAAAAAGTGGCAGTGCTTCAGTCTGAACAAGCATAGGTGTCGCCTCGGGTAAATGATGCCGCCTCCAGTCACCAAAGAAGGTGGACGTTTTTACATTGTGTGACTCTCAGTGTTGTATCAGTGTCCTTATTAAATTCTTGTGCAGCAGTGAAATCGTGGGTGGTAATACTGGTGCATTCCTACAGGTTATGGTGATGCTGATGAAAAAGGCGGAAAAGAGTGGGAGGCCAGTGCACGAGCTCAGTGTCCTGCAGCTTGGAGTGGAAGCTAGAGTTCAAGCTTATGCCGTGACCGCTGAAGCTTATCTCCAGCAAGTCAGCATGCGGTGCCTGGATTTCACTGGTCAGTGAGTTATGCAGTAGGCAGGTGGTCTTCTGGATCGCCACCCCGCATGTGTCACCATAATCATTCAGGTTAAATGTATTGATGCGAAGGCATGTGACGGTTTAAAACCTACCATCTTACCTAGTTACACATACATACTCAGGTAGTGTAGAGTAGAGTATTTCTGGAAAAGGAGCCACTTGTCACTGTGTGTGATACTTCAGTACTTAGGAAAGGCACTGTTTCGTTGTAACTGTGCCACGAGAGCTGATCCATCAGGAGACCAGGACCTGGGTACATACAGGGACTTACTTGGGAAAGTTGAGTTAGTTTATTTGTTGCTATTCATTTCAAAATTACATGTATTTTAAAATTTCTTCTCATGTATATCACTATATGCTTATGAAAAAGGAAATTTCAGCAATACAGAAGTTTATGGAAGGAAAAATTTAACATAATCCAGAAGTCTCTTTTCCCCTCAAGTAAAAACTAAATTGTTGTTTTGTGAGTTTCTTGGATCTCCTAAATTCATTTTCTCTTTCTTAGTTTTAGTGTGCTAGTACATGTGCGTAGTGTGTAAAGTTCCCTTCCTTTGTGTGGAGTTGACACCTTACACCACACATCTTCATCCCCTTTCCCTTCCCTCCCTCACCTGTCCCCCACACTTGTCCCTTTCCTCTTCCTAAGCTGTCTTCATCTTTATGCTGGATTTCTCATAGAAAAGGAACAATGTGATATGAGACAACTTTTAAAAGTTTCTGGTGACATTTAAGGTTTATAAGAACTCTGTGGAAGAGCTTTAGGAAAACACGCTTGTGCCGTGCGTGGTAGTGCATGCCTGTGACCCCAGCACTTAAGCGGCCAAGGCAGGAGAAGCTCTGGGAGTTCAAGGCCAGCCCGCACTACATAGCCAGGCCCTGTCTCAAAACAAAACAAGCTCATATTGAGAATAATCCCTGCTTTTATGTATTTTATAGTTTTGTTCTTTATAGCATATAATATGTGATTTGCTCAAATGAGTAATAGTAGTAGTATCAAATGTTACATAATTTTTAAATTATCTTGACTGTTTTTATATATAAATATATATACACATATATATGTTGTTTCTTTCAGCTTTTCATGCTAATGAGACAATATGATGTTTACGCATGTGTGTCTTATTTATTTTACTAATGAGTATGGTCTCAAGTTGTATCCATTTACCTATAAAAGTCTCTAGTTTGTTCTTCTTTATGATTGAGTAGTGCTCCATTGCATAAAAACACTACATTTGTTTTTATCCATTCCTCAATCACTGGGTATTTAGCTTTTTTCCAAGATCTGGCTATTATAAACTGTGCTGCTATAAACATGAGTGCACATGTATCACTGTGGTATGATGTTCTTAATTTTTTTGGGAAGACACCCAGTTGGGAATAGCTAGACTGTGAGCCCTCCAATCCTAGATTTTTGAGGAATCTACACTGATTTCCCAGTGGTTGCACCAGTTTACATTCCCACCAATGTGAAGAAGGGTTCCTTTTTTCCCACAGCCCCTCCAGCATTTGTTATTGGTTGATTTCTTGATCCTGGCCATTCTTTCCGGGGTGTGGTGAAATCTCAGTGATGTTTTCATTTGCATCTCTGAATGATCAGTGATGCTGAACATTTTTTCACATCTCACAGGTTATATAATTGACTGGTACTGGGTTTGTTGTTTTTAGGGATTTTTCTCTCTCTTTTCAAAGCCAGGCTTCTTGAAGCATGATTTCATATTTAGTGTAAAATTTACACTAAAATTTAGCAGTGTAATTCATATTTAGTGTAAAATTCTTAGTGTTGATGAACATACCTTAATGTAACTGGCTGTTCATGCTGTGTAAAAGTGTGAGGCATTTGCAGTGCTGACCAGCCTGTCTCTTGCCCCCAGACGCAGAAGGAGGCCCTCTGCACATCGTGCGCTCCTCTCGCGTGACTAAGGAGCCGCTCCTGAAGATGGCCTTGACCAAGGTACCAGCTTTCTGTCTAACTCCTGAATATGCTAAGTTATGTCTGTTCCCTTCATGTTTAGTGCTCCAGTTTTTCTCCTTTGAAAGTGTGCTTTATCCTTGGGTTGACTGCGATGAATTTGAAAGCATCTGCACACACTTGTTAACTTTCTGGTTTCTCTAGGGAAACCAGACAAGTGGTTTGGACAAGTGGAACAGAGAAGCTGTGCTGTGTTCTGAAGCAGAGTGTATTATCATCCAGTACACAAGCATTTCCCCTGCAGTTCAGATTTGTCCATTAGTATTTCCTCCAGAGTAGTTCTTTTCATCTGTAGGATGGGAGATGTGGTTTAAATCATGTTCTTTACCTATAAGAAATGTGTTTTAATAGCATACTTTAATAAGTAAAAAATGGATGTTTATTCAGTACATGCAATTTTAGTGTTTGTAATCCATTGATTTAATTACCCACTGTTTGTAGGCAGACAGTGATGGACCGGAATTTAAAACTGTTCATGACAATACCAAACAGAGACTAAAGGTAAGCTGGTAATGATTAAATGTAGCTTCATAGCCATTTTGAGTTGTAAGGTTGTGCTAACATTAGAATATTGTGAAAATAAAAATAGATTAATTTTTGTCGATAAAGCCAGTGCATATAGAATTAAAATACACTTTTTATAAAAATTAATTTGATTTATAAAGAGATTGCTTGTTTCCCAGATGTAAATTGCTCTTTACTTACTTATACAACAAATAATGTATTCTCAAGGAAATGCTGTCCATAGTTATTTGGCCTGATACTGATTCAGCATTAAATGTTAGCGTTGTGTGTTGGCGTTAGGATTAAGGACGTTGTTCACATTCCCTTTTGCAAATGAGTCAGTGTTGGGACGCTTCCTATACATTTTCTTAAAACTCAAACCCTGTGGACAATAGAATTATGTTTGCACACAGGAGTGGGAAGAGTATTGGTTTACTGACTGATTACAATTAACATAATAGTGTTTCTAAGAATTGATGCTGGTAGTAATTCATTTTTTTAAGGGCTTTTCTTTAATTGAACTGCTCTTGTGCTAGTTGTGTGTGTTGAAACTTAACACAAATGTTACTATGTCTTACTCTGCCTCTCTGTTTTCTTAGGTTTCATTTTCATCCTTAGACATATTACTTCATTTAGAAGCTTTACTTTCCCTTATGGATTTTTTGTCATCGGCTGTTCCATCCTCTGAGTCGTCTTCTAGGAAGGAATCTGAGCTAAAACCACTTGTAGGGGAGTCCAGAAGTATTGCCATCAAAGCTGGTATTAATTTTTGAGTAATGGTCAAATGCTTTCTCTCATATAATACTGTAATGTATTTTAAGCTAAGAAGATACTTACTATCTTGATGTTACTATACCTGATTTGACAGTTTAAGTTAGTTTTGAAAGAACTCAAAATTTTTCCTTATAGGATTATACATCAGTTTATTGAAATGTTTTAAATAAATGTTGTTTAATGGTGTTTTTTTTTTATTTTACTGGCTAGATAGCATCTTTTTTGCATTGACATCTCTTTGCATTCTTCAGTGCAATAGAAATGAGAAAGGAAGAAGTTAAAGTTCGAATGCAGTCACGCATAGTTACAAAATTGTATTGCGCCCAGTCCTGTCTAGTGCTGAGCAGGCTTCAAGCCTTGTGCGCACTGAAGGAATCTCACAGAGAAGATGGACTCATTCTGTTTCTAAATAGATCTGGGAACATGTTTGCTAGGCAGATACCTTGAGCTGTGAAATGTTAGCTCTGAAGTATCTACAGTCAATAGAGAATGTGTATTGGTTTGTAGAGCAAGCATCATTTTGGTTTTTCACATTGTATGATATGAACTTGTAACATACAGTAATTCAATTAGAATAGATTGGTATTACTGGGATCTTTAGAATAAAACTGTTATTACCATTACATCTGATACAAGGATCTGATTTTTTTTTAACCTTGGAAGATAGCGAATTGTTCTAAACTAGAGTAAAAGCGTTTTACCCATTTTATTGTTAATTTGCTTGCAACAGCAGTACAGTATCTAGAGGTAATAGCCTTGGAGTCTTCTGTTATAACATATAAATAGAATACATAGAAAAATAGTTGAATACATGAAAAATAAACATTTAAAATTACAATAACCTACAAGCAATTTTAATTCATAGAAACAGTCTTGTGGTTTTGCTGTATGATTGGTCTTCATGGTTTGATGTTGCCACATTTGGTATTAGGGAAAAAACCAGCTTATCATCATGTAATGGGGATTAATTACTAATACATATCCTGATGGTTTTGCAGTTTTATAGGAAAGAACTTTAAAAGAACTGTAGTCCTTTATATTTATATCTTATCCATTCTGAATTTATTTTACAATTCTTTATAGAGCCATTGCATATACTGTAGTAAAATTGGATTGCTTCCATAGTTAAATAACATGTATAATAAGTGCCATAGTAAATAAAATGAACTGTGTTAACTAGTCAACATATTTTACTTCTGTATTAGTTACTGTTTTGATATAATATATGACAGGTTTTAAAATCAAACTTTTAGACGAATAGAATAGAATTCTAATTTAAAGTGTTTTATTTTATTCTTGAAGGAAAATCAATGAAATTTTCATGTCATGAATAACACAATCAGGATGTTAACAGTAGTTATGTTTACTCTTAATGTGAAGGGAAACTGCTATTTTGGGTTGGTTTTTGAAAATTGACTCAAAGTCACATTTTATCTTAATGGAGAGCTTTTTGGCTCCTCCTAGTACAATTTTATTTTATTGAATTTGAGATTATTTTGTGTGTTCTATCATCTTTACACTTTGCCAATCACAAATTTTCTATTACTTTTTAGTATCTGGCACCATTTCTAAAAAGGATATGTTCGATTTAAAGGTTACAGCTGAATTAGATGCTATTAATGTTCTGTAGCTGATGTTAAAATACATGGTGAGTAATTCTATTTTGTTATATAAACATCCAGCAAAAGTGAGCTTGTAGGGGTGAATTTCTTATGAGTCAAACATTGTTTCCTTACACTGAAGGTTAAAGGTATATTTGGAAATGTTTGTAGTAAATTTGTTATAATTCTTTTCTGACTTGAGACATTCCATGTGTATTTTTAAAATTTCAGATTATATCTGAGGCCTTAATTTGTTTCTGTACTTGTATTTTTAGAATAATCTGATAATTGAGACATCACAGAATTTTTAAAAAATAGTTTATTTATTTTGCCTTTTCCCCGTATGTAGCATAGGCAAAGGAGTTTCTGAAAGACACTTGTGACCTTTTGATGTTGTCGGCTTGAAAGAATGAAGCAGCACATTACCCTTCCTCCTTTCCTCCTCTTTTCCTTCTTTCCTGTCTTTCCTTTGTGGGATTGAATCCAGAGGCTTTCCACTGAGCTATACTCTCACTCTAGTTTTTAAACTTTTTGTAATTTTGAGCCAGGAGAACTTAATTTCTTCTGAAGTTGCTCAGTTGCCCTGGCTGGGCTTGAATTTGGGATCCTCCTGACAGCTTTCCGGAGTACTGGGATTATAGGCCTCCACCTCCAGGTCTGGCTAGGTGTTTTGTTTATTTGGTTTTAAACTCACAACTTTTATGTAAGATGCATGAAGTACTTAAAGGTGTAACCTGTCTTACATACCTCATACGTGAATACTGGTATAACAATACCAGTATGTCTAATAATAGCTTGTGTTGACTCTGTATGTTAGTAGTATGTTACTGAACACAGCACTGCTAACTTGACTCATCTGGATTGAATGAATCCTTTGTGAAAGTCTTGCCTTCCCTAGGAATGGACGCCTCTGTTTCTGTGAAGCCAAAACAGACTGATATGTTTGCCAGACTTCAGAATATCATAGTAACAAATGTTGATTTGAAGTCCATTTACAAAAAGGTAAAAATTGATTTCTCAACTGAAATGTCTTTTGTGTTTTATATTTGAGATGCTTTTTTGTTGTTGTCCAATGCATTTACTAGTCTGTCACATGAGGCCTTCTCTAAGGGTGGGGATATAGATGGTGACCACCTGCTTTCCTGTCATGTGCACACTAGACCTTTTGGTTACTTCTGAAAGTGCAATGATGGACTGATACTGCCTTTAGTAAAGGGTTTTTTATAACGATAGGAAAAAAGTTACTGTCAAATAAGTTGGGTTAACTAATAATGTTTAAGGCTGAATCGGGGGTCACTTTCTCTAATGAGGAACTTTGTGATACAGAGAAGGGCCTGCAACTCTCCGGTGCCAAAGCCAATGATCTCATCCTTTCAGGCTGTCTCCATCTTGGGAGAGGAAGTCTTTCGGTTCCAGATGACTTTGTATCCAGACGCCACAGAAGGAGAAGCCTATGCCGACGTGTCTAAAGTGGATGGCAGACTTAGTCTCAAAGTGGGTTGTATTCAGATCGTTTACGTTCATAAATTCTTCATGTCTCTGTTGGTAAGTGTATGTTTCAGTATGTGTTTATTTCTCATTGGGGCCTAAATAATTGCCTGTACTCCTGAACCCAGGGAGTCCAGGTCTTCACAGTGGGCTGTGTTAAACACCCAAACACCAGCCAGATTACTGCAGTCAGAGATCTTTAGATGATGGTTAACTAAGTGAATTTTAAAACTCATTGGTAAGTACACAAGCTGTGTTTCTCCAGCATTTTTTTAGGTGTGTATTTTACAAGTGCTTTTTAATTTAGGACTTTTTAGTAGTACTTGTTTATGGGAATGCTCGTAGAGATGTTTAGCTAAAAGAACTTTTAAAGGAAGTTTGGCAAGTATCTTAAGAACTAATATTAGAATTTACAGCTGTTGCTTATATTTGTGATCACTAAGACCATAGAATTCTTTTGTTTTTATCTGTCATGGAAGTAGCCTATGCTGAAAAGTTTTAAGTCTGCTTACTGCTTTTAGCAGGGTTGCTAACCAGAGCTTATCTTTCATGAATTTCTCTCTGAACTGTCATGTTCACTTGTGTAGAAAGTGAATTATTTCGGGAGAAGAGGAAGAGGTTAAGTTTATGACAAATGGTGGATATTAAGAACATGAGTTGTAAGAGCAACTGTTTCTTTGCTGGGAAGAATCTTTCTGGTTGCGTGGAGATGAAAATGCATCCTACCTAAATAAAGAAGTTTTGATTCTTAGTCATGATTGCAGAATTGTAGGTGGTTAACCATTTGTGTCCATCCATATGCAGTACATTAGAAACAAACTCAGTAATAAGCTTCCTGAACCCTCATTTTTAAAAGTAGACTGTATTTACTGCGACCTAGAGGTATAGAATAGAACTTACTGTTGGGGAGATAAAGTGCTGTCCTCCATTCCTTTCCTTGCATGTGGCATAGTTACTAAGAAACATTTTAAAAAGAATCATATCAGAACTTCATCATAAAATTAATGGTTAAAAATAGAAATAAAAAAAGAATAAAAAATATAAATGAAAGTTAAGAATCTTTACTCCCTGGAGGTAGCTGTTGTTAATAGCGCAGGGTATATCTTCCTAGACTTTACTCTTCTCCACGTACACAATCATAAATAATCTCTTTTATTATGCTTATTTAGTTGTTCATTTTGCAGCACGTACTTTTGAAAGTGTTTTCCTTTGGAGAACAAACATCTTTTGGGGGGAAGTCTTTAACTATCATTCTCTTCCAACAGAATTTCCTCAACAACTTCCAAGCTGCCAAGGAAGCTTTGAGCACGGCTACCATGCAGGCTGCAGAGAGAGCTGCTTCTAGTGTGAGGGACTTGGCCCAGAAGAGCTTCCGCCTTGCGATGGATGTGGACCTGAAAGCACCGGTTATTATTATCCCTCAGTCTTCAGTGTCGTCTAACGCTGTGGTGGCAGATCTCGGTTTAATCAGCGTGGAAAACAGCTTTAGCTTGCTTCCTGCAGAACGTTACCCTTTCCCTCCAGTCATTGATAAAATGAAGGTCCAACTCACTCAATTGAAGCTGTCCAGGTAAAATTATGTGTGTAACTGTCATAATTTGCTAGAAAGAAGATTTTTACATAGTTTTCCTAGGATTAAAATAGTGATATTTTACTCTCATTGTTTAATTATGAAACCTTAATCATTTTTGACTAATTGTCAATATAATGGTGTGCTTTATAGTATCTGTATTTTGTAGTACCAAGTTTAGAATGTTATTTTCCATTCTGTGAAAACTTACATGTTAAAAGATATCAGCTTACTAGCTGGGATTAGTGGTTCATGCCTGTAGTACTTGAAGCAGGAGGCTCACTTGAGCTCACAAGTTCCAAACTATGCTGTGTATTATAGCAAGAGCCTATCTCAAGGAACAAAGAAAAAAAATTTATGGAGAATGTTACAGAATGTATGTACTTGCTCAGAAATACATCTTCATTTCATTTGCTCATAGCTAGTTCTTCCTAAATTTGTAGTAAGATTTAGTATTTGTAGTGTGGTGCTTAAAGGATTTTTGAATCCAGATGGGAAGGTGTTGACTCTGTTTAGCGGTCAGAGTTCTTATTTCCTCGTGCAAATGGCTGTTTGTAGGCAAGTTAGAAATGTTTATTGCCATGTGAGTCACTTTAGATTTGATGTGTTTTTCTCTTTGGATTTGGAGAAGTAACATATTGAGGACTGAGTATATGATTGCTTCATTTATTTTGTTTTCACAGAGTACAAATATGAGATACTAGCTGCTGTATCATATAGTTTTTGTGAAAGATAGCAAATGATACAGTGATAATTTCTGGAAGTTATGTCTTTGTTTTTGATAACTATATATAAACTTTATTCTGATTTGCTCTGATTTATGGAAAGAAATATGTTCTAAAAGAGTTCTGATAGTAGCTTTTATGTATTTAGGAAGGTGCCTTGTGGAAACTCTTAAACAGTGTGGGATATTGTCATTTTAAATGTCAATTTAAAGCGTATATGGAAGCATGATCTTGTTTCTCTTCTCAGAACTATCTTGCAAGCTGACTTGCCACAGGATGACATTGAAATCTTAAAACCAGTAAACATGCTTTTGTCTATACAACGAAACTTATCAGCAACCTGGTACATGCAAATTCCTGGGATCGAGATAAAAGGAAAGTTAAAACCTATGCAGGTATGCGGATCACATGAGATAGATGGCCATTGTAGGTGGACCTTCATGGTGGATCACAGTGCAGTTCTAGTGTATTAAAAGAGATGCTTTCTATCAAGTGAGAGCACCCTTGTCGCTTGCTCTTTTATTACATTTTAATTAGCTGTGTGGTAAAACTAGCAAGAATGTTGAAAGAGCTGGTACAATGGCTCAGGTTTCAGGCCAGTTGGTGCAGTTGAGGGCCTGCAGATGTAGCCCTGTGGGGGAGCACTTGACCTAGCAACGTGTGTGTGTGTGCACACTTGCACACATAGGAGAGGGGGTGGGGACTAAGATAAACCTGTTGAGTCTGCTGAAACTACTGTTCTTACTTTTGGAAAATTCTATTAAAATTTTAGTGTGTTTAAATTGTAAGAGAATGAAAAGTGATGTTCACGTACCACAGAGATTTTTTAGTTGTGATTTTCTTTTTAAATTAAAGTTTTTCGATTGACACAATATTTGTACAGTGACGGAGTAGTATTTTCAGGTGTAGGAAGCCTCCTGGAGTATCACTTTGAGTAGGCAGAGGTTTGTGTTGGTAGCAGAGCAGTGAAGCAGCGTCTCAGAGGCAGTCTTTGCAGGTGTTGTGCCAGCTCCCGGGAGCAGGAGAGACCGGGGACAGGAGCTATGGGAGTGTACTAGCCCTGTGGTTCTCAAGTACCCGTGTGTGAAGTGGGAAGCTCTACAGCACGTGTCAAGATAGTGGGGAGAGAGTAAGCAAATTGAACGAGTGAAAAGCCAACCAAACTATAATGTCAGTAGCTTTGGTATCCGTGGTTATTCTAGGGTTGGTTCTGTGATAAGAAGGGGTTGGAGGAGCATTTAGGAAGGCATTTAAAGTAGAAGCTTGTTGTGCAAATGGAAGGTTTTTAAGTAGATGTCCCAGTGAGTACAAGTAGATGTATTAAATGAAAGAGTGGTTGAATGATTGATACTCCAGAGCATGGGTTCTTTCTTTCAGTTCACAGAGCACTATATATTGCAGAGTTTTTTCTCTGAAGTTGTAGGGTAGTCTGTATTCCAGACTATATCTTCTGTGCCTCAATTTCTCCTTATTGCTAAGATATTAGATTCCAGGACAATATTTGATTCTTCCTTTCAAAGATTGTAGAGTTACAGATTTCCTGAAAGCAAAAGTAAAATGTAAATGTCTGTCAATGGGACAATGTGGATAAAATTATAATTAGTCACATTTGGGAATTACAAAGTATCTAAAATAAATGAACCAGAATTATAGCATATCTTAAAGATAAAAATGAAAAAAATTAATTGCAAAATGATAGTACAGTTTTATGTTACTTGAAAATATTTTAACAAGCAAGGGTTGCATAAGTTATAGGATATGTAGTAATGGTAAATGTTAGAAAGCATTCATGAAAATAATTGTCGTACTCGGGATGGAGTCTTTCCATGGATGTGGGAACGGGCTCTCACAGAGTTGCATGGAGGATTCAGCTATGTCTGTAAAGGGAAAAAGATCTGAAGGAAATGTGGTAACTTGTTAAGATTTGATGAAGCCAGGTGGTAGGCACATGGGAGGATTATAGTATTTTCTTTTTCTTTTATGCTTGAAATATATCAAAAGGAAAAAGGAAAAAAGCAGTAAATCCAGCAGGTTAGCATCAAAGTATGATCATTATTTTACCCAAAGGGCTCTTGTTAATTCAGTAGTGCAGCCACACTGGATAACATTTCCACAACCCGATCTGTCAGTGAGTCAGGCCTGTTGAATCACTTAGGCTTTGGGCACGGTTCGTGTAATTTCCTGGGTCAAGGGTGCTGCTGAGAAAGATATCAGGCAAGTGACACCAATAAATTCTTTTCAGTATATTGTTTGACAGTTCTTGAAGAACTCTGGGGCCACCTTTCAGAATTATCCTGTAGCCTTCCTGAAGGTCGGTGTAGTAGGCGATCTATAGCACTTTTGTTCAAAGCACACAGGGTGGTGAGGTCAGCTGCCCTTTGGGCTACTGTGATAACTTGGTTGGTATCCAGATAGGAATGGACACTGAGGAAGTTCTAAGGAATTGGTGTTATTCCTGTTATCCAAGGACCGGGGCTGGAAACAAACAAGAAGTCCCTGATCATTGCCTTGTGCAAAAGTATCTCCTTATTTTCGTTGAGGAGGGGTACTAGGCAGTGTTGCAGGCTGAAGGGATCTAATTTAGGGGACACAGGTTACCTTTGCATCCGGAAGTTAACTGTGCATGTGTACGTGTTGGTGTGAGACCATGTGTAAGTTCTGAAAACAAAGTTTTACGATTCTGGTGTCTGGAAGTGAAATTTACAAAAGATAGAATAAGAAAGTACTGATTTAATAGACTTTAATAGCCAGTAGCAAGTGTGTTGTTCTGCAACACTGTGTAAGGAAGATACTACTATTCTTGTTTTAAGACTAACAGACTTGATGTAAGAAAGCTAAGAAAACCCGGCCAGCATCCCAGCTTGAAAGTGTTAGGGTGCTGCAATCAGATCTACTTGAGTCCGAACCTTGCTGTTTTGTATTTTTATAAATATAAAATACTCTTTTGTAAAGTTAAAAGATGAAAAGATGCTACCTTCCTAGTGTGTGTTTTGGTTTTAGAAAATATTTTGTAGTTATGTTCGTTGTTATTGTAAAAGGTATTATTTTTGATACGTTAAGATAGTCTATGTATGTCCAGGTGCATATGTACTGTGTGAACAGAGCTACAGAACAGGAGAAAATCTTATTTTCTGTTGGAGACTGGAAATCAAACTGTACCATCTGGTGTTGAACTTGTTGGAGCAGAGTGAATACCGTAGGAGGAGGAGCAGATGGGGCCTGGAAGAGAGATGGAGTGGGCGTGAGAAGGTGGGATCTTGGAAGTGAGTTCAGGCCTGTGAAAGGGACAGCTAGGCGGAGGCCAGGCAGTATGGTGGTGAGGCAGGGCCTGGCTATGGGCAGAGCAGAGGGTGCCTCCCAGGAGAGGTGTCTCACACTGGACAGGTGGCAATCTTCTCTCCACTCCTCCTCCCAACTCCCAGTCTGTCCATCACCATCTCTGTTTCTCTCTCTCTTTTTATTTTTGCAGTGCTGGGGATTGAACACGGGTTGCACATGCTAGGCAAACACTCTGTCAGTGAGCTACAATCTCACCCCATCTTTATTTTTAAAAAGATGCAAACAGTTGGTTAAACTTAATTATGTATGTATGTATGTATGTATGATATTCTGGATTTTTTATTACTTTATATTGACAGTTATTGCCTGTTTCCAGGTTGCTCTCAGTGAAGATGACCTAACAGTTCTAATGAAAATTTTGCTGGAAAATCTTGGGGAAGCTTCTCCACAGCCAAGCCCTGCACTGTCTGCTCAGGAGGCTGTGAGAGTGAGGAAAGATATTCCAAGTGGACCAGACTACCTGAGAGGTAGAAATAGATGAAGATGCTTGCTTGATGACTGAAACATTGTTGTCGGTACCCTCTTTATACTGAGTGCCCTTTAATTTTGCATTCCTTGTTGGGCAGTGTACTGGGGAGGGCCTGTGGCAGCTGCCTCTGGAAACTCCCAGGGGGAGGGGATCTGCCCGTCATCTGTGACGAGAGGATGAGCTCATTCTTGCCACATGATCCGTGTTTGCCCTGACTTGTGAAAGCTGCATTTGCAGAATTCCCCAGGCACTGAACTTGGGATCATTTGCAGGCAGTGAACACCGAGAGGAAGTCAGTAGGCAAGCAGTGTGGCCTGGTCCCAAAGTCCTTGGGAGAGAAAAGGGACTTGGTGTGGTGTCACCACCCGTGGGTGACTGAACCCTGAGAAAGAAGCTTTACTTACCTGATGTGGAGAAGGATACAGTCATATGAACTTCAGCTCTGTTTCATATTATTAAACTGAACTTTCAGAAAGCACTGAACCGGGCTGGGGGTTTAGCTCAGCAGCATAAGCGCCTGCCTTGAAAGCAGGCAGTCGTGAGTTCGATCCCCGGTACCGATAAAAAGGAAAAAGACAAAAAAAAAAAGCACTGAACCTTTTAAATTCAGCCATTTTAAAATGATAGTCGTTGTAGAATAAAAGTTTCTTTTACTTTCTTAAACAAATTCTATCAAATACAGTTTTTTGAAGTCATTAGAATGAACACCAGATGTTTTATTAGAATGCAAATAGGTTACTATTTCCATGCTGAAAAGAGGAAGTACCCTTTGCTTTTGTAATAAATGGTGCTGGGCGGTTATGTATGTGCTTGCAAATGCTCTCAGATCATCAGTTTAATTGGTAAAACTGCCAAGAAATAATACCATACTAACACTGCTTGTATAGGTGGACTGACATGTTTTGGAATTAGGGATACCACAGATGATGGGAACATTTTACAGAACAGGTTTCTGGTTTAAGTAGATAGTTATTTGTGTTGCATAGCTTGGTGAGGCCAACACGTTCTCCTTCATTTGGCTTTATGCTGCCTTCTAGACAAGTGCTGGAGGAGCAGAGTATCTCAGTTAGACAGGAGCTATGTAGACATGAACAGAGCATAGATGACAGGCATGCTTTTTGGTTAATGATCTCATTAGATCCACCTGTGATCAGATTTGTTTTCCATTCTCACTGATGTTCATGTGGAACTTGGGAAAATTTGAGTTCAGATGCGAGCCACAGAGGTGAAGATTGGAATGTAAATTATTTTTAGGAAAAGTGGAGAAAAAAACAAAGACTTTCCAGTTTGGAGAAACCTACCTGGTTAAAATTATGAGGTGCTTCCTTTTGTAGAATTTGTAAGATAAGAAGCTCCTATATTGTAACCAAAGAGAGAAACAGTCTCTGAGAGAATCATTGAGTCTCTTTGCAACTGAAGGCAGGCTTTGTCCTGTCTAAATATGAGAAAAAAAGACTAAATTTTTCTTGAAGTCTCTCTCATCTCAAAATTCCTAAGTTTCCCCCCAGCTTCCATCATATTTGAGCTCTGATGCTACCGCTGAGTTATATCCTATACTTTCTGAAGGCAGAGGTGGGCAGTGTGGGTATTTAAAGGTAGTAAGACTTGTGCTCTGCAGCAAAGCTTTTACTGCCTAACCTGGGCCCACATGTTCCGGCTTTCTGTGCCTTCTGTCTCGTAACCTCTTGAGGATGGTTGGAAACAGGCAGGTGAAAATGCCTTGATATGAAAAATGGTAACAAATGATCTTACATTGAAGAACTGTTAAAACTGCCTGGAAATACTGTCCAGTCTCCCCTTTGCCACTTTGCCCTGTACTAAATATAAGGTAATCATTGCTGCTTTTATATACTGTCACATAATATTATTTAAAGAGTACTGGAAGGAATAACATAAATTTAGTATAGCCAATTATTATCTCAGCTTTTAAAATATGTATGAAATAATGTGCTTACTTAAAATCTTTATAATTTTAATTTTCATGTTTAAACCATCAGAACAAGAACATTTGACAGACTTAAAGCCTTCTGTGGACCAGACCGTCACACTCCAATTTGACTTTCATTTTGAATCTCTGTCCATTATCCTTTATAACAGTGACATCAGTCAGGTATGTAGTAAAGTGTCTGGTGGGGATGCACTGTTGCTCTTGGTATTTGTTTTAAGAATAGTTGCCTGCCTGCCTGCTGAGGAGAAGCAACAAGGAAGCCATCCCCAGGCCTCTCTGCCAACCCCTCAAGCAGCTGGATGCCACAGGGCTCAGAGAACAATAGCTAAAGTAGGGAAGCGGCCTGGGGCCGGTAGTCTGAGCAGCTGTTAGGGGATAACAATGTGCAGTATAGTAACAATAGTAGGAAATCCACTATCACTGTTTTGTTTCATTTTACTGTTCTGTTTTACTCTCTTTAAAATTAAAAGAAAACACTAGCGTTTTGTCACTTAAGTATTCATTAGGAAGTGTTAAGGTATCTGCCAGTGTTGGTTGTCCTGTGCCACATGTGCATGTGCTGATTCTGCTGCCGGTCTTCTCTGGATTTCTATTTTTAATCTCAGTAGGCCAAGGTATACCAGTTCTTTCTAGCTAACATGGACACCAAAGTGTGTTTTGATCTGCACTAATAGAGGATTTTTATATGTGCAATTAATTATATGTTCCATTTTATGACATAGCTAAATACATATGTGTAGATACCTATTTAAGAATAATTTAATGGCTTTAGAGCTTTGGACGATTATTCTGAAATTCATGATTGTCTATGAATGTAAACAGTGATTGTGTTTCTATAAAATGAATGTTATATATAGTGAATTTGTATTAATAATACTATTAATAAATTTAAGAACCAAAGTCTAATTCTATAATGGTAGACGCTAATGTTTCAGTGGTGTTTTTGAAGGCTGTTTTTTTTATTATATTCTGTCCTATAATATTTTTATTCTATCAATTATGCCATATGTTAATACCTATTATGCATATGTAATTCACATAAATCTATGAATTTTTAGGTATTACATCTGTTTAATGTGCATTTTCATATACTGATTTCATACTGTTTTCTAAGATTAAAGCAGTATACTATTTGTACGTTGTTACTGTTGAACTTTGGTTTAGTGTCCATGATTTATGCAGTGAGCTGTCTTAATTTCTGCTGTCCAGTCTGCATGAAACCATCAGAGAATGTCCTTACAGGAAAGGAGCAGTTAAAAGAACCTTGATTTCATCTAAGGACTACTATCTGTTGGTTCCTCAGTCTTCAAATTTTCATCTTTTCTTTTACTTCTTTCCTTGTTTACTTTTTGTATTCTTTTAGACACTGAGTACCGTCAAGCTTTTCTTGTCAGTGTACATTGTCCTTTCCTGTCTGTTTTCACTGCTGCTTGTTGTGCAAGACTCTTCCTCAGCTCACACTTGTACTGCAGTGGCTTTGTTTGATTTGTCTTAGACATTGGTGCAATGTCCAAGTGTCATAAGTGTATCTCCAGTGGCCACTTATAACTTCCCGTTCTCCTTACAGGGGTTCTGTCTTACAATGTGTGAGTGTCCCCTTAGGAAAAAATGGGTCTCTAAGTTGTCTACATCAGGAGCCATATTAGGAAAGTTAGTGTCTTGTGATCACTAGTTGTGACTCAGGTCATTTCTGTCAATAGTTAAAGAACAAAAGTTGCAAAATAGTTGTCTCTTCATAAGGTGAAGGCATTCAAAGCTTACTGGCAGTAATGTCATTTTAACCCACTTACATGCAGTCTCCTACCTGGAATGAAAGGAATTGTGGCCTTCTAACCACTGTGTCTGACTGCAGGTCATTGGTGCTATTCACAAAGCCATGGTGTCTAGTGAGCCACTGTGGCTGATAGGGTTGTTGGTTGATCAGTTGGGTCAGGTCTGTTCTTTGTAAAATCTGGGCTTACTTGGAGTATGTGGACTTACGTTATGGTGGAATGAAGACTGAGGCCCCCATTTCTAGAACTGAAAGTGCAGATCATCATTTGAGCCCTAAGGCATCCATGTTTCCTTCTATCCTCATTCCCTATGTTGTTTAACTAGAATGTTCAAGCTTATAGTTTTCCCCCCATGTAAGACCCAACTGGAAGATAATACACCTTGAAAACTGGAGACCAAAATTGTCATCCTAATCCACATATCCTCACTTTACCCCCCTTAAAGAGCAGCAAGAGTGTAGTGATGGCAGGTAAGGGACAGATAGGCTGTTGGGGCTGGCATTTTTCATCTCTGGTTTCCAAGGCTGATTATTTTTTGGCTAGGTCTCATTTCCAGGGAAGAAGGGCAGGTGCCCTGTGCCCTGAGAGTACCTCACATGCTCACGCTTTCCCCGTGTGGACATCTTTCCTTTTATCTGGTCTTCCTCATTCTCCACCACACAGTTATGTTCTTAACCTGCAGCCTACAATAATTAATTGTACCTCTCCGAGTTTTTACTGTTTGTACTTTTTATCTAACTACTTTATATGCTTTGTGGAAGTTCGGATGCTAATAAATATTAATAAAAATTAATATATATCGCAAGGTATGTAGTTATTTATAACTTGTAGCATCTCGTTGGACTGTTCTTTTTAATGTACTTCTAGTTTATTCTTTCAACTAAGGTATAAAATCACTGAGATCAATAGTAAGGCTTATTTTTTCTTATGACGTCCCTAATTCTTATCACCGTTGTTTACAGAAGAGCTCGTTAATGTTTATTAGCTGAGTTGCATATTATCTGATAAAACTATTTGCTAATTAGTCACTTGCTTCAAACTATATCAGGTTACTTTTAATATATTAACCATTGTTGAGGATCAAGACACATACGCATTTATTTGTATGTACGTATGTACTCATAGACAATGTGTAACTGTTCCATTCATGTGTTTTCCCACCTGTGCTTTGAAAATTTATGAGATTGATTTGTGTTTTAGGTCTGGGTTAAATATGTTTAATAATATTACATAATTTTTAAAGCTAATTGTTCTTTTGTTTGAAAAATGTACCGCAGGAGTCCAAACTTGCATTTCATAATGATAGTTTTCGTCTCGGTGAGCTCAGACTGTACCTGATGGCCTCTGCAGGGAAGATGTTCAAGGATGGCTCAGTGAATGTCAGCCTTAAGCTGAAGACATGCACCCTTGATGATCTCAGAGAAGGCATCGAGAGAGCCACGTCCAGGTCTGTCAGTTCGCACGGTGCTGGATGCCACTCACGGCTAACCCTGAACCTGGCATCACTGCAGGCTTTGCTGTGCTTGGGTTCTTCAAAAAATATTTGTGTCTTTTTGATCAGACCTTTAATCTGAATTGCATCAAGAAGTAATGCTAATATCAGATTCAGCTGCTGGGATGGTTATATTAAATGAAAGTTTATTAATAAATCGGAGTACTGTCTTAAAAATGGAACTACCACAATGTGAGTTTCAGTAGTTAAATACGTGGTGATATATTTTTTCAAATTATCTCCATTCAGCAGAATCATGTTTTAAAAATGCTTAAAGTTATGACTTTTTCCTTTGTCTTATTTTGTCTGTCTTTTAAAACACTTCTACAAAATTTCTGTCACTTTTAATAGGAGTAGAATCCCAAGCATAATCACATTATCAACACATTTTTGACAGAATCAGCCTACTGTGAAGTTAGAAACGTGTAACTTCAGTAGCCTAATAATTTTTTATTCCTTTTTGAAATAATGAGACATGTACTATTTTTTACTTACTGGTTTTCTTTGGAGAAAAGCTGTGTTGCTGCTTATTCTTGTATTCTATTGAGTATGTATTGGATAGTGCTAAACCCCGTATTTCCTGGAGAAATAAATGAGTAGCGTGGCCATGCAGCAGTTTTTCTCCTATGAGAATTTTACGTCGAGGGAACTGTCCGCAGCTCTCTAGATGGGGTGATAAATGTTGAAATCTGTTAGGTAGCCTGGTCTTTACAATACATGTGGAGCTGCATAGGAACTGTCATTGTAGACCCTTGATAAACGTGTGCTGGTTTGAGTTGCATGAAATACCTTTGGAATTCAAATGTAGAGGATGATTTTTGCAGATAAATTCTTTTAGGAAGATGAATTCTTTTATTTAGTGAAATATTGGGACTGCGTTTATACATTTTGATATTTGCTCAAGTCATTTCTAGTAATCATATTTCTTTAGTATTAAATTGTGATTATAAAATATAATTGCTTAATCTCATGCACCTTGTTTGGGAAATGGGGAAACATGTTTTGGTTACTAGTTGGTTTATTATATCCAGTTAACACTGTCCTATTTTATGTTCAGATAAAAAGTAATTGATGAAAGAATTCTTAAAATACATAGGAAAACTTTCATAATTTTTATTTTTAGTGGGAGATAAAATAATGAGTGATATGTGTGTATTTTTTTCAGAATGATTGACGAAAGAATGACCAAGATAGCAGCAGTTCTATGATTGATATTCATTACAAACAAGACAAAAACACAAGTCTAATTGATGCTGTTCTTGACAAGCTGTATGTGTGTGCCAGCGTGGAGTTTTTGATGACTGTGGCAGATTTCTTCATTAAAGCTGTGCCTCAGAGCCCAGAAAATACGGCGAAGGAAATACAAATGCCATCAAGACACACTACCATGGGGAAAGTCCAGACAGAAAAAGGTTAGCAGACTGTATCTGTCTTAGATGACAGCTTGTATATTTTAACACAAATTACAAACAGCAAGAAAGAGACATATTGGGTTTGAGAAAATAAAATTAGGCTTTTAGGTTTAAACATACTTTACAGAAACATCTTAGTAAATGTTTTTAAGTGAGAAGTATATAGTAGAAGCATATTAGGGGCAGGGACTCTGCTCTGGGACTTGTCATGTCACTCACATTCTTTACTCATCTGGAAAGGAAGTTAATTGGGGTAAGTGGTTGGAGGGCTATTTTATAGGTGGGTCATTTAGTCCAGGAAAATACTTTGAAGAACTGTATCATGTTGAGGAACAGTTGAAAAGATAGAAGAAGGTGAGGCTGTTGCAGGAGCTAGCAGGGTTCCCTTAGATGTCACCTTTAACTCTTTCCTGGGAATATGCTGAATCCACATTGAGCCCTGCCCTGTATTTTATATCCCATCACCTTTATACCAATCAGTGATTTTCTTGTTAAATTATTATTACTTAAGGTCAGGCGTTTTCTCTGCAATGCCTAAGCCAGTAAGTTGGAAACTAACACTGGCAAGATCAGAATGTTATTTTTCCATTTACTTTAAATGTTTGTTAAATAGTAATCATACTGATATCTCTGCATTCATTTATACTTTGAACATATTTATAGTATAGATAATATGACTCTTGACTCTGATCCTTGGGGTAAAGCCAAAGTAAAAAATAAGAATAGTTTAACATCTTTATCAGGATGTCTCTTTTTCTTCCTGTTATTTCTCTCTCTGTTTTCCTCCTCTTGGCCCCTGTGTCATAGAATCACACATTCTCATGTGTGTATACAAGTGCCTGCCTTGACTCTGACCAGAAGAATTTCCAAACAGCGTTGTTCCCCAAAATATCAAAGATCAAAATGGGAATGATCTGTTTTGGGCAGGTTTTGGATTACATCTTTTTGCATAATTACCACTTATTAAATAATCGTTTCATTATTAGTATTAATTAACCAACTCAAAATTAGTGCTTTCACTATACCCAATATAGGAAAAATACTGAGAACAGTTTAACAGCCTGTGGTTAATATTGTAGCCATAGGAAGATTTACTTTAAAAATTTTCTGGTCCCATTTTTGTTTCTCCAGATGATTCTGCAAGACGAAACATGACCTTGAAGGCCAAGATCACAGACCCGGAAGTGGTGTTTGTGGCCAGCCTGAGCAGGGCGGACGCTCCTGCGCTGTCGGCCTCCTTCCAGTGTAAGCTCTGTGTGTCCGCATCTGGGCTGGAGCAGGTGACGGAGGCATCCGTCAAAGACCTGAGAGTGCTCGCTTGTCCTTTCCTCAGAGAGAAGAGGGGGCAAACTATCACCACAGTAAGCACTGCCTTGGGCCCTCAGCTGAAGAATGACAGAAATAGCTGAGTCCGAGAATCTCAGAGCCTGAGTGCTGTCCAGGATTTAAGTGATTATTTAGTACAACCTCTGGTTTGCAGGCAGAGATGTCGGGTTCTGCCAATGTTACCTGGCGAGTTGTGGCTGCTAGGGAAACAACTAGGGGCTGCCTCTAGACTAGTCCTCTTTTCATGATCTTCTGTTGAATTTTAGTTCAGATCAGTGTTTTTCAGCTATTTCTTTTGTTCACTAAGTATATCGAATGAGAGAAAAATAAATATTTAAGCTCAGATTAAAAAAAACTCAGGTGGAGTCACATGACAAAGGACTTCTGTGTTCCTCGGGACTAACTGGATAATCATCTGGAAACTGGTCATTTACCCTAACCCCTGCTCTAGTCATCAGTTCATTTTGTAGATACCTCATAATTATATTTTACAGAGTGCGTCACTGAAAAAATATGTTTGGAAAAAGAAACACTTTAAACTTCTGATAGTAAATGTGTGTCTTTACATCAGCATTTGGAATGAAGAACTTCATCAGAACTGATTGAAGTCCTTTAGCAATCTACATGGACTTGTCGTAATTCAGAAGAACCTTCACAAGAGTGTCTTAGCTAATGTAATTTTTAATAGTAGTTCAGAATCTCAGTGGAGTGAGAGATGGTTTGTGTAAGTGCATGTTATGTAAATATTAATGAAAATGTGACTTTTCATTTACTTGTCTAGGTCTTGCAGCCGTGCTCTTTATCTATGGAAAAATGTACCTGGGCCTCGGGAAAACAGAATATCAATATTATGGTTAAAGAATTTATAATTAAGGTTGGTACCTGACAGATTCTTTGTGTGTAAATTCTTGAAATAGTGTCTTTGGTCTCAGCATTGCTGTAAGTCACATATTTGGTAATCAGATTGCCTCTGGGTTAAAATACATTTTAAGTGCTTATTCTGTTTTCTTTAAGAGACTACTTTTTTAATACCTATACATGGCAGGTGTAGTTTTCTCTGTTTTATTTGCATTTGTGTGTGGTGTATGTGTCAGAGGGGAGAGAAGAGATAGAGAAACGAAGAAAGGATGGAGACATTATTTTTAGGCTTTTATTAATGTATAGTTTGATTTGGCCTGATAAGTATGTGATTAGATACTTAGCTTATATTTGTGGTGACAGATGTATGCTGGAAATCACTGGGGTTTGCTTTTTAAAAGATCTTTTACATTTAAAATACTAAAGAACAATCTATTTTCCAGTGTCATTCAAAATTCTTTCAGTAGGACTTCATTCCCCATTGTAAATAGGGAGCACACGATACTTTCTCAAATCTAGTTTGCTCTCTTTTGAAAGATGCAAAGATGAGACAGTTAATTCTAGTGATGCATAAATGATACTAGCTTTACTTTTGTAGGTCAGAGACCAGTATGATTGGATTAATACTTAAACTAATATCATTTGAACCATTTTAAATAACAACGCAGGTTTTTTTCAGTTTAAAACAGTACTGGGTAAAACCAGGTGTGGTGGCACATGCCTGCAATCCCAGCACTCAGGAGCCTGAAGCAAGAAAAGTGCCATGAGTTTGAGACCAGCTTGGAGTACGTAGTGAATTCAAATGCAGCTTGAACTAAGCAAGATCCTGTTTTGAAAAAAGCAAGCACGTGGGGCTGGGGATTTAGCTCAGTGGTATAAGCTCCTGCCTTGCAAGCAGGCAGTCGTGAGTTCGATCCCTGGTACCGATAAAAATGAGAAAGACAAAAAAAAAAAAAAAAAAAAAAAAAAAAAACAAGCACGCAACAAACAAAAACACTAGAAAGGCTTAGATTGTGTTTTTCTCATGAATTTACTTTTTTTTTTTTAAAGATGTAGCATAATAAAAATGCATTTGCTTGTGTTTGCTCTAAGACATTAGGGTAAGTGTTATGGAGACTTCTTTTCTTTGTATAAATCATTTTTGACCTCCTTCTATACTTAAAAACACACCCTGTGTATGACATTGGCAGTACATGGTCTCTGCTTTCAACAAACTTAATGACCAGGGGAAGAGCAGTAGATCGGTGATTGTAACTTCGAATGCTAGAGGCGTGCACAGAAGCTGCTGGCAGCATGAACAAGGGGGCTGCGGTTCAGACTGGAATATCAAGAAAAGTTGTCTGAAAGGGACACATCTTGGACTAAGGACTGCAAGTTGGTGTAAGTTAGATAGATGGAGAGGAAGGGGAAGGTTTTCCAGACTGAATTTGCTGTCTGCACAGAGGCAAAGGTTGGAAAATGTTCTTGAAGAACTTAGAAGGATCATCCCCATGGCTGCATTCAGTGGTGTGTTTGAGTTATAGGACTGGGATGTTAGTTACAGATAACATTAATAAGACAAGGAGAAAGAAAGCAGTCGGTTGGCAGGCAAGTAGGTCAGGAATGTGGTGCACATCAGATCCTCTTTGTGATGAAGCAGTTGTATGTGTTTAGTGTGTTAGTGAAGAAAGGGTTGTGAGAAGTTAACAGTAAAGGAATCCTTTTAAATTATTTAACCGAGTATTTCTCAAACTTTATAGAACCCTTGCTAGCAGATTGGCTAGGAACTAGCTCACAAAGAGTGCTGTGCACCAAGCCAAAGAGAGTTTGAATTTCATTCTGAAAGTTACAGAGCTCAGTGAAGATTTTAAGCATAGGAGTGATATGCATGGAGTCAGGGTTAAAGAAACTCTGCTGGTGACAGTTTGAAGGATAGGAGGACAGAGTGCTGACTGGATACAAAAAATACCTTCAGCACTTGGCCACTAGTGGTAACTCAGGTAGAGTGCTTGCCTTGCACGTGGCTTGACCTGGAGCTTGGTCCCCAGCACCACAAGACTAAATTAAGTGAAAAACAAGTAAGACAAAGATGTCCTCAGTGTCAGAACTAAAGCGCAGTGCAGGAATGAGAAAGTGAGCAGAGGCTCTACCCAGAGATATCAGAAGCAAAGTTCAGGGATCTTGGTTGAGCCAAGTGGGATCCATGAGTAATTTCAGCCTTCTCCTTTCTACAAGACAGAGGGAGATACTGCTATGCCTCTCTGTTCAGTTCAGGTGTCTTGACGTAGTGAACATAGCTGGTTGGAGTTCTGCGCTTTTGGTTGATGCCATGCTGTGAGTTCAGCTTGGTGGTTAGTTTTGACTCTTGCTGCGCAGCATTAATTGCTTCAGGTTCTGTGAGCAGGACGTGGCGTTACACAGAGACACACGCCTTAATCCATATTTTCATTAGCTAGGAGCTGAACAACCAGGTAAATTTTAACGTGTTACTTTTTAAAGGCTTTAATGCGTGTGTTTCAATTCTCATCTGGGAAAGAATTTTTTCAAGATTTTTCTCTGCTTTGCTTCTGAAAGATTTCACCCATCATTCTGAATACTGTGATGACAATAATGGCTGCCATGTCTCCAAAGACGAAAGAGGATGAATCGAGAGACACATCTAAGGAAATGGAAAGTCTTTGGGATATCAAGTCTATTGATGATTATAACTCTTGGTTTCTTGGTGTTGACATGGCAACCGAAGCAACAGAAAGTTTCAGAGCGATGGATCATCCACTGATAGAGGAAAACTGTGCTGTTGCTGTGGAATCGGTCCAAGTCACTCTAGAATGTGGCCTTGGGCACCGAACTGTGCCTTTACTATTGGCAGAGTCCAAGTTTTCAGGAAATATTAAGAATTGGACTTCCCTGTTGGCTGCTACTGCTGATGTGACACTGCAGGTATGGAGACGTGGTGGAGTACCCCAAGGGCAGCTGCCTAAAACACTGTGGGGTTAAGACTCAGGTTCTGTTGTTGCCTGTTTGTTTTGTTCTCTTATAGTTTGTTTGTGCATGATTGAATTAGATGATATATGTGAATAGATACATATGCTGACATTCAGTTTGTGGCTGTGTAACTGTATATGTGGTAACTGTTTTTAAGAAGTCTTGTGCTAAATGATTTATGACAAGAAATAAAGGGATAAAGGGAAATACATTCTTTTTAGGTACTTTTTTGTGTCTTTAGGCAAGTGGTTTTGAACGGCTATTACTGTATCGTATTACTTGTTTTCCTGCTTGTTCCAGAATTGCATAATTAAGGTTGAAAACTGACCTTTTATAATTCTGTGCCAGGTTCACTATTACAATGAGATTCATGCTGTGTGGGAGCCATTGATCGAGCGAATAGAGGGGAAGAAACAATGGAACTTAAAGCTTGATGTAAGGACACAGTAAAGCATCTCTGTATGGAGCGGCACTGCACGTGTTCATTGATGTTCTTTAATTTGGTTCTTGTCAAGATGTAGTCCACAACCTGTGGAGCCCTTTTAGTGTATGCGTAAGATAGAAAATGTTTTTATATGTATATTCAGACATTATATATCATTTTAATTTTCATCCTCATGAATGTGTGATGGAGTTTTCGGGAAAGTACATGAGTGTGATTCTGTAGGAGACTGCAAAGCAGAGATGAGACCACCTGTCTTTTAAGCAGGCACTGAAGAAGTTTATTAATGTCCTTTATCTCACTATTTGTATTTTAAAAATACTTTTCACTAAAATGTTATCTTGCATTAACTTAGTTTTGGATAAATATTAAAGTTTTTCTCAGTTTTCATTTCTAATAGAATATGTATTGGTAGATAAATGAAGCTTTCATAAATGAAGCTCTTTGAGATAATGATTTTTTTAAGGGTATAACTAAAAATCTTATGAATCACCACTAATTTATGGACTTTCCTTATTATCTCTTCCTGGTATTTTTCCAAGTGTGTCAGAATCCTGGGTTGCAGAGCCTGGTTTTCTTGAGTACCCAGTGTGTGAGCTGGCATTAGCAGATTGTCCCAGAGCACTTCTCTAGAGTGGCCTCACGGGGCTGTTACACGTGGACGCTGACAAAGAAGATTTTAACTTGTGTCCTGTGTGCTCCAAATGAAGTAGAACTAGTATTTCTGGCCTCCCTCTCTCTGGCATAAGGACGGTAACCAGAAATCATGGCTTTTGCACCTCTGTTAGAACAAAACCATGAATATGGCAATAGCTGGAATCTGGGGGCTGGTTGAAAACTTGATATTACTTATTTGTAGATGTTACCAATAAAAAGCAGAAGACAAGAAAGTATTATTTCTAGATGATATTCTAATAAGGACCGATTCAGACTTCAGGATCACCTTTTATTACTGATCAACTCATAGTTACTAGCTGGGCAGTACCGGATGATTAGATGGGATCTCGGGTGGGAGGTGTGCATGGAACAGGTTCAGTGGCTGACAGAGTTCAAAGCATTTCCCCAGAGTAGACTCTGCGCTGCACTCACCTCACCAGAGCAGAGGAAACCTCTGAATAGCTTTGAAAATGATGCTTTGGAGGAGCCTTACTATAAAGTGCCAGCTTAGGAAAATTCAACACTGTTGACTATCTTAGATTTGTTATTAACTGGCTGTTTAAATTTTTATGTTATTTATCTTTGTAGGTACAGAAGAACCCGATCCAGGATAAAAGTTTGATACCAGGAGATGATTTTATTCCTGAGCCCAAAATGGCAATTTTATATTTCTTCAGCAGACACAATGAATATAACAATATCCAAAACGTGTCTCAATGTTTTCAGCAATTTAGCAGAAGTATGTGTGGCTCTTATTTGGAATATTTCAAGTAGAATTTAAGAGTGAAATGTGCTGTATACATTCTTCTGTGATCAAAATTAGTTTCAGAAATGTGTATGCATGGGAAAGTGTTTGAAAGAAATGTACATTTTGTAACTATCTCATGATGGCATTACATTCCTTTTCAGGGTTTTTCGGAGGGCACTGCTTCTACTTTTGATTACTCTTTAAAAGACAGAGCTCCGTTTACGGTCAGAAATGCTGTAGGTGTTCCCATGAAGGTGCAGCTCAGTCGTAACCTGAGAGTGATGGGCTCCCCAGGGAAGAGTGATGTCTATGGTGTGGATGCCGGTCAGCATCTGGAACTGGAGTATGCCCGCACGGAACCTTCCTCTCAAGGGAAGCTGTCTGTGCTGAGCCGTCAGGAGAGTTCCTTCTTCACGCTGACTTTCGGTATGCTGCGTTTTACTTCAGGAGCACCTTAAGAATCACTGTGGGCTTAGTTTTGATAAAATATAGAAAAATATTTTGCTGCATACTTATTTGGGAAAAAACACTTGTAAAAACTTGGATTAAATAGTTGATACTTGTTTCCTGTTTTGGGATGATAGCAGTCCCAAAATAGTGAGAATAATTAAGTACTGTTACAAGAAAGTTGTTGCTGGATAGTTGAGAGAATAAGAAATCTGTCGCATTTTGTTTGTTTTCATATATTTAAACTGACTTGCTCAAATTATCTAGGGTCAAAAATTTTGTATCAGTAATAGTTTTTCTCTTTTTTAAAAACCTATATTTTAGAAAAGTATTTCATGGTGATTATTTCCAATCATGAGAAGAATACTCTTGTCTTTGTTTTGGCAGGGTAACTATTCTGATGGAAACATATTAGTAAATAAATATTTAGAATTTTTTTCACTTGTCCTCTGCCTTAGTACCACATGGATACACAGAGGTTGCCAATGTCCCTGTTGCCCGACCTGGACGGCAGTTGTACAATGTGCGGAATCCCCACGCCAATTACTCAGACTCCGTCTTGGTACAGATTGATGCCACCGAAGGGAATAAAGTCATCACCCTCCGCTCTGTGCTGCAGGTGACTTTAAAGTGAAGTGTATACTGTTCAGTTCTCAGTTTAACTCATTTTGGAATATCGCAACACAGCATTACATCAGTAAACTGATGTCATTTTTATTCCCTAATTTGCTTTTGTAATGTTCTTTATTTTAAATGGTTAATAAGATTTTTAAATTTAAAGCCCATTTTTGTATCTCCTCTGTTTACCATTAATGAAATATTTTTGCGTATTTCTTTAAGAATTGATGAAAATTATAATTACAGTTGATTGTCACATAGGATAACATCATTCTGTTTGTATATCACTTGGGGTTATATTTTTTGAGCGTGTAACAAGGACTGTTAAAATGAGCTGTTCTCCTGAAAAAAAATTTTGGCGTCTTAGTCTGTATAAATATTTCCTTTTTAGGCCAGAGATTTAGCTCAGTAGCTCAAGCGCTTGCCTGGTAAGCACAAGGTTAAGAGTTTGATCCCTGGTACCAAAAAATAAAAAAAAATTTTTTTCCCTTTCTACTGGTAAGCCTTTACCAAACATTTTTCTTTTTCTGTGTATTATTTTAGGTTTTAGTATATGATCAGCAACAGAATATTTCTCCCTAATACAGTATAAGATAAAAAACGAAACAATACAATGTATATCATACTGTGGTCAAGAAAAGATAGTAATACTGGTTTTCTTATATTCTTTTGCTGTCCTTTTTTATTTAATCATGTGATTTGATCATTTGATTGATCAAAAATTATAATGGAGAAAATGTAATTAGAATCTTTAAACAACAATACTATTTGGATGACAGTGTTATAAATTAACAGTAAACATCAGCTTACAATATGTAGATTATGTGAATATCTGAATTTTAGGCTGATAGTTAATAGTCCTAATATGTATGTAGCCTTTAAATATCCTAAAGTTTCAATTGTTAAGGGAAGTATCTTCCAAAATTGTGTTTAAAACATTAGTTATATAGTGTATGCAGCTAATGATTTTCCTTTTAACTTATGTTTTTAAAGCTAACTATATGTATTTTTGTCCAACAGATTAAAAACCACTTCTCTGTTCCATTTATCATCTATAAACTGGTTAAGAATGTTAAACTTCTGCAGCGCATTGGAACAGTCAGCCCCGAAGAGGAGTTCCATGTCCCTTTAGAGTCCTATAGGTGGGTACTTCTTTCAAAACATTAAATTTTTGAAAATTCACTGAATGGGGTTTTTACCTTTATGAATTGGAGATAGTGAAGAATATAACTGCATATAATTATTATCTAAAAACATGTAAAACCCATTTTAAAGACATAGTTTATTCTGTAGAAAAATAAATATTGAATTTATCAAATGGACACAACTTTTTTAATGGTTTAGACTTTTCTGAAATCTGTATTTACTGGATAGCCTTTATATTTGGAATGAAAATATTTTTCAGTCACCTTTGTTCACATAGGTTTTTGTTTTTTCCCGCAGAGCGTTCCTCTGTGAGTTAGCCATGAGATTTTATGCACGTTCCCCACCCTGCCTGAACCATGTTTCCTTACCTGTAAAATAGAGTGACCATTGTTGACTTGCGGTTTGAATGAGGCTGTTGCTCCTGGGTTCTCAGGAGCCTCTTTGCCCACATGGGCTTGCTTTTCTGCAGATCTCAGTTGTTTATCCAGCCAGCTGGGGACTTAGAGCATCAGTACAAGGAGTCGACCACCTACATCCCCTGGAAGGAGGAGCTGCACAGGAGCAGTTCCGTAACAGGGAGGCTGCAGTGTCCGGCGGTGCAGCGCAGCTTCCTGCCGCTAGTTGTGAACACAGTTGCCGAGCCGGAGGAGTTGAGCCACATCAGCGCACACGGGGAGGATTGGAACCCGGCGTACATCATTCACCTCTACCCTTCTCTTACACTGCGGAATCTGCTCCCCTATTCCCTAAGATACTTACTGGAGGTGTGTCTCTTGTATTTGGTTTGGATTCCAGCATTGCACAAAGTGAATTCTAGTTTATTTCGTGGTATTTTTAGCTGAAGTCAGTGTTTTATATCCCATACTTACAGTGTTTTAAAAGTGTTAATGAAAGCAAGACTGGAACTAGCATCTGCTTTGTGTTAGGCACTGTCCTGTGACTTTACATGTTTAATCCTTCTATGGTGGATATTAATGAACCTCTGTACTGCTGGGGAAACTGAGTCATGCAGGGGTTACATAGGCGGCCAAGTCTCACAGCTAGTCAGTGGAAGAGCTGGGATTTATGCCTGTGTGGTTTGGCTCCTTGTTCTTTACCACTTTCTCTGTTGCATCTGCCATAAATTTAAGAGCCATTATTATTACTTTATTAATTTAAGTAAAATTTTCATTATTTGCAAAGGAGAAAATCTAATGAGAATATTTCACCTTAAAGTTTTACTTATATATTTATGAGTCAGTAGCTCACTTAGTAGTGCTGGCTGGCCTTGAATTCACTGTGGACTGAGACTAACAGTAATCTTCTTGCCTCAGCCTCCCCAAGTACTGGGTTACATAAAGTTTTTATTCTAAAGTTAATATTACAATTATTTAGTCCAAGGGTTCTACTAAAAATAACAGAATTACTGTCTTGGGAAATAATAAGCAGCATTTTGTAGCAGTGGTATATGGTAAATATTTTAAAGTTTGTACATACTATGTTATATTAAGATGCAGAAACTGTAATATCAGGTCTTGGAGTATAGCTCTGTAGTAAAGAGTTCACTTTAGCATGTGAGAGACCTTGAGTTCAAGCCCGAGCATGGTGCAAAAAACAAAACAAAACAAAAAACTGGTTACCTATGTTGTTATTTTCTGTTACCTAGTCATGAACTGTTTCTGAATTATGCAGTTAATTAAATCAACTGAATAGTGGATAAAGAGAAGAATAGTTTATAAATAAAAAGTATGAAATAATAAGGTGTTAGTAAGGGAGCCTGATTTAGGTATTGTTAGTATGCGTTTTAAAAATAATTCACCTTGCTTACATAGCTTGCTAGAGCAGCGGATCGCTGTCACTTTCCTTTTTCCCCCTGCAGGGGACTGTCAGGCCTGGTGTGTGACTAGCAGAGGAGCTGAAGACCAGGCCGTCAGGTGGCGTGTTCAGTAATGCCGTGCTAGCGGCCAGCCGCCAGGGTCCCTGAGTAAAGGAATCCAGCCTTGGATTCTTGTTGTGGATGCATTTTTTTTTCTTCTCAAAATTCCTGGCTGCTGGCCTATTAATGGCCAAAGACAGTTCCTGCCTTTGTAAATGTGGTCTGTGTTTTCTTTTTAGTCCTTGGTAATTGTGGCATGCACAGTATATAAACATGGTACTCTGTGGAAGACTTGGCAGGAAACCTGCTTCTTGCAGAGTCTAGCCGCTGTGTAGAATACAGGTTTTGTATTTCAAAGATGTTGCTAAACAGACTTGGTTTGTGCGTGTGTTTAGGGAACAGCAGATACTCATGAGCTGGCAGAAGGCAGTACAGCAGACGTCCTGCATTCCCGAATCAGTGGAGAAGTCATGGAATTAGTCCTGGTTAGATACCTGGGCAGAGACTGGACCGGTCATTTCCGCATATGTGACACGCTTCCCGAGTTCTTTCTTGTGTGTTTTACGTCTAACTCCAAAGAAGCAGTGACAGTTGACCTGTCGGTGCACATCAGGCGAGTTGGCAACCGCGTGGTGCTCTCCGTCTTTAGTCCCTACTGGTTAATCAACAAGACTTCCCTGGGTCCTCCAGTACCGCGCAGAAGACACTCACGTGAAACACCCAGCTGACTTCAGGGACATCATTTTATTCTCTTTCAAGAAGAAGAACATTTTTAGTAAAAACAAGGTGTGTTTTTGTTGATAGAGTGAGTTAAAATTACATGGCTTTCTAACCTGGAAACTTGGAAATTTGAAACTCAACCAATGCAATTGAAATTTGAAACTCAACCAATGCAACTGAGTCTAAGGAGACTTTAAGGAAGGCAGAATCGAGTGGGGCCCTTGGGAACTAACAACAGCAGGATCTCCAGGCAGAATAATTCTTTCTCTAGCGCCTGTAGGATTCCTTCTGTTCTTAAAGTCGTGTCAGATAAGACAAGCTTTATTTTGTATAACTGGCCAGTGTTGATACAGCATTTCTAAAGAGGCTGGTATTAGCTGACCCTCTTGCCCATGAAACATGAGCCAGGCCTTTGAGAAGCCTGGCGCTCGAGCCTGGTCTTTTGTGTCCTGGTCCTTTCTTTCTTCTTCAGACTCACTTGGCTTTCCTCCTCACTTGTGTGCACTCGACCCCATGCTGCCCATAGACTTCTGCATATGCTGTCCTCTGCCCAGATGACCACTCTGCTCTTTCCTTGTTTCCTTCCTCTTTCCTCTCCCCTACTGTTTATTCTTGAGCATTCTGTTCAGGCCTGGTATGGATGAAGATTTTCTGTTCCTTTAAAATGAGAGATACTCCATTATTACTCTCTCTCTCTCTGTCTCTTTTTTTAAAGAGAAAAAAAAAGGAAATAAAATAAAAAAAAAAACAGCAGGAAAAGGGTGCAAATAATACAGAATTTCAAGGAAAAAAAAATACAGTAAGATACCACTAGTTAATAGGTTACATATTGTCATCTTTGAAATAGTTGTCCAAATTATAAAATTAAAGCATGTAAAGTGAACATTCATACAATGAGATTGCAGACAGTGCCGTTCAATCATCCAACAAAAGTTCACTAATACGGATTTCCATTCTACACAGTCAAACATACATGCAGTTATATCCCTTAGACCACCTTCCTGTCCTCTCTTTTTAATAACAATTACACTTTTTGGTTTTTTTTTTTTCTCCCACAATTCTTATTATTTTTTTGGAGAGAATAAAACCTAACGCTAAACAAAACAGAGTCGGTTAGAACAAAAGGATGGGCATAGTACATGTTGTAAAAATAGAATATCAGGTGATCTAAAATGGTTGCCATGATTGTGCCTCTTGCTATTTTTTTAAAAAGTTGCCTATATCGTCAGGTAAAACAGTACAGAACAAGACCAATAAAACCTACACTGGAGACCTTACAAGGTTTCAAAAGAAGATAATAATCAAACCATAATGGGTATCTTAGTGAATTGCCTTCAAAGTGGTTGCCTACCCTCAAACTTGATACTATCAAACAAAATAGAATATAGTAAAATCTGACAGAACAAGATGGGGAGAGCAATACTGGGGATCATATCAGGTTAATAGGAAAACAAAAGAGTTACTATAATATATCCCGCTATTTTTTAATTTAGTTTTCCCTTAATTGAAAAAAAATTAAGAAAAAAATAGATTAATTTTAAAATAGGGTGGGATTGAGGTAAAAGAGAACATTGTATTAGAACAACACAGGTCAGAACCGAACAATTTAAGCATCATTGTGTTACACCCCCAGATAATGTAACAATAGTAGTCACCAGAGTGCCTCCTTCCTTGAATTATTTGAGTATAACTTCATATACTATAGCATCAAGCATATCAAGTCAGTCTGAAGCTATTCAAGAGAATGAAGAAATTACAGGGTATTTAGAACCAGTTAACAGAAAATGAACAATGGTTTCTATATTATCTCTTTGCCTATTAAAAATTTTGTTTATACTGTCGCATATAGTAAAATATAGTAAGATACCACATGTTGAAACCAGTGGAAACAGGTGTACAATAGCTTGATGGGACTTCAAAACAAGATGATATTAAATCAGCACTAGCTTTTATGATGTGTTGTTTTCTTCAGAATAGCTATTCGTACTATCATCGATACTAAAATCGAACAACCCAGGTTAAAACCATTCCAGTTAATGAGTGATAACATTATATGGTTCAAACCAATATGATTGGGAATCATGATTACCACATACTTTTATGTGTTCTTATCATTTCTTACACTAGAGAAACTATTCGGTATTTATGCATGTGAGTTTGATTTGTTTCACTTATGAGTATGGTCTCAAGCTGCATCCATTTATTTATAAATATCTCAATGTGATCATTCTTTATAGCTGAGTAGTACTCCATAGTAGTATTCTCTTAAGAGTAGCAGATCTCAGATTTTATTTATGTTAGAATCTCCTGAAGGCCTTGAAAGCTGTTGCTGTCTTGTGCCTCCTGAGTTGGACCCAGTAGGGCTGGGTGGAGCCTGGGAATCTGTGTCTAATGGGTCAGCCAGTGATCTGGAGATGGTTCGAGAACCTTTGTCTGAGGGTGTTGACTGACAGGTGACATTGTGGGTGCCTATTGCTTAGTCTTGTGTGTTTTATAATCTGTTGTGTGGGTAGTAGTCAGAGTTATACAGGTGCACAGATGGGCCCCTTTTGTAAGACCTTTCTGGAATGCCACAGCCAAAAGCAAAGTCATCATTTTCTTATTGTAGTAGCACTTTTATCTCATGTGTCTCTAATTGCGTTGAGTCTTGCATCATAATTGTTAGTATGTATTCTGTGTTCTCTCTGTTTAGTTCACTACTCTCTGAAAATAGGAACTGTTCTTGCTGTTTTCTGTTCTGCCTCTCCCAGTACCTTTTCTTTAACACTTGCTGAATAGTGGAGAATGGGAAGGTCAGAGCTGTGCTTTTATTGTCCCCTACCATCTTCTGTGGTTCTGTTATGTATTTGCAAATATGACTGTGATAATATTTTTCTGTGTTTCATAATACTAACCTTTCTAGCAGGCAGTCTAGCCCATCTTCCTGTCAGATAAAGTAAGTAAATGTTACCTTTTAGGTTTTTATATTGTGGTATGTGTTCTCTGGTACAGGTACAATTAAAAATTTCAACTAGTGCCTGGTCCAGCTGTTTCTCATTGGATACTGTGGGAAGTTACGGGTGTGTGAAATGTCCTGCCAACGATATGGAATACCTGGTAAGAATCTGCTGCATGTTTCCCTTTAGCTCTATTCACCTTTTCTGCAATTCAATAAGAATCTGGCTTTTAAAAAATTAACAGAAATTTTAATTCAGAGTATCGTATGTTGGCCTATCTGCAAATTTTTGTGACCACTCTTACCAGTAGTACTTGAATTTGCTCAAGTGAGTAATTGGGTAAATATTCCCAATATGTCTAAGTGAATAATTAGGTAAAATTCACACTATACTAGTGTTCATTCCGTATCTACCTTGCCATGTATTTCTTAAATCTTTACTTCTACCACTTTGAAAATTTAAATCATCTGGTGCCAATTGACCTGTTTTATTACTTCAAAACTTTTATTGATGACAAATACTAAATCAGCCAAACTGGAGCCTCTCCACTAATTACAGTGCTTGTGATTGAAATATTAAAAATGCAGAATGCTAGACAGATCAAACTCCCTGCAGATTATCACAGGCTACCGAATGACATTTCTGAGCTCGTTTCCAACAGAGCCAGATGAAGGAACTAGAAAGTAACCATGGAGTGTAGTTCCTGTTAGCTTCCTCAGGGTTGTCATTCTGAATTATCTTAAGAAGTGTGTGTGCGCACGAAGGTGTGTGTATATTTCACAGCGGCTGAGCCCAGGGCTGAGGGGTGATGGAATGAAGGGAGTGTGTTTCACAGCGGCTGCACCCAGGGCTGAGAGCTGAGGGCGTTCCTCCCTGTCTACAGGTTGGGGTGAGCATCAAAATGAGCAGCTCCAACCTCTCGCGCATCGTCACTCTGACGCCCTTCTGCACCGTCGCAAACAAGTCCTCACTAGAGCTGGAAGTCAGCGAGATTGCGTCCGATGGCTCTGTGTCAACTAATAAATGGAGCTACATTGCTTCTTCAGAGGTCAGTTTTTTCTTTTAATTAGGATGATTCCAAAAATGCCAAAGGAATATATTCTTAAAAATCTTATTAGTACACTTTTGCAGTACGTACACATTCACATGGGAATTGCACATGTGCCTAACACATCTTAACATTTTTGTCCCCTTCTCCTCTCTGTCCTCAGTCCTTGACATACAAGTAAGCATTGTATGTACTTCTGTGTCTTACACTGCCATGCTTGTGTTAACATAGGGTAGCCAGTTTTGAAAGAGTTTCTTTCAGGGGCTGGGGATTTAGCTCAGCGGCATAAGCGCCTGCCTTGCAAGCAGGCAGTTGTGAGTTCGATCCCCGGTAGTGATAAAAAGGAAAAAGACAAAAAAAAAAAAAAAAGAAAGAAAGAAAGAAAGAGTTTCTTTCACACTGTAAGTACTTTTTAAAAAGGAAAATTGTTGCTGATTGGTACCTAGCATTCACCCCGTCTAGATGGCTAGCAGTTGTTCTCTAGTTCTCACATACATGCAAAACTCGCATGTGTGCTGTGGGAAATATCCAGAGGTGAGGTACTGTGTGTTGTCATGATTGTCAGTGAAATGTTTCTGTCCTGAAGGAACTGTAAGCTTGTTGGCAGTGCCTACGCTGCATGAGTAAGAAAGTATGGGCAAAATCATAGGAGGCTGTAAAATTTCTGAATAGGTAAACTAAGAATTGTGTCTGTTTAACTAAAATTGACAGTAAAATTCAACCCTTTCACTTCACAGAGAAGGAGACTGAGGTTCAGACTTTCCAGGGCCAGTAGAGTCACTGATGATTGACTTGGTGGATGTTGGTTGTCTATATCAGAAAGTCTGGCTTCAAACTAAACTTCATGGTTTCCATAGTGTTTGAGGAACTGAAAAGAATGAAGGAAAGAAAAGAGGAAAAAGGTTTGAGGGTCAGCAGTGGTCCTTGACTTGGACCCAACTTGTCAACCAAACCAGCTGAGCTTAAGGATAGCTGATGTCATTCTTCCAGTCTTCAGTACAACTCACAACAAACAAAATCACAACAAAAATCCCAGATTCTAAAGTTATTTTAAAAGATACATAGCAAAAAGAAGGATTCCCCTTGCAGTACCACACTTTAGAGCTCTAAGAAGGCATGGTATTTTAAAGCTACTTGAAATGATTTCTGTATCCTACAAATAAAAAGTGCGTATCTTTTTATCATTGATGTAGATTTATCAACAGTATTTTTATTTATACAGTATTCTATAGCAGAAGGACAATTTGTATTGCATTAGAAACTGAAATCCCAGTTTTACAGTTAGGGGAACAGAAGCTCTGAAGCATGGGGTTTAAAATTGAGCAGCTCGGATGGTAACATGGACACTTCTGACCAGCTCCACACTGGTCTGTTCTCTGCCTTCGTTGGTCGTTCTGGTTTACCAAGGATAAAATGCCCTATAAATGATTTCTTCACTTAATGATGAAGTAAAGGGAGCTATGCGCAGAAGCTCATTTTGCTAAGCTCTGGTTTATAATGCTGTGTCTGAGACATGTGAGGCCTTCTGGGCACACAGGCTCTTCAGTATCTCATACTGCGTCTGTGTCTAAGTGCGTGTGGATTAGCAAAGTGCTGCCCGTAAGTACATGCAGGTTAGTATCTGTGCCCTTCTAGTGAAGCTGCTCTGATTTCATACAGAGGTATAGTTCAGTAGTCTTAGTGTTAGATGTAAAGGGTCTTTTAAAGAAACTCAGTAATAATTTAATCAGTGTCAGATTTGGAGTTGAAAACTGACTTAGTCATTTCTTATTTATGCCACTGTGCTGTATAAAGACTGATGCTAACTTTTATGTTTTCAGTGCCTTCCATTTTGGCCTGAAAATCTGTCGGGCAAACTTTGTCTGAGAGTAGTGGGCTGTGAGAGACCTTCCAAACCATTCTTTTATAACCGACAAGATAATGGCACTTTGTTGACCTTAGAAGAACTGGTAAGCTGTTATATTTTAAAATAAATGTCTTTGATTTTTAAAATTTGCTTTAAAATTTTTTCTTTAAATCATGACATAAAAATCTGCTGGTAATTTGCTTGAAGCACTGCTGTATCAGTATTAAGGCCTTGATAACAAAATTGAATCAGTTCTGAAATCAGAACTGATTTACTTTTCCTTGATAACCTAGAAAACAAAACTCTTGTGTTTACATAATTGGTTGACATCCCACATGTAAATGATAACCAGTACCTCAATTGGATCTTTTTCCTACAATAGAATGGAGCCATCTTGGTGGATGTAAATACTGCAGAACACTCCACTGTCATAACTTTTTCTGATTACCATGAGGGGTCTGCACCTGCCCTCCTGATAAACCACACACCGTGGGACATCCTCACGTACAAACAGAGGTAGGAGACAGGGGCTAATGTGAATCTTCTTAGCTTTTGTTGGTCTACAGTCCCTTCTGGGAAACTCTTGATAACATCCGAGCATTGCAGAGATTAGAAAGGCAGTATGCGGAGTATGTGCGTCTGTTATACAACAGCCTCATTATGTCTTGAGACAGTGCTCTGTGGTCACACGTTAATGTTTTTGTAACAACACAAAAGTGTATTAATGCAGGAAGGATAAATAGAAACCATTAATAGTCTCACAGCAGTTCAAATCAGGTTTCACTGCCAAGTGATACTTGACAAACTTCTAGAAAAAGCTTCAGGTTTTTGGAGCCTTTTAAATTTTAGAATTGCAGGTAAGGGACAGTGAACCTGTTGCATTGTCTTTTTTTCCTAGTCTGGTAGTACTCAGTGAACTTCTCCTTGTAAATGTGTAACTAAATTTTTGGTTAGAGATAATAGAAGACCAAGGGAGAGGAGTGTGGGTAGGGAATGATTCTAAATTTATAGTTCAGATGGTAGGAATTTTTCTTCCTATTCACACATGAGGGCTAGGACATTTTAATCTTTCCTCTGTCACTTGTGTTATAGTGGATCACAGAAGGAAGTAGTCTTAATGCCAAGACAAGCTCGACTTTTTGCCTGGGCTGATCCTACTGGCCCCAGAAAACTTACGTGGACATATGCAGCCAGTCGTGGGGAGCATGCTCTGTTGAAGGTACTTCTTGATGGGGAGTTGCTGGGTGTGTTGCATTGTGCTGAGGGAAGTGGACAGGTTAGCTTCCTTCCCATGTCATCTGGGTCCTCCCTGAGCTGAAAGTGAAGGGGGGACGAGTTTTGAAATAAGTTATTCAAACTTGAGATTGCAAATAGTTCATACTGATAGGTTAATCAAAATTTATTTACAATTTAAAAAATACACCTGCTCCATCTAGTCCAAGACAAGATTAGTAAAATACCTTTTTATTTACTGTTATTAAATGGAAAGGATTTTAAGGTTAAATAAAATTGAACTTTATTTTGAAAGCACCTATACCTCCATTGGCATTGAATGTTTTCAGGCATGTTTTTCTAAGCATGGCCATGTATTTTATTATTCAGAGGAGTTTGATAGTATGTAAGTTTTCCCATATACAGGATTTGATGAAATAACTATGATAGATAGCTAAACTAATCAATTGTTTCTTGGATTGAGAACTCTAGAAGAGGCCTAAGAATTCACCTGCCAGCCTCCTCCCTGACAGAGAAATGGTCTTCTTGCTTTACTGATACATCATCCCGTTTCTGCATAGATACACTTCCCTTTGTAGAGTGTTACAGGCTGTCCTAGGGTGCTCAGTGTTAAAAAGGAGGTCTTGGCTTTTTCTTTAAATGGTGATTGGCCAACAGTTATCTGCCCCTGTTTTCACTCTGAGATACCTTGAAAAACGAAAGCCTGAGCTGACCTTTAGGAAGTGAGAGTAATTGTTCCTATGCGGTGAGGCTCTATTTGGTGCAGCTTTGTTGCTCTGCTTGTGCTTCACTTTCACAGTAGAGAAGCATCCAGTTTGTCAGTAGAGGAAGGACAGAGAAGCCTGCCCTTGTCTGCGCCCTGACTCAGTCACTGGAGCTCTCCCTGGAGCCCTTGGCCGGCTGCAGGTGGTGCCTCTTCCTCCCATTTGATTCTTCCCAGCAGCCACAAGTGCCAGGCAGTAGATCCGGACCTCCGAGAGGGAGCAGTGGAGGTGTTGTGGAGGCAGGGGTACTGCGTCCTGCACGGGGCAGACCCAGAAAGAGCCTTCGCAGCAGTGTATGCAGAGCTTCTACTCTTAATGTCTCTGTCCTGTTTTCTATGAGAAAATCAGACCAGCGAAGAGCACATAGTTGTACCTCAGCATGGTTTGCTGGCTTCTTGTCTGGAAAGATGGTGTGAGAAGGGAGTTCTGCCCGGGCCTGAGTGGATGTGACAGGGCAGTCCCAAGAGCCTCTGATAGGCAGTGGCTCTGAATGGCTCTTTCCTCAGTAGGTAAAAGTGGTTTAAGTTTTCCTGCTGACAGACAAAAGCATACGGCAACCCAAAAGCTGGGTGTATGTTTGCAGCTCCTGCTGAAGGCAAGGGAGACTGCGGAGCCCAGGGTTCAGTGTCAGCCTCGACCACAGGGCCACAGAGCCACAGAGCCAGACCTCCTCTCCAAAAAGAAAGGAAAGAAAAGTACCTGATACACTTACAGGAGATCTGTCTTAACTTAAAATTTTAAGCATAAAGATACAAAATTTCAGTGTGTAAGTAAAGTTAGAATGAAATCAAAACTGCTAATTTTAGCTCTGCTCAAGTATAATTTAAGGCACAACTATTAGTACATTACAATAATATGACACAAAGGGATGTGAGCCATAAACCTTCATGCAGTGAATAACATTGTATTAAAATGTGAGTAAACATATTGCTGGGGTATGTTAACATACCTCATTTAACTTTTAACTGATCAAATAGATAAAGAACAAATACAAGTCCAAGAATGTAAAAAATGATGAAATGAAAGACACCTATAATATTTTGTAGTTTATACAGAGCATTTGTCTTCTTAACAGGTATCTCTGAAAATTAAACTACTTATTAGAGTAAAAAACAGTCGGAAGGCTACTGTAACCGTGTAACACAGTTCAAAACTTACACTTGAAACCACAACTACAGAACTTAGTCCTCTGCTTTGGGTAAAATCCTTTGTTTTTTCTCTTTGCTGAAGAAAGCAGGAGATGAAAAGGTACATGGCAGAAACTGTTGCAGTTAAGCCCAGATTCAGTGTCTGAAAACACTGACCAAATAAGTCAGGCTCATATTTTCAAGTGCCACATGAAACATTCAGCAAAGAAGTCTAATTTTTGCTCAGCTGAATACAAACCAACTACTGCAGTTTGACTATTTTTGGCAGAGTGATTTGCATAAATATTTGCTGTGTTACAAATTATTAAAACAAAAATAGACTAGTAGACTAATTTAGCTTGACGTTACTTTTGCAGGGGTTGTAGTCAGGCGTTGTGAGAAAAACAATTACAATCAGGACATGAAGTTTATAATTTTATTTTCTGATGGTCATCCCAAGTTACACAAGAAACTGCAGGAAATCTATCTGAAACACCAAAGACAGAATAGTTAATCAGCTAAGGGCCTGAATCCCACAGTAGTGTCTTGCATGAGTCCAGATGAAGACCCAGAGCTCATGACAATGCCTCCCACAAGTCCAACTGGAGGTCTAGAGCCCTTGAGAGGGACTCATGCCAGTCTCTTTTTACCAGTCTATGCGGGGAAGGTCCAGAGGTTAGCGGTGGAAGCTAGAAAGTGTATGCCAGCGGGTTGAAGAAGCTGTGCTGCTAAGTTGACGGTTCTATACTGGAGCCGAGAAGTCATGTTCAAAAGAAAGACCGGGGCTGTCCTGAAAAGCACCACAGCCATCCTCAGCAACACGGAGTTCCCCAGCTCCTCCAACGACAAGCATAGTCTGGTACATGCCAGGAAGCCAGCGTGACGAGTTCATCCTAGAGACCAAGCAGCACACGTCTTCCCCTCTGGAGCCAGGAAGCAGTGCTCGATGTGAGGACCAGAGCTTCTCCAGGAAAACTAGCAGCTCAAACAGCAACAACTAGGAGAACCCACAATGCCTCAATGCTTTATCTTCTCCACATCTCTGTATGCTGGCAACCTTCCTAAGGTGGAACATTGTGCTCAGGAGCATGCTGATGTAATCCAGCTGGCGTTAAGTTTACCACCACTTTCCAATCTATATCAGGGATGCTGGTAATTGAACTTAGGACCTTGTACTTGCCACTGAGCTATATTCTCGGGCCCAGGTTATGTTTTTCCTATTTCGGAAGTATTCTGTTCTCCAGCGTGGAGACAAACATCTTTTGGCATTGTTACTATCAAGCATACTCTTGTTCCAGCTCAGTGCTCTTTGAGCATTAACCAGGTAACACACACTAAGGTAGAAAAAGGAAAAACACACTTTTAATGTTTGTCACTGAAGAAAGGTGAGTGTTGTTTTAAAACAGATAATAACTTTCGTGAAGTCAGGTGGATGCTTAAAGTTTTCCATTTTATGGTCAAGCTTTTAAACTTGCCTATGCTTTCTCAGTTGCTGTGGTTCAATTTTAGTTAAAACTATGTGTCTTTGTTTCCCCAGGATGAATGTGGCCAGTTTCCCTGTGACGCAAACATCCAGATACACTGGGTGTCATTCCTCGATGGCCGCCAGAGAGTACTGCTTTTCACGGATGATGTGGCCTTGGTTTCCAAAGCCCTGCAGGCAGAGGAAATGGAGCAGGCTGACCATGAAATAACCTTCTCTCTCCACAGCCTTGGGCTCTCACTGGTTAACAATGAAAGCAAGCAGGAAGCTTCATATATCGGAATAACCAGGTATTCCAGATGGAAGTAAGGCATGAAGAATCTGCAAGAAAGCATTCTGTTCATTAATGCTGCATAAGATGAGGGCAGGCAGGTTCTCCTTTGAGTTTTTTAGGCTCTGTGACAGTGGTGGCGGCAAACCTGCATGCTGTAGCTGTGTGCAGAGCCCTCTGCAGTGACGTCAGTGTGAGTGATGCGAGTAGTTCCTTCCAGACTGAAACTCATTATTCAGCTCCAGTTGCACCATAGGCACTTAGAGATAAGTGCATTCTGAGTTGCAGTGTGGGCACTTGGTTTCTAAAAGATTTGCCTTCACGGCTCCATAATCAGTCAGTGAGACTTCGTGGGGAACTGTGTGAACTGCTAGTGGTTGGAGCCTGAAGATGACTAAAATTTTGTCTCTGCTTTCTTACACAGTACATGTTGTCTTGGTAGGAAAGGAAGTGCTGCTTTTCACGGATGATGTGGCCTTGGTTTCCTTTTTCTCTTTGTAGATTTCCTTTTTCTCTTTGTAGAATGCTCTAGAAACAACAAGAAATTTTACAAAGAAGTGTACACAGGGCTGGGAATTTACCTCAGCGGCGTAAGTGTGCCTGCCTGGCAAGTGCAAGGTCATGAGTTCAATCCCCCAATACAAAAAAAAAAAAGTACATATGTACTGGAGTTACTGAAATCGAAATAACTAATTTTATTTATAGAAAGGTTGTAGAAACTAGCTTGGGTCGGTGGAAGCTGCCAAAACTAAATTAGGAAACACACTCATATAGGATGTAGTGTCAATAGTTATTTAGAACTTCATTAAATAATAAACACTTGGCTTTGTATTTCAGTATTACATGGAATTTTTAAAAACTGAAAACCACTTGTTTAGTCATAGAGATGAAATTTGCTCTCTTTCATTCTTTGATATGTTCTTTTCACATTGATGTTACATGTACTGTGGTATTTTTCAACTTGTCCTTTGTAAGAATATTGGTAAAATTTATTGAAATAACTTGATTACTTTTTTCACCTTATACACATTGAGTAATATCTAGGCTCCAAAGGAAAAAGTCATTTATATAGTGTTTAAAAATAGACCTTTATTTGTTTGCAGTTTTAAGTCTAGAAGAAGATTGAATTTAAATCTAGAACTCTCACAAACCTCTGCCCTGGTTTCCTCTAACAGCCTGCAAAATTGTACTAATGTATTTGTTATTAATTAATGACTGCTGCTAACATTACTGTTGTAAAATAAGTACTTCGTTTACTTTGGGCTTCACTCACTCTTACTAGTCTATGACTGTCACAGTATATAACCTGAACCCAGCATTACAGTATCACATAGAACAACATAGGCCTTAAAAGTTTCTTGTCTTTCGTCTGTTAATCCCTCCTCTCCTCTTTTTCCTGAATTCCTGGGAAAGACTGATCTTAGGCATCCTAGTAAAGGGCTCCTGTTGCTTCAGTCTGCAGTTCCCTTGAGGATATCTAATGCCCAGTACTTTTCATATGCTTACTTGTCTTGAGTGCTTTCTTCTGTTAGCTGTTGGGGTCTTTCCTCTACTCAAATTTGCTGTTTTCGTTTGTTCATTCGTTTGAGTTTGTTCATTTCTTTTGAGTTGTTCATTTTGGATTCTAGTATTTTATCAGATACATATTTTACAAAAAGCTTCTTCTAGTCTATGGCTTTCTTAGAAAATTGTCTACGCAGTGTCTTTCCAAGAGAAGCATCAGTTTTTCTCTTGTGGGTTGTGCTTTTGGTATTGTGGCTGAGTAGTCTCTTCAGTGCCCAGGTTCCCTATTTTCTCCTATTATCTTCTTGAAATTACAGTCTGTTCTGTGTATGTTTAGAGCTGTAAGCCAGTTTGAGTTAATGGCTTTGTAAAGAATGATAGCAGTTCTGTGTCTAGGTCACTTTGTTGCACAGGGTTGTCTGTCATTTGCTAAAAAGACTGTCTTTTGTCTAGTTGCTTGTTTTCCTTTTAAACAGTTATTTGACCTATTTGTTTGGGTCTATGTCCAAGCTCTGTTTTCGCAGCAGATTATCTTGATTAGCCTAGTTTTCTAGTACGGCTTGAAGCAGGGTAGTATCAGTCTTCTGACTTACTCTGTCCTCGTGTTGTCTCCTTTTTATCCTTTTGCCTTTCCATGTATACTTTAGAATCAGTTTGTTGATAGTTACAAAATACTTTGCTGAACTTTTTATTGGTATTGCATTGTATCTATAAAGCAACTTGGGAAAAACATGTTAACAATGTTAGCTCTTCACGTCTGTGTGTGTGGAGTAGCTCTCTGTTAGCTCTTGAATTTCTTTCACCACTTTCACTAGTTTTTCTCTCACAGATTGTATACATATGTTTTAGACTTATTTATACCTAAGCACTGTTTTATTTGGTATTAATGTAAATGATACTGTGTTTCTGGCTTCCAACCTTGTTTAATTGCTTGATAGTTCCAGGGAATTTTGGGGGTGGGTTTTTTTTTTTTTTTTTTGGTTCATTTTTGAAATTTTCTGTGTAGACAATCATGTCATTTATGATGATAGCTTTATTTCTCCTTTTTCAGTATTCATTCCCCTCCTCTCCTCTCCTCTTGCTTTCCTCTCCTCTCTCTGCATTATCTAGGACTTCCAGCACAGTGTTGAATGAGAGGGGTGAGTGTGAACATCGTTGCCTTCTTCCTGATCTGTGGAAAGCATCTAGTTTATCCTCCTGAAATACAGTGTCAGTGATAGGTTTTTTGTAGATGTTCATTATCAAGCTAAGGAAATTTTCTTGGAGGTTTTATCATAAAGACTTTTTGGATATATGTAATTTGTAGTAGATAATTTTGTTTAATAACTTCATTAACTCCTAAACATCACCAGATAGTGAAGATTTCTTGTGATTGTTACTAGTAAACTATGCAAATTAATGTATTATAGATTTACATTTTTTTCTGTAAACAATATTCTCTCATGCAAGGATCAGTAAGGTATGGCTGAATCTGGTCCACTGCCTGTTTTCCTTTGGCTTTTGAGCTAAGAATGATTCTTCACACGTTTATAGGGTAGAAAAAACCAAAAGAATCCTTGTTTTGTAATACGTAACAATTGTATGATATTCAAAGGTTAGGGTTGAAGTTGAGGTTTTGGACCGCAAGCATGTTCATTCTTTTGTGTTGGTGGCTGATGTTAGGGTGTGTTCATTGTGCTACAAATCCCAGCAACTGTTGTACATACTGCTTGCTTTACTGCACACTTTGTAGTACTGATGGTAGACTTTGAAGGTGACCCTTAGGGCACAATGCAGTGTGGATTATTGTTTCAAAATGGTAAAGCATTATTTTATTGTATAACAGCATCATAGCTGTGCTAAAATAATGCAAACTGTATTGACCTTTGTAAACAAAGCATACATGAAAAAAACACAGCAATGTACAGAAGATTTGAAACAAAATGTCTTACTACAGCATAATTTCTTGATTAAAAACAAGAAAACGACAAAGTGAGGTTGTAACCAAGGTGAGTTTCAGAGCGAGTCATTCATTTCCTAGGCAAGCAAGGAAAATCTTTTTACTACTAGTAAGTTAATTGGGTCATGGCTGATAACAGGAGCTAAAGAAATGTGTCCAGAGAAAATAAAGCTGTTTAAAGCCATTAGACCTCAGCCGGAACAGTTCCATAAAGGAGCGGGAACTTTGAGAGCAACCTCAGCCAATAAAAACGCATGAATGAGCGTATTGAGTCATGAGTACACAGTTTTCCTAAGCTCTTGATAAGTGAACAGATGTTCCCAGTTCTGCTCAGTTATTTACTGGAGAATTTAGTGTTGAGTTTGAAGAAACTGAAGAATTAGCCTCTGTCAGTAGTCTGCCTAGAAAAACTGCTGGTGAGGATACCTTTAAACAAGTTGAAGAAATAGATTCAGCATTATTAAGAAAGATTCTTCTAGTATATTACAGCCAAATATGGGGCTGGGGTGGGAGCAGGAAAAAACTTAGCTGGACAAATTGAGAAAGCTTTAACACTATGAAGCCTTTAAAGCCTGTGTTTTCCCAGTGTTTACCTGTTAGTAGGTGCTCTCTGGAAAGGGTTTGGATCGGCCTTCTCCTAGCCAGTGGTGTCCAGCAGTGAGCTCACCCATCCTGGTTGGGTTAGCTGCTGTCAGCTCTGAGAGTGCTAGAAATAGAAGCTGAATTTCCTCATCGTTCTTAGTGAATGCAGTGCTGTAGCAGTGGTAACTCTAGTTGTTTGAGTTCTGGGCCAAGATGAACATTTTTTGAGCAAAAAGTCATCTGTGGTCACTACTCAACACTGAATGACTTTGAAAATTATTTTTGCTGAAGACCTGATAATACTTCTCAGTGACTCTCACCCTAAAATTAGAAGGTTAAGCAGTGCTCTATGGGAAACTTACATTTCAGTAGACTCATTTGGAAACAACTTTTCTTTGAATAACAAGTAACGTCAAGCTGTTTTATGAACTTTCTGTGCCATCCGGAGTCAAAACAAGAAGCAGGATATCCAATCTCTCAAATATTTGGAGAGAATATAGCTTATGACCTTCATCTTGATTCCAGCAACATTTTTTCCTGACCTCAATGCAAATAATTAAGAAACTTCCTCATTTTAATATCCATTTGGGCAGATAAAGAACTGCCACCTAATCTGCAGTATATTAAAAAGCAAATGTCAACGAAAGAATTTAGTAAGCTTTTAGGAATGTCTTTCAAGTAATATATTAACATAATTAAAATCTCATTACAATAGTCACCGTATTTGTATAGATCATTGTCCCTGTTTGACAGTACCTGTTTCCAAAGTGCGGTATCTATAGACGCTCATTCCGCATCATCATTAATAATGCACATCTGCAGTGGATTTTTTTTTTCATTTTCCATTTTTATTGGTACCAGGGATCGAACCCACGACTGCCTGCTTACAAGGCAGGCACTTATGCCGCTGAGCTAAATCCCCAGCCCCTGCAGTGGATTTTGATAGGAATACTAATTAGGCAAGATGTTATCTGCTCTCACAGAAGTCTCACTAGTAGACTCTTGTTTGTAGAAATTCTCAATTATTTTCATATTTTAAATTTTATCAATTAAAAAGTTTATGGAATTCTCTAGATGTCTACATAATAATCATTCTTTATATAGCTTTTGCAACACAGATAGTGTTGAATATTATAAAGATCTCTTTTATCAATTTAATTTCCATAGGAAATTAGGAGTTATACTAATCTGGAGTTGAATGACAGTTCCACAAATTTAAATCTGTGTTTCTAATTTAATCCTCTTTTGTGAATTATTTAGTTCTGGTGTTGTTTGGGAAATGAAACCACAGCAGAAATGGAAGCCTTTTAGTCAGAAGCAGATACTCCTCCTGGAGCATTCCTACCAGAAGCACCAGCGCTCCTGTGACCGCGGCTGGGTGAAGCTAGAGAATAATTTTGAGGTAAGCCCCAGTGTTCAGAGGTGTATTTTGTTGTTGTTGGGAGTGGGAGTGAGTAGTTTTATTGTCTAGTATGTGTAGACATTGAAATATGTGTTTGTTAGTAAATAAACTCTTACTTATTAGTAGGAGTGTTCGTATATAATTAAAATACTATATGGTGTCACTGCAATTAAATGTGTTAATATAATCTTGTACTGTGAAGCCTGATTTAAATGTTTCTCTTCTGTATTGTTTTAACTGGTTTTTTCTACAAATCAGTTTTGTGAAACTTTTTGTGAAATTTATGCAGCAATTATGGTAGTTTATTGAAAATTTTACTCTTACATGTTGAATAATACCTATGCATTGCTAAGTACAGTTACATTACTTCATTGTTAGAAAACCTACAAAAGTTCTGCTGAATTAAATTCATTAATCTGAATGATTGTTGGTATCCACAAATAAAGGTGTGCTCTCCATGAGGCCTTCCAGAACAAAAACTGAAAGTTATGGTGGCTGCAGGAAGACTCCAGAAACTTGACTTGAGTGGGCAGCTTGCCATCTTCAGTCGTATACTCTAGGTGTTCTTTGTCTCTAGTGTCTGACAGCTGAATCTGCACTGGTCACCAGATTTGTTTCCCACCCATCCTGACAGTGGGCTGCACATAAGTGGGGCGGGGTGGGGCTGTGCCCTTTGTGTCCAGCAGAAGCTAGCTATTAATTGTGTATAGTGAGCTTTCTTAGAAAAGTGAGTCTGTTTCAGAGCTCTCGGTTGTAGATGACCTTAAGATCTTCTGGTGAGACATAGAAAGATAGTCTTCTCATTTGGTTTCATCAGTGCACAGATACCTAAAAGGAGATACTCTGCTAATACCAACTTACCAAAATTGTGCTTTTTTTCTAGGTCAATTTTGATAAAGTTCCCATGGAAATGCGTGTGAAGAATCATTCTTAGCTCAAAAGCCAAAGGAAAACAGGCAGTGGACCAGATTCAGCCATACCTTACTGATCCTTGCATGAGAGAATATTGTTTGTTGGTCGCACTTCGTAACCACTGTCACTGTGGAAACCAAGCACATCAGGGTGCCCTGACCGGAGTGTGAAAGCGCTGAAGTTGGCGTTCTTCTCTTGACGCGATGTTTTCCCTTTCCCACATTTGATTGCAACTGAGGGAGTAGAAAATTGGATGCCTTTCACTTGCCTGATTTTGTACTTTATGAACCCATTTCTTTTTTCCCCTTTTGTGCTTTTCAGCTTTTACAGGGAAAGGTGACTACTTAGTAAATTTACAAATCCTATCAACCATAATGCTCGAAACTTGTGTAATGGACCAGATTTAACAATTAAGAAACTGGAAAATATTGCTCATCCTTTACATTTTCAAAAATTGTTCACAGCACTTTATTTTCAGTTGCATTCACAATCCATTGAGCTTAAGTGGATGGTTTCATAAATAAGGTTATTATTTTAAAATGATACGTTAGTTTGGTGATATCAGACTCAGGCATAAGATCACCTTTAAAATTGACATTGTTTTTTGTGTTAGGTTATAAAGAGTTTCTTTTTCATTACTGAGTGAAAAATCTGTTCTTCGTGGGATTAAATAATACCCTTCAACAAAATTTATTGAGTGCCTGTTATCCAAATTGCTGTTCAGACATGAAATGACTTCTTGGAGTTTATATTGTAGGGGAGTGTTAAAGATTGCTAATTTAGCTCTTCATGTTCTTAGACACACTGGGAATTATGCTGTTCAGTAGAATAATGAAGATTATGAACAGTTATTTTTGTAGTCCATGTTGACTTTGCCTCAGGGAGGGGTAGAGCCCTGGGCTTTCCTGGACTTGTATCAGGTCCACTTTGTGTAGCTCTGGGCAGGTTAAGTAGGACGTCCAGGGAGGACAGAAGGAGAAAGGAGAGTCATCTGCTTTACTGACACGTGTTAAGTTACCCGTTGTCTGTGTCTTCCTGCTCTACTGCATTAATGTTGCTATTGGATAAAGTGGAAGCCAATGGGAAGGTGAAAGTCTGCTTTTAAGGACTGAGAGAGGTACTGTGGAAACTGAAAGCCTTGTGATTTCTTTTAAAAGTTTATTTGGCAACTCACTAACTGTTCCATAATTGTCATGCCATTGCTAATTATTTTTATGGTATAATTATAACAATTGTTATCATTAATTGTTGCCATGAGCTATGTACCTTAATTGGATGAAAATAAATAATTTCCTGTTTTGGCTGGCAAACTGTGTGCCAGCTGACGTTTTCTTCTTTAAATCATTATCCCATTTTTGTACAGGGATTTTGCTTCCTTCCTAATGACATGATGGTATTTATACACTTGGAATGAAAATAGAGGTCTAGTTTTGAGTCAGACCACTTGTATTTTGTCAGAAAATAAATGAGAATCAGATATGAGTTGTTCTTTATTTGTATACAGGATAAATAACATGTTTTAGCAGGGCTTTCATTGGAAGATACTTATGGTTGTCATACTAGATTGGACGATCTGGGTCCTGTTGTATAAAGCTTTTGTGTTTTGCTTGTGTTTATTGAATATTATGTTTCTTTTAGTTGCATTTGAGTCTGTCTTTGAGTTCTGGAGGTGAAGAATCAGACAAACAGGAAATGATTGCGATTCATTCTGTCAACCTGCTTCTGAAAAGCATAGGTGCCACTCTGACTGATGTGGATGACCTTATTTTCAAGTAAGACTTCTATTCCAGTACACTGGAAGCTATTTATGCCAAGGTTGAGTGTTTGGATACTAATTTTTCTATTTCTGTAGTATTAGCCTAGGAGGTTGATAATGCTTACTACGTGAAGAATTTGATCCATTTTTGATGGTGTTCTTTAAGATGTGCTTATTTTATTAATAACAATGATGATGAAGTCATATTTTCTTTTATTACTCATATCTTGGGGCTGGGGATTTAGCTCAGTGGCATAAGTGCCTGCCTTGCAAGCAGGCAGTCGTGAGTTCGATCCCTGGTACCGATAAAAAGAAAAAAGACAAAAAAAAAAAAAGTATACTCATATCTGTGTAATATGAATATAAAATAAAAATTTAATTATTTTCTGTATTTAGAAATTTGTAGCAATGAAGTGAGATTTCATTGTAACCACCCAGCAAAGTACAGAAATAACAACATCTTGTTACCTTTAATATGAGGATATTTATGTGTGCTGGTTACATATGAATTCAGTAACTCTCTGTGGCATTGAATATTCAGTAGTGGTATTGGGACAAGGAGTCAGCTGGAAGAAAATTTTTCAAATTATTTCTGTCTCACAAAACAAAGGATAAAATACTGTGTAATTTTCAATCTGAAAGACTTGAAAAAAATTTGTTATTAGATCTGTGAGTAGAGAAAAATCTAAGCTTAAAAGCTATAAGAAAAATTTCTTACAGCTTTTCAGTGGAAAATGCAAAATAGATTGTACCACATAAAAATTGAATATTTCGTATTAGAGCCGAGGAAGATGAAGACAAAAGCTGGAAAAGTACAATGATATAAGATGTAGAGAGGATTTTTAGTGTTAATATTAACCATTCCTAGAAATTCCAGTGGTGTCACAGCCATTGGACAGTAAGAGGTACCTCACAGAAAGGAAAGTGAAGGTGACTGATTGATAGTTGAAATGTCTAGTTTTAGTATTTATCAAAAGTGCATGTAGGGGCTCAGCAGCATAAGCACCTGCCTTGCAAGCAAGCGGTCATGAGTTCGATCCCTGGTACCGATTTAAAAAAAAAAAAAAAGGAAAAAAAGTGCATGCAGATTGATGTAAATTATCACCACTTCAAAATGCAAGTGGTCCTCATACTACTAGATGGAGTGGGTCTAAGAAATGGACACTTTTTTATGCTGTGGATGTTAGTGGAAAGCTCTGCATCTATGGAGTCTGTTTTTGTGGTCTGTCATTCAGTATTCTGTTTTGGGAATTTAGTCCAAAAAATAATCTTGAAAAGCAGCTAGAGTTATATTCAAAATATATGAGGCAGCATGAATTATACCCAGAACTGGGCTCTTGGTGACAGAGGGGAGTTGGTCATTCCGATGCTGTCCCACAGAGTGGCAGTGGAATGCTGTGTACCCGAGGTGATTTAATGGGACGTGAGTGAAGATAAAAACAGATACCCACAATGATGGCACATAAAATATTGTAAATGCTTTGTAATTGCATAGAAAAGAATTAAAAATGGAAACGATGAGGAAACGAAAAAATCTAGAGTGGTGAGATGGTGGTTGACTTTAAAAATTGTGTACTCTGTCACATATTTATTGTAAGCTTACATGAAAATGCACTATTTTAATCATAATTTTGTTACCATAACATTAAGATACCAGCTGTAAATTACATCAATGCAAAGTTAAATATGAAAGAATTGACTGTGACTAGAATAGGCTATTAGTGAATTTTAAGTCCTTTTCCCCCAGAATATAGTTTTAGTGTTTTGAAATTTTCCTTTTTCTCCTCCTAGACTTGCTTATTTTGAAATACAATACCAGTTTTACAAGAGAGATCAACTCGTGTGGAGTGTTGTTAGGCATTACAGTGAACAGGTAATTTCTTATTAGAGTAGCTTTCAGGGAATATACTTCATAAAATACTAGAATAAAACATTTGTATGTGATTGTGTAATATGTAGTAATGTTTACATAATTTATCTCAATTTATAATCTCAAAACTTAGTGTTCTTCTTAAATGATTAATTTGTTCTTTAGTTCTGCCACCATTATATACTTTTCAAAAATTTCCCCCTGTGCCTCTTTCCCTTTGCAGTTGTTACCATTTGGGAAAGAGTAGTGATTTTGGTGTCATTACTTTTGAGTTCTTGAGGGGCTGTTGTCTGTCAGCATAGCATATGGAATTGCAAGAGAAACTGTGGTCTGGTTTCTTTCCTGGACGTCTATCACCCTGTGGTTCTGTAGGTGTCCAGCTGCTCAGGTGGCATTGCTGTGTCCTGAGACCACAAGTGGTTTCCTCTTGCTGTCTTGTGCTAGAAGGTTTTCTCCTTTCTGATGTGTAGATGTTGCAGTGATTACATGTTCAAATAAGGATTTCATTTCTCTTGTTTTTTGTTTTAGTTTGTAATTATTCTGCACATAATTTAAAAAGTAATAGTGATGATAAGGTAAAAATAACAACCACCATTACTGAATTATGTATTTGTTTAATAGGTATACTCACCCATGCAAGGTTGATGTAGCTTTGCGTTTCGTAGATGAGAAGGTGGAGGCTGGTAGATACTTGTCATGGTTTTCATAATTGCTAAAGGACAGACTCTACCTCAAACTTAGTTTCAATTTGAAAGCCGTACAAGTGTGACACCTGATACACAATGAAATATCAGTCAGTGGATGTGGGAGTGGAGATTCCACATGGCTCTCCTTTTACCTAAGCATAATCTCTCACACCCATTCCCTACTGTATCATGATGCCCTTTTTTTTTGAACAGCTGCAAAGGACTTAGTTTACCTTTTGTCTTCCATAGTTCTTAAAACAGATGTATGTCCTTGTGTTGGGCTTAGATGTGCTTGGAAACCCATTTGGATTAATTAGAGGTCTGTCTGAAGGAGTTGAAGCTTTCTTCTACGAACCCTTCCAGGTATTGCTTTTTTTTAAAAGTTCAAGTGTGGGTATAAAATTTTTAATGACAATAGTTTGTATTTTCATTGTATCTAGGAACTGAATGATATTTATTTATTTAAAAATATTTGAAATGACATTGAAAGCCTGATTTTGTGAATTAAATAAGCACTTGTGCTTATCTGGACAATGAAATGTGCCCATGTCCCAGATTTAGTGTAGTTACGAGGGTGTTTACAGTGTCGGGTAGACTGTAGATTCTTTTGATGCTGTTGCACCGCTGTGGGAGGGACTGGTGGGACATTAGGAGCCAGCCTGCTGTCACAGTCATGCTTTTGTCTAATTCGTCCAGCTCTCCAAAGAGTGGGAGCCCAGTGTGCTGAGGGTGTTGTTTGGAAGGATGAAGCCGAGAGAATAAGTGGGAGGGTGAGAGAGTCAGAAACATCTATGCACTCAGGCGGCCTGCTAGCAGTGCAGCAGAAAGCTGAATATGTGCAGATATGGACTCAGGCAGTCCTGGGAGCAGCTGCCGAAGAGGCAGGCAGCTTTGTACTGCATGGCCCACTTAGCATTAAAACCAGTGACTTTAATTTAACGTCCAGGTTTTTTGTCTTACAGAAGTTGCTGAGATTGTGTGGTAGAAAATACCTTTGATTAGAGTGGTATTCTATCAGTACTTGAAATATAGGATAAATATTGTCTTGTTAGCCTTCATGGATCTTTACACACTCATCATATTCATGAAAACCCTGAATTTTAAGGCTTAATTCTAAGTAGCAAACTTCCTTTGGGCCAGGGTGCTGTCCAAGGTCCTGAAGAGTTTGCTGAAGGATTAGTGATTGGAATGAGAAGTCTCTTTGGGCACACAGTAGGTATGTATCACCAATTTACATGTATCTGTATACTTTTATATTAACATAAAATGTGTTGTTTATGAGAAGTAAATGATTATATTTAGTAGGTGGGATCACTTAGTCTCTTTTAAAAGACATGTTTTCGTGTTTTTAAATGGGAAATAATTTAATATTGGCCTGTTAGTTTTTAAATATGTCTTTGTGGTGGTGAATCAATGTACTTCAAATATTTGATAGTTGGCAAAAAACGTTTCATTTTTGTGTGAGACAGATTTGTTAGTTGGAAGCAGTGCGTGCTGTGCATTGTGACATTGCTTCCATAGGACCCATGTGACTTCCTCCTCTGGCTTTTGGTAGGTGGTGCAGCCGGAGTTGTGTCTCGAATCACTGGTTCCGTTGGGAAAGGTTTGGCAGCAATTACAATGGACAAGGAGTATCAGCAAAGAAGACGAGAAGAGATGGGCCGACAGCCTAAAGATTTTGGAGATAGTCCGGCCAGAGGAGGAAAGGGCTTCCTGCGGGTAAATCTTCTTCAAGAACCTTCAACTTTTATATGAACATTTTGGAGTGTGCAATCCAAATGCTGAGTTTTGGTTTTGGGGGGGGGGTGGTACCCAGAATCAAACTCTCAGTCTTGTGCTTGCCAGGCAGGCACTTGTGCCGCTGATGCTGAGCTGTGTCGTCCCCAGATAAAGGTGTCTTTTGTTTTTCTTGAGACAGGGTCTTGCTATGTAGTTTGGGCTGGCCTTGAACTCATTTTGTAGCCCAGGCTGGCCTCGAACTTGCAGCAGTCCTCCTGCCTCAAGCTCCCAAGGGCTGTAATTACAGGCGTGCATCACCACACCAGGCCTACACTGCTGTTTTTGACAGTTGTTAAGAGTGTATAACTGTATTTTTAATCTTGGAAGTATTTTCAAAAAGCTGCGACTGGTGTTTGAGCCAGTGAGTTTTAACAGCTGTGTCTTACATTCTGTGAAATACTCTATTTGTCAGGTTATTTGCTGTGCCAGGGTGTTTTCTTTATTTTCTTTTTTTTACAGTTCCATTAAATTAAAAAGTAATCTCATTGAAATGTATAATTAGATTATTTCACTCAACTAATTTTTATTGATGTGAGACGGAGGATTACACAGAGAGATTGAATCAACTGCCTGTGCTCGTACAGCTGATAGGTAACAGAGCCAGGTTTAGGTGCTCTATCTCTGCCTTACTGCTCTATCTTCCATGGATGTACTCAGTTAAAAAGCTCTGTGACTTAATATCTTTACAATAATAATGTGCTCACACGTTCACATTATCAAGTGAGTCATGAGTCTTTAGTCTTTTTTTTTTTTTTTGAATTTTTGTTTCTAGTATGTTTGTAGAGACCTCTAGTGGTTGATTTAAAATTAAGCAACTTCTCTCCCAGGAACCTTTCTGATTGCTTTCTCTTTCAGGGAGTTTTTGGTGGAGTGACGGGAATAATAACAAAGCCTGTAGAAGGTAGGTTGAGAGTATTTCTGCCCGGTAAAAAGTAAAGTGTCAGTGCTTGATAAACATGCTAGATGTTGCTATAAGATACTTGAGAAAACCATTGACTAAATTTTAGATTCACATTCTTAAATTATTTAGTGTATCTTCCTCAGAAAGCAGAGACATTAAGTAGGAGATTATGATTCAGACTTTGAAAGCTGTTTTCATCAGGACCATCAGCAAACTAGATTTTTTGAGACTCTCACTAGTAATTGACTTGAGGTTTTTCTGTGGTTATCTTTTTTATAGTCTCATTTAAAAAGGTACGTATTCTTCAGTGCAATCCCAGTTGGTATTTTTTGTGACAGTTGACAATCTAAAATTTATATGTAAATTCAAGAGTTCCAAAATAGCTGAAACAGTCTTGAAAAAAGAGCAAATTTGGAGGACTTATACTTCGCAATTTTAATACTTGTTATGTATAGAGCTGTAGTAAAAAAACAGTGTGATACTTGTGTAAGAATAGACGTATAGATCAATGGTATATAACTGACAGTTGACAGTTCAGAAATAAAATCTTCCAGTTATGGCCGATTGAGTTTGGCAGGGGTGCTGAGACGGCTGGACATCCACACGTGAAGCAGAGTAAAACTGGACCCTTAACCCTGTACTGTGTAAAAGTGAACTCCAAATAGGCTAAATACCTAAACGTAAGAGCAAAGCTACAGAACTCAAAGAAAACACAGAACCGGGTCTCTGTTACTTTGGGGTGGCTTAGCTTTTCTAGATGCGACACCAAAAGCACAGATGAAAAAAAGAAAAAGTAGTTAAATTATACTGCACTAGAATTTAAAATTTTTGTGCCAAAAGGACACCATCAAGAAAGGGAAATGACAGTCCACAGATTGGAAGCAGATTTTTACAGACATCTATTTGATGAAAGACTGAATATAAAGCACTCTTACAAGTCTCAGTTTAAATGGACCAAGGATATGAATGGACATTTCTCCAAATCAGATGTATGAGATGAGACTAAAGGACCAGGGACTTAGCAGCCTAAGCACCTGCCTGGCAAGCGTGAGGTCTTGGATTCAATTCCTGATACAAAAAAAAAGAGAGAGATGACTAAAATTCATGATGAACATTTAAATTTTTGAAAATTAGTATAATAACAGATGTTGACACTAAGTCCCCTCAGAATCTCCCCTTTGATTTGAACACACTTACCCCATTGCTTTTGCCACTTCTGAAGCAGTTCTGGAAGCCGTCCTTAGTATCGGTACAGGTGAACGTGGCTGCTGAGGGCCATCCAGTGGGCAGGCATCTTGTTGGAAGGTGAGGGTGGGTCCTCATGCATTTTGTTACTGGGTCTGGCACCATGCCACTGAGTGCTGGTCTCCAAAGTTAAAGGTAGGTGCTTTGAATTGATTCAGTACACTGAGGCAGCCGCGACGGCACAACCACAGACACTTGTGAAAGAGGACTTCAGAGCTGCTTCAGAGAGGGGCAGGGCGATGGGATGAGTGTGCTTGGAGGAGGGAGGAGGATAATTGACATTGTATCTTTCACTGTTTTATTTATATATTTAAAAAAGGAAAGTGAGGAAAAAAAGCAAAAGGCATAAACAACAACAGCAAACTCAAAACAGTAACAATACAGGGTGTCGAAACAATGAAAGAAATTTAACAATGGTTGTTACATTACATATTGTTCTCTTTTTTTTTAAAGAAAGAAAAGAAACTTAAAATAGAAAAACAGAAAAAGGTAGAACAATACCAAATTAAAAAAAATTACCATCACAGAATCAAAGCATAAATGGTGGCTAGCCCCCCAAACATTGACAGTGCAGATACTTTTTTTTTTTAAATGTAAACTTTGACCAGGTTTTCTGATCACTTGTAAAGAGGGCTCATAAGAACATCTAATTAGTCATCAGGGGTGTATGTATCAAATCACAGTCACATACCACGTCACACCTGTTAAGAAGGCTGAACTCAGCACAGTGTGGGGAAATCGAAGCCCTCATACATTGCTGATAGGAATGGAAGGTCATGCAGTTCCTGTGTGGAAGAATCTGACTGTGCAACCAGAGACTTAGCTGGGCTCTCGTGTGGCTCTTTTGGTGTAAGGTATGCACCCAAGAGAGTTGAAAGAGAGGTTCAGACAAAAACTTTATGATAGCAGCATCTTATCCCAAATATCCTCCTAGAGGGCCGAAATACCCTTTCCCTGTTGTATGAGTAGCTGAAATATGGCATATCCGTACGATGGAATATTGTCCTACTTGAAAAGAGATCAAATACTAATAGGTACTACAAGATGGATGAGCCATGAAAATAGGTATAAAGTAGAGAAAGCCACTGGTACTAGAACACAGACTGAATAATTTTGTTCATGGGAAATGTCCACAACAGGCAAATCTGGTGAAATAGGCAGTGTCTGTAGGAGAGTGAGCAGGGGGCAAGAAGTGAACTGGGTGATCAGATTAGGGAAGACTTGGGGCAGTCGTGAGGCTTGGTAATCGACACAGGGTTTCTTTTGAGGTGTGGTACAGAGTTTGAAAAGTTGTGATCTAACTTCTTTAGTTAACTTCTAATGTCTAAAAGTATATTGCTTGAAAAATCTTGATGATTGCTGTAAAAAACAACAATGTATCGTTAGTTCTTGGGCCTTGCAGTTGCCTCTGCTGACTAAAGGACCAGTCAGCTCTGGAGCTTTGCAGCTGTCTGGAGTGCTGGTTACCCACTCTGGGGTTTGGTTCAGCAGGACTGAGTTGGGGCCCAAGAATTTTCACTTAGCACAGACTTCGAGGACCCAGTGTTCTTGTGTGAGGATTAAATTTAACTTGTTTAGAAAGTCAGTATCTTGTAGCTTTCTGAGTTTGGTGCACATTTCTGTTGAGTTCAAACTTGCTTATTTTAAAGGATCTTTGTATACTTATTGTCTTTTTTCCTCTGAAGGTGCCAAAAAGGAGGGAGCTGCTGGATTCTTTAAAGGAATTGGAAAAGGGCTCGTGGGTGCTGTGGCTCGTCCGACAGGCGGGATTGTCGACATGGCCAGCAGCGCCTTCCAGGGCATTCAGAGGTGAGTGTGCCCACTCGGGCAGTGCTGTCAGGAGTGAGTGGAGTGCTTGCTGCCTCTGGGACTGAGTTCACTTGGAAGTTACAACAGCTTGACAGGTAAGGGGCCACCAGAAAGGAAGTAGAAGAGATTTGTTCAGTTTCCCTCTTTTTCATCACCTCCCCCAGTCTTGGTTGCTGTCTGTCTCTGTGTCATATATATGAATGAATGTACCCAGGGGTATTATACTACTACTGATCTGTACCCATAGCTCTTTTTTATTTTTTGTTTTAAGATGGGTTCAGGCTGGTTCAGTACTTGTGATCCTACGCAGCTTCCTGAGTAGCTGGGATTACAGGCGTGTGCCACCATGACTAAAATGTAGTTACCACAAAACAAACAGTTACTGGTCTTGCCATATGCTAAACACTGTGCTGGGCACCAGGAAAACAAAGAGTAGGTGATGTAGTCTTTGCTTTTATTATCTGTGACTTTGTTTAGGAAGAGGGTGGAATGGGTTTGGGGATTTAGCTCAGTGGCCCAGGCGCTTGCCTGCTAAGTGCGAGGTCGTGAGTTCAATCCCTGGTACCTAAAAAAGAAGAGGATAGAAGCTTAGGGTTCAGAATTGGACTTACTATTTTCTGCTATATTTTGGGCTACATAAAATTATCATTGTTTGCTTATCAAATATTTGTATATTTAGTCAGCATGTGTCTTTGGATTATTTTGAAGTATTCTCACATATTGCACATTTTCTGCTACCTTGAGTAGGGCAGCGGAGTCAGCTGAGGAAGTGTCGAGCCTGCGCCCCCCTCGCCGTATCCAGGAGGATGGCATCATTCGTCCCTACAACAGGCAGGAGTCAGAGGGCCATGACTTGTTCGAGGTAAATTCTGTTCTTTGAGAATACAAGCAGAGTTCAATTTTAAGGATTGCTAGAGCCAGGATTTCAGGCCCTTAACGTTCCTAACTGATGAACTTCATTGAAGGATGAGAGCTGGTTTGTAGAATAATTTAGATTATTTATTTTTTGTTTTAGCATAGTATGTTAAATGTAAATATTTGGTGAAGTTTTCTGCACAGTAGCAAAGCTTTTTGGTGCAGAAAAGATAATGTTAAAAGAAGTCACAGGCTGTACTCATTTAGTGAACATTGTTAGTTTTGGCTTCCTGCTTTGTAGCTAATCACTGGAATTTCACTGCTTTTTCTCCCCCACAAATTAGTTCATTTGCACTACTTTATAACTCTACATTTATTCAGGTAAACAGCTGAGGAGAGAAAAAAAGGTAATATAAGGTTACAGTTCTGTTAACTTTTAAAGTTTTCCATCTTTTACTATAACTTTATTATAGTTAAATAATATGTACATAAATAAATTGCTGTTTTTCTGTCACTGGCTTTCCTGCAAAGACAGCTTATTAATATTTTCTTTCCTTGACTTTAAAATAAATGACTCTGACTCATTCTTAGCCTTTGGTTTGTATTATATGTGATTCCATTTTATCTTTTTGCGTGCTTCTAACTTTATTTTCTTTCTTTTTCTGCCTACACAGCAAGAACTGGAAATACAAGAGTAAATGTTTCCCATTCTACTACTTGATTTCATCCTTAATCAGAACAAGCTGTGGTACTGACTGGGTGTGAGTCAGACTGAGAGCCACCTCTAGTGAGATTGGCTTTATAACTCTCCTCTCCATTTGGGCTTTTGACCGTAGCATTTGATAACAAACAAAAGTGATAGTGTATCTGGTAAAACAGTGCTGGTAAGCGCTCAGTGTAAAAGATGAGAGGTTGTGGGAAACAGCTGCTTCCAGTTTAGTAGGTGAAAGACAGTCCAAAACCAGATGATTCTGGTTCATTTTGAAAATTTTATCTTACAGTGTTTATGTGCATGTAGGTAAAATTGAAAAGAAAGGAGTAGTTTTTATATTCAGCCTATTGGATGTATTCTTTTTTTGTTTTTATTTTAAAGAGGGTAAAACCAAACATAACAAAACAGAACAAAGCAGATCAGAAGAAAACAATGTAAGAGACACAGATTCGGATGTATTCTTATGTTTGCAAGTCATGATGGTGGAATATTATTTCCCAAATTACTAAATAGACTTTTGGTTCCCCAATTACTAAATTTACTCAAGTCAAAGGACGATGAATTAGGGCATTTGTAAAAGTCAGTTGCTCTGAGTCTGTCTTTAGACTCTAAGTGAGAGTTGTCATATGAAGTTTGAGACTCTGTTTCCCTTTCCTCTTTTTTTCCCTTTTTAATCTCATGTTATATACATGCTCAGTCTTGCATTTATGCTTTTCAGAGATCCAGTCTCCTTGTTGGTTATATGTGCTTTGTAATTTTTAGGTTTAATTAGTGCAAACAGAAAGAGAAGTTATGTGTAATTTTTTAAAATAAATGATTGAAATGTTTAATTGGCTTTAGCAGCATCTTATCTCACAGCTTTATGCTGTGCCCAAAATTGAAACTAAAGTAAAATTTAGATTTCTAATGTGTTGCTTATTTGAGCACAGTGAAACTATGAACATACAACAACTGTTCAATTATCAAGATAAAACTACAGTTATCAAGATAATTACTCTTTTGATTCACATTTAAAAGAAGCACTTTGCTGGAAACAACTGGCATCTGAAGAGGAACCAGTGCAGGAGTAGCAGGACTGCTGCTCTTGGGCTGGAGGAGGTAGCCTGCAGGTGGAGCACTTGCCTAGCGCCTGCCAGGCCCTGGGCAGCCCCCAGCATACCCTCCGCTGCCCTGGCACACACAATTTCTGTCCCTTATGGGACCAGGTATAACAAAACATACAAATACTAAAAGTAGTATTTTCTTGGCTGTGTCAGTTTTAATGAAAATTAAATTTTGGGAACTTTCATACTTCAAGATATTTTTCTTGTTTACTTGTTTAATTTTTTTAAAGCTCCTTAGGTTATTAACCTTTTACTTGTGATTTTTTTTGAACAAATGTATGTTAATAAGCATAAAACCTCAAGAAACTTTATTAGTTTATTTAGAGGTCATCTTCTTGTCTGATTTATTAATTCTTTATCAGGCAATCCTTTAGACTGTAATTATTATTATGGTTACTAGAAGGTATAGAATGTATATTACTGAGAGGACTTAGTATTTTTTCCCAAGGGTGGTAAGCACAAATACTGAGAAATTTAAACTGTTTCACCCTTTACCTATCTTACTGTGCTTAGATATTTGAGTAAGAAATATTTATTGATTATTTAAACAGTTTCGGATATTTTTAAAATCAACATGGCCTTAAAGGACCACATATAGCAAAAGGTAAATAGCAAAGAGTACTAGCATATAAAAATGATACCATTTCATCTCTTACAATAATTTATTAGGTCTTTTGATCCCCATTTAATAGTCAGCTCTAAGAATTTCATATACCAGGTTTTCATTATGTTCTTCTTCTCTATTCTTCTAGGATAATTACTGTTTACTGCATATGTGTGTGTGTATATATATATGTATGTATGTGTGTATAATATGTGTGTGTGTGTGTGTGTGTGTGTGTGTAGTCAGTTTTACATTTAATATTAATTTTGGCCCAGATTATATAAGATTTAAAATGAGGTCCCTTACCTTTCCTTTTTAATTATATTTTCCATGTTCTTAGAAATGCTTCATTAGCATTTTAAATTCTTGCATTAGCATCTGTTTAGGTAACCTTACATCATGTATTTTATTTTTAATTCATGGTATTAAAGTTTGTCTATTATTTTACAACAGTAATAATGCTATGATAGACATCAGCATATATTTTGTTTATTCATATCTTGTGCTGTTTGCTTAGAGTTAACTAAAAAATGAAGCACCAGGTAAAAGGCTTTCGTATCCTGTTACTAACTCCACATTGCATCCTGAGAAAGGAGAGAGGCGATGTTATCAGCGGTGATCTCCTGCTTCCATCAGTAATTATCTTCCTCTGAATCTCAGAGCCTAGAGAATTTTTAGTAGTACCTAGAAGGTCTGCCACAGTGTGTTCCGGTGATATCACACGTTAGAGGCTTTCAAGGTTGAAGTGCAATAATCTGACAACTAATGAGATGTATACGAGATAAAGAGTAGATACTATGTCTTGTACTTGCATCTCTAAGCTAATTTCATTTTAGCATTTAAATTTCAAGGTGAAAATAAATTCCCATAATTGTTAATTCTTTTCCCATGTTCTCTTTGAAGAAATTGAGGCCTAATTGACAAAAGTATTTAGCTAACTCAGAGGTGAGCTGTGAAACAGGTGAGCCTGGCTCTGAAAGCTGCACTCCTCCCTTCCCGAAGTTCATTGCAAGGCTGAGGCCTCAGGCTTGGAGATTTCTCCATTTTGTCTGTGGGCTTGGTAATTATCAAGGGACACTTGGGGACCAACATCTTTTAATAACGTGTACTCAAGCATTAAAACAATATCTACAACTGTGCTTTCTCTGCTTGCGATTATATTGATTATATTTTCCTGTAATAATATTGATATTGTATTCTTTGTTATAAAATATTATGGTCTTATTCAGAATGTTCACATTCTGTATTTTTAAATATATTATCCTCTGGTCTTTATGTATTATAGATAATGCCATTAATAATATTTTCCTGCTATTAATTATAAGAAATTTGTTGTTTTTTAATGTGTGTTGACTAATTCAAATCAATACTTTTAAGATAGTTTAAAAGAAAAATAAATCTTTTAAAGTGCTGTAATTTATATTTGAATTATTTTATGCTTGGTATTTCTCTGTAGAAATAAATCTTAGCAACTATTTTGAGATCTTAGAACATCTTCATTTTCATATTATCATTGTAATTTTTATTAGAAATATAATTTTATATACAAATATACTTTTCAGTGTGTTTAACTTATACAACCAAAAATTCAAAAATAGTAACCATTACCTTATAATTTTCTTGTGTGTATAATGTCGACCTCTGTATAAATCAGTGCTTGAGTCTTTCACCCAACCCCATCAAAAAATCTGACGAAAAATACGAGCTATCCTGTGAAAAACGTTGTAGAACCATATTTTTAAAATGTTGCGATACATTAGGTATTCATAGAGCATACCCAGAGTCTTCTCTGCAAACAGCAGTCTGAGAAACACTGAAATGTCAGTGTAGTGGTTTTGTGTCAGCTTATGTTTGCTTGTTCCTTAGAGTGTAGTTCTTTCTGGTCGATATTTTAAAATATCTAAGTTATCACAGAAAAAATTCATTTTATCAGAAGATCATTTGATAAGCATTTAATGCATAATTTTCTTTTAATACAATAGGGGAAGTTAATTTATACATGTGTTATGAAGTTTTTTCTAGCATCCTGTTCCAATGTAGAGTTGTACTTTTTATTCTAATTTGCCCCAAACACTATGATTATATATTAGCTATTACACAAATATTATATATATATATACATATATATATATATATATATACTTCCCAAATCTTGAGTCTGTCTTCTTTTTCAGAATCATATAAAAAAGTTGGAAGGAGAAACTTACCAGTACCACTGTGCTGTTCTCAGAAGCAGGAGTACAATCTTCATGGTTACAAACAGGTACGCAGTTCAGGTGCCTCCCCGCTCTGTTCTGGTTCTTCTGATTCCCTGTGAGTAATAGGACTGTTTGCTCGGGCTGTATAGGGAATGCCATTGGTGTTTTGGTTGAGGTTGCATTATATCTGTGCACCAGCTTTAAAGGTGTGGCCATTCGGGCAGTCATGGTTCTGCCTGTCCAGGAACAGGGAGGGCTAGCTTTGACTTCTTGGAATTTGACTTTGACTTTAGCAGTCCATGTGATTGAGACCCACTGTGTAAACTGGTTTTGCTTAAAGTTATCAGTGTCTTCTAAGAAGATCTAATCCTAGTAATTAAATCCATCCTGTTGATGGTCCTAGTGAATGTACAGACAGGACATTAGAGCATGGGGACTCTGCTGACTGCCACAGCAACTCTGAATCTGGAGAGGAAGGGATGAGGTGGATGAGAAGAGGGAGGGTGAAGATGATGGGGAGGGTGGAGTCAGGCCTGGGCGACTGTCGGGCTATGAGAGAGAGGGGACCGCAAGATGACTTGGTTGGGGCTTTGCATGCCAAGAGCTGGTGGTACTATTTATAATGAGTTGAGGAAAGATAGTGAGTTTGTGGTTTTTTCTGTTGAGTTTGACAGCTTTGTGATCTGAAGGTAGAGATAACTCAGTAGTCAAGGAGACAGATGGATGAATGGACACAGTGGGTTAGAATAAAAATATGGAGTTGAGATTCCCCTCAGAAAGTGTGTCCATCAGAGGATTCTGCTTTTGGAACTGGAACTTTGGTGAAGGTGGAGCAGGAAAGAGAAGGAAATGGTTGTAGGAGTGCAGTGGCATCTTACTTGGGTGGCCAAGAGAAAAACAAATTTGAAGATACTTGAGTTAGTGAATTCGTTTGGCCTCATGCTGCCTGATACCCGTCTCTAGCTCTTGGCCTGCCGTCTGATTCTCAGCTGGGTTCGAGGGCAGAATGAGGGGTCCACCTTCTAGATAACTGTGTGGACTTGTGGGAGGTGTTAGAGGGCACTGCCTGCACCGACTAAGCTCAGGCATGGACACGGAGCTTCCTGTCTTGCTCAGCACAGTCCCAAGCAAACCCCAAATCTCAGTTGCCTCTCTGCTGATAAATACAGGGCCAGCACCACACCTGTTGTCTGCACCCTATTGGCCAGCATTATCCTCTACAGACCCAGGGTCCAGCCCTTTCCTTGCCCTCCCTGCCGTCCTGCCCTCACTGAGGGACTGCATGGGTGTCTGCTGCGAGGACTGCTACAGGAACTTCCTGGGCCTCCTGCCCTCTCTTTGCTGCTAGAGCCATGACTAAAAATAAGAAACTTAGGTCATTTCCTGTTGCTTGTAGATTAAAGTCAATATTTCTTTAAACGGAAAAAGAAGAAAAAAGGGCCCTTCAGGAGCTGGCACTCAGTTGATTTTCTCGGAATATGTCTGGTACTCCAGCTGCAGACCTCTGTGTTCCTCAAATAAGCCTTCCCTCCTTAGGACCCTATATTTGTCACTGCGCTCTTCCTCTGGGCTTCATTTCCTTCCTTCCATCAGTGCTGATGTTGCCTGTGCCAGTGCGATCTGTCCCTCTCCCACAGCCCGAGGGCTTCCCTACCTTCTGTCACTATAGTCCTTGTTTACTGATGTGTTTACTTCCCTCCTGACTCAGATAGAAACTGTGTCTTCCTTGTTTTTCTCCCACCCTCCATACTTGTTGAAGTAACAGTCCTTACACTTTACTTGCCTTCTGTAGCAGGAACTTAAATGTAAATATAGTTATATCAGTATTTGACGTGAGTCACAGCCTGAGAGATCAATATGAATGTCCTGTAAAGATTCTAGTTTTTTTTTTTTCCTTAATGCTGTTGAGTAAATTGAGATTCTTCCTCTGTGATAGAGGGTATGTTAGTATTAAGTTTCCAGATCTGCTGTTTGTTAGCAGGGCCAGAGTGGAAGTAACTTTCGTGGTTTGGGGCGTTTCCTGTGTGTTCTTTCTTGAGTAGTAGGCATAAATGACTGATAGTAAAGAGCAATTAATAATTTTCCAAGTAAAATATTTTCGTAACCCATTCTTTATGTGCATCAAGTGATTTCCCTCTCAGGAATGTGGTCAGTTAAAAAATAAAGTTACACTTCTCTGAATTCTGCAAGGGCTTTGGAAAATCTGTATTGTTAGATCTTAAAATATATGGAAAACGTACATTGTTTAGTGCAGTTTGTTGCTTACTAAATGGGTGCTGCTGCTGCCATCCAGCTGAGTGTCCCAGGTGAGAGAACACTTGCTCCCATCAGTGTCTGTATGTTTTTGTTGTTTCTTTTTTTTGGTTCCGGGGACTGAACTCACAACCTCATGCTTACCAGGCAGGTGCTTCTGCCACTGAACTAAATCTCCAGCCTCTTGTTTTTGTTTTCTTTTGTGAGGCAGGCGAGTGCTGTGTCTAAAGGAAGTGGAGTTCCTCGCCCATATGTATCTCGATTGGCAGTTTCCATTTGAAGATTTTGTTTTTCCTCCTACTGTGAATGAGAATGTGCTTCAGATTTCAGTGAAGGTAAGCAAATGTGAATTTTCCCTTCACTAAATGGGTGGAGACTAGGATTTCCTGACTGTTCTGCAGTTAGCTATGCAGTATGTTTGTTATTATTACTATTACTATGTGTAGAGGTACTATAGTAGTCAAATTTTTACCACCATGACCAAATACTGTATGTTTTGACAGATTATATAGAATGAAATACTAGTTTATCAAGAGTGAGGAATCCGACATACTAGTATTTCCTTTTTTGGTACAGTTAAAAACATAGTTTTTTTTTTAAACTCCATATAAATACTTATTTTGCTATGATGTTAGCCATTTCTGGAAATAACACCTTTTAGGTTTTAGGTGATTGTTAAAATACTTCAGTAAAAATAAAGATGTCTAAAATAACCATGTTTCGTAACGTTTGGCATTTATAAATGCTAATATAATTGAAGTATACGACAGTACTTCCATGTCTTTCCTGTCCTCATTTTCTATGAAGGAACTTGTAATTACATAGTATGTAATTAGTAAGAAACATACCTCATGTTTTGTTTAGTTCATAGCTCACTTCACTTTGAAACATGTTATTGTATGTGTTATAAATACATTTTTATCCCTTAAAAACCCTAAAACTTATAATTCCAGTATGATAGTTTCTGTACTTACGTTTGTATTAATGGTGTTATTGTTCCCGTTACTGAAACTCTGAAAACCTCTCACCAGGAAGTGTGATAGAGATGAAAGTATTATCCTTTGTGTTTACTTTTTTCCATGGAAATTACAGATTGAAAGGGTCCCCATGTCTTCTGCCCCTTTGATTTCAGCATCTCCTCTAGTACTAAATGTTTTTTAAATACTGGAGAGTGAACTCTTTCCACTGTTTTATGTATAAAGCACAGGGTTACATAGCAATACTGGGAAGAATGTACATGTTTGCTTTGAGGAGCAGGTGTAAGGGCATCAGTGCAAGACAAAATATTTCCATCCTTTCTGCATCTTTCCTCAGAGACGCGTTCTTCAAACTTAAAAAACATTTTAGAAGTATTTCATTTGGGTGGGTCTGCAGATTTACAGCTGCTGTTGAACGTGGAGTTTATTTCAAATTACTGACTCAGTGGTAAAAGGGAGATGCAGAGAAACCGGACTGCTTTGTTTGTGTTAATGTGCCACGGTGGGTCTGTTATCGTTGCTCAAGTGCCCTAAGGGCTGGCCGTGAAACTACAGGTCTCCCCGCGTCGCCGTCGCTGTCGCAGAGCAGAGGGCAGTGCCTAAGCCCTGGAGCTCTGGTTTCTGATGTCCCTGCCTTTTGACCACTCATCTTTCTCAGTTTCTGTGACTGAAAGTAATATATATAAAACTTCTATCTTAAAAAGTTTCTATTTAAAAAGGTTCTATTGTTTTGTGCCTTTAAAAATAACTTAATCAGGAATTTAAAATGGATTATATTTTCTTACGAATCATAACTATTTACAGTGTCCTAAATATTTAAAAAATTATATTGCACTGATAGTATATTCTGTAAATGGATGTACAGGACATTGAACTAAGAAAAATTACAGAAATTGTAAACTCATTGTCTTAGTTGACTTTGAAATGAATTTCTAATATTTGTAATATTTTTATTTGATTTAATCCCCTGGAAAAGAAATAATCTGTTGGTAGTAAGGTCTGTCGTATTTCAGTTTGATCGAGAGGCCCTTGTATGTTATGAGTTGTTATCTTTTGCTTTTTGTTTTGTTTTGTTTTTTTGGTACCAGGGATCAAACTCATGACCTTGTGCTTGCCAGACAGGCAC